TTTTTCTGTTAATGAATAATAATGTAAATTATAAAAAATTAATTTCAATCTATGCGAGTCCATAATAGTCACTAAACAATATCATCTGAACACGCGTGGGTATGCAAGTACCTAACTCACGGTGAACATTAAACATTTTTCTAAACAAGCACACGTGAATTCAGCGTGCTGAAAGAGTTAATGTAGCGTGTATACAAGCTCGGCAAGTAGGCGTGTATAAACGTCGAAAGGCAAACAACAGTCAGAAGTTTACAATCGGTGGCCGGCTTTCTCGCGTGGTACGCATGTCGTTAGGTATGCGACACGTATGGTATACCTACACTGTCCTACACCGAGTCCGCATGGTCGTAGAAAGGCCGTTTGAAGGACAAGGGTCATGTCTGACTCCGATACATACATATACACACAAGACACGGCCACTGACTTTTGCTGTTCACCTTTACCGTATACGCTGCCATCCACATGTGCGTGCGTCTTTCTACCCTTCTGTCATGCTTCCACTTACACCGTAGAATTTAACCACGATGAAAGGGAAATTTTTGGAAACATTTAGGAAATTAAAGGTTCTTTTAACAGGTAAAGGCTCTATGGTTGTATTTGATGAAGATTTAATTAAGTGAAATGTGATTTCATAAGTAAAAATTAATGGAGGCTTAAGGTGTGATGAAAACAGGCACATAAGCACTTTAGCAATATCTTAACTTTTGGTGCAATTTGGCTGGGCAATACTAAACTGTAAATTGATTAATCCATGGTTGGTTTCAATAAAGAACCATTCATTTTGTAGTAATAATATTTATGAAATGTTTATATAGTCATTTTCACTAAACTTTAAGCTTTAATTTGATATATCATAAGTGCTATTTTATAATACTTTTATGTCATGAAAATTTGTTAGATCATCTGCATTGCATTTGATGTATAAAAATCTTCGCTGCATTTCTATGTAACATAATAATTATTAATCATACTTTGAAAATTAATAATTTTATAGCCTACATTATAATCCTATCAATAAATAAGAAAATAAAATTACAAAAATCATGAATTCAATGAGTGTTGCAGTCACCGAAGTGTTAATGTGCAATCAAAATTGTATCTGTTTAAGGATTAATTAATTCATTAATGAATGACCAATGGTCCAGATGAAATTTCGCCAAGCCAGTCTCTGAAGTCGATTTCGAAGAAGGCCTTTAAGTGAATCGAGCGTACACAAACGTGGCGACACAGAGTGCCAATGTGTTTTCCCAGTTGGGTCAAACACCCTGAGCTTAGATAAGGTTCCCAACCTTGGCACGGCCAACGTGCTACGTAATGTAGGTGCACTCGCACGCACAGTACACATAGTATGTACGTGTGTATGATCGTAGAACGACGCGTGTAGACCGCACACGCGTTCTTGTCGAGCCCGAAAGAATCACGGGAATGCGAAGAAAATAGCATGGTAAGCTGCTGATATATAATTGTTATTAATGGTGGCGCTGTTGTTTCACACGATAACGTATCGTAAATATACGTCAGGTTCTCCTGGCTTGAAATTTCTGCGTGAAGCTGAATGATAGACCGCTTGTTAAATTCTACTCGGCTAGATTTAACACGTTCACTGTCATAATAGTAACAGACGTTGTAACGAAGGAGTCTTCTTATTGTTAGTGTGACACATTCCAAATGTAAATTTTCAGTTGTTGCATATTTCTAGTTGAAATATGTTTATTATAAAATTTGTAATTATATTTGTGTAGTTTTCAAATTCTAATATTCTAATGATCCAAAATTTTAATATTTTCAAATTCTAACATCCGAAAATTTTAATACTTTAATGATCCAAAATTCTAATATTCCAATATTCTAACATTCTAATATTCTAAATTCTCTCATAAAATCAGATAGCTTCTTCTTCTTGACGCACCTTCTATTTCTGGAATTATGATACTTCAAAACTGTCAAGTTTGGTATGAAATGCTCGTCAAGCCATTTCCTGTAGGTCGTGTGAATTTCGAAATATTCCACGATAAGTCTTCTGATGCATTATCTCAGGCGGCAGCGGTTAGCCTTATCGTCTGGAAACATCATCTGGAAATCTGTGATCTCAGAAGGCCGGTGGACGGTGATCGATACAAACAGATAACCATTAATCGCAATAAAACTTGAAAATTAAAGTGTTACGGGATACCTTTGTGTAATCCGTCGATTGTTTGCACCAGGCATTCGTGAGTGCAAAGTAATCACGGCTTAGAATTTCTTGAATTCTTATTATTGATAAACAGCTTTCCCGATTGTTTGCATTTAGTATAATTACTATCCACTTTCACCTACTATTATAATAATTATTTACTTTCATATATTATATTGTAACACTGTCCTACAATTTCTATTCTAATGATTGTTTAGAATTTTTTAAATTGATTTTTGATAATTCAGTAATTTGAAAATTTATTGTCCATATTTCCTATTGTTCATTTAATTTATATTTTGACAGCTAAATATCAAAATTGAGTAATTACAAAAAATTTACTTCTATATTTTTTCTTTTTTACGGTTACCAAATAAAATCACCCATTTCACGGTTAAACTTTTTTTCTTTTATTACAAATGGTACATTCATCGTATGGAATTTAATGCACAGTTTTTCGTCGATTTTGTCCACGATTTCTTCGAGATCAGACTAATTCCGACACTCCCACGTGTTTCCTTCCCCAGCCGTTGCTCTTTTCTTCGTTGCCGTCAGGATTTATTAGCAGTCGTTATTTACCCCCTACGAATCTTATTCTCGTATAGCAATGATTTACAGGGACGGGGTTTCTGCGAATTCGCGCGTGAATCGTGCTTTTTATACCATTTAAAATTTATTCCTGCACCACCGACACCCTCCTATCGGAAGCTTCCCGACCAGAAGAGGGCTCATGCCATTGGAACCGTAACGTTTTCAGGATTCGTGCTTTTAATTGCGCTAAAAGCCATTTGTCATCGGGATGTTTCCTCGTTTTCTTCCTATTTTCATGGAACACTTGTGTGTACCGGAATGCAATGCTTTCGAGATCAATTCCTTTTTTTTTTCCATTGCTGAAAGGAAAGCCTTTGGGTGGAGTATTTTTAAATGACTTTTGTATTATGTGTTATGTCTTTCTTTGCAAAATGTACTCACCTACCGCACCTCTATCGTATTGCATTCCGAACGAGACTTCAGACACTTTTGCCTCGCACACTGTCGTACGTCTCAGAACACGTTATTTTTTTCTCTCATTTATATTTGCACACGATGTCGTACAAACACCTTGCTATATCGCCACGCGGCCCATTGGTATGCGACGGGAATGTCGATCCCCGAGATCTACGAATGTCACGGACCTTCTTGAATATCTACGATTTTCTAAACCGTTAGAAAAATCCTTTACACTTGCAAAACGCTTGTTCAACTGTTTATGAAACGCGTGTTGCTTCGTAATGTTAAATCTGGCGATATGTGGCAAAAAGAGGCATATCACAATAGACTAACGCTGCAATCAGAAAGGGAATAATTCTACATGCAAAGTTAATTAAAAATTTTTAATAAAACATTGTTATATCTAGCTTTGTTTTCGAGACGTTTCCGTGAAGAGTCCAATAATCTTTTAAGCGATAAATTGTATTGTTTAAGCAGCAAGTGTCTGTCTAAAATGGCTCGTTTTCTTTTGAATGGAGGATGATCCTTCAAATAAATCCGTTGGACGCGTAATCTGCTCGAAAGATATAAAATAATACAGCGCGGGTACACAAACGAGGACAGTTAACTGCAAGCTGCAACGAATTCCGCAATTGCTCTTTTATCGTGATCTTCAGACTACCGGCCAGAATTGCTTTATTACAGAGCTCAATTCGCTTTCAATTTACCGCGGTCGCTCGCATGAAAGTCGCGTCTCATTGCGCCGGCTCATTAGCTTGTAACTTAACAGACAATCATGCGAATTGCAAAAAAAGAAGGAAAAAACAAGCAATTCTATTGTTGGGAATCGTGAAGAACCTTGGAAAATTTAAAGATTCCTCTACAGTGGCACATATTATAATTTAATATTAATATTTCAAATACAATTTTCTAATCATTTCTAGCAACTTGTAGTAAATTTTTAGAAATTGAAATAAAAATTTGTTACCCACAGATGTGAGGTGACACCAATACCATTTTAAATATTCATATTAGCAAATTTTCAATTTATTTTCTTTTGCTTTTTAAACTTTTATGATTTTTATTTTCTTACCTTTAATTTTAAGACACTTGTAATTTTACTTTTTTTTTTTAAAAATGTTTTATGATTGATACCCGATACATAAAATAAATATAAATGAAGTCAAGAATAATAATACTGAAATCTTAAAAATTATAAGTCCGCGGTTACAAATCTATTCGTTTATCCAGATAAGCAAGATTTTGTTCGGTAGTATTATAGTGGGAAGTTGCGATCTCGGCAAGCTGTATCTTTGCGAGACGCCAGGTTTAAGTGTCCATTCATCATTCCAGAAGGATACAGCTTTATTGCAAACGCGACGAGGGAACTTGAAGAGGGTCACAGTAGGTTTATTACCGGGTTATCTCCTATTGAATCAACACGTAGTCTGGTCCATCGTGATTATCACAATCGCGAACCATTATTTATGGATAATGTTCATCGATACGACGATATCGGTTCAATTGATTTCTCATTTCGTAAGGATGATTCTATACCCATCCTTTATTACATCGAACAATGATTAATAGAGGTAATTGAAGTGTAAGATAAATAATAGATCATTTGTTGAAAGCTGAAACGTTCAATTATTAACACTTAAAGATATATAAACAAATAGAAATATTTTGCTAAATGATAAACTTTTGAAGCTTTATTAAACCTTAAGCTTTAATATGATATTCCATAAGCACCATTTTGCAGTACTTTTATGTCAGATTTTCTATCTCAAAGTTCATCATCTGATATGCAACCAATAATAATTATAATTTTTATAAAAACTTTCAGTTATAATCTAAATATAAATCTGTATAGCAACAAATGACATTAAATATTTTTCCTTTAAATTGATAATCCTTATTAGTAGGCACTATAGTACAATGTGACTGTACAATTATGTAAATGAACGATAAATTTTAATCTGGACATTGAAGTAAATGGCATCAACCTATGTCGAAAGCTTTATAGTTATATTAATAATAGCCGAAGCTGTAATGGGAAAATAACATACATGAAGATCGTATGTGATATGGTATTTCCAATTTTCATAGAAGCTTGTAATTTTCATCAATGATCGGTAATTCAAACTTGAGCGTAGGGTTAAATAATTGCAAACAACGATGCCAGTTTTTCCAGTAAGCCATCAATGTTTAAAATTACGGTGTAAAATTGCAAAAATATTCATTGCAGTAATTAGAACTGTTGCCTTACTTGAACCAAGCCCGTTACAACGTTTAATTAACATAATTTTCTCTAAAAAAACTATTTTGTCAAAAAATAATAATGGGAGCATTTTTGTTTAAAAAATTTGTATTATCTAGTCGTTTCTCTTATCCAAGATGATGGACGGCATTATTAATTGAATGTCCTAATAAAAACAAAAAAAAAGTGTCGAGAAAGCATGATTAGCATGAAAAAGGACGGTAGGAGAGTTGCTACCGCGTGCGCGCGCTTCCTAGACGAAGCGCCATGATTCAACGAGGCGCGCCACGGGTTTGTTGAAAACAGCTAAAAGCTGGCTACGGATGATCATAGATAGACACGAAAATTCGTGGTTCGCCACGACGGCGACGGCGACGACGACGACGGCGGCGACGGCGGCGGGCGACGCGACAAGCGTCCTTGCTCCAACCACTCGCGCTACTACCGATGACGTAATCGTCGCGATACCCCGCAATCTTGGCGCCGCGGTAAACTCGTAATATCTATTTTTATCTGGTGGAAGCAGGGGCACCGCCCCGTCCCTTCTCCCCGTCGCACACAGCCACACTAGGACGTACTTCGACACACCCGTGTTCCATCACCTTCTCCTCCTCTTCTTCCTGACTTCTTAACCTCTAAATTCAGCCTCCGAGTCGCAATGACCATTCTTCAGGCTCATAATAAATGTTTTCATTTAGATATTTAAACGAATCGTTAGATGGCAGCTCCGTTTGAATTTTATGGCGGGATTTTAAAAATTGTCAGGGCGGCAGTAAAAATTTTACAGCAAAGACATTTCTAAACGCTTTAGATCTTCCCATCTCTTTGGGGCAGATAGATATGCTCAACTGGAATCCATAATTTCATAATTCTACTTATCTGAACGAGAAGAAGTGAGAAAAGAAATTATTTTGACCTTTTCGCTTAGAAACTGAGTCCTAGGTAATTGGTTTCACAAATTTTTCCCTTCTCTTTTGATGAGGCTTTGCTTGTTAATAGATCATGATACTATTATAAGAATTTCCTAAATATTACAATTTCGAAAATAAACGCTCAATAATTTAAAGGGCCGCCCTGACTCCTCCATAGTTACACCAATTTCTGAGTTCCTTGAGTATCTAGGAATTTCAAGACAGAAAGAGATAATCGTGAAACGTGACTAGAATTAGAAATTACGAGGCGACAATTTACACGGTATTACCTACCGCTGAGAAGTTGGCGATAACTTCACGGTTCCGTTGAAAGATGGCGTAAACACGTTCCAATCGGGGAAACAGGTTAGGGTAGGTTCGGGCGCCAACGTCGCGGCGACACGTTAATTATAGCAAAAAGTTTCGATCGATTTATTGATCGGACGCGAGCTCGTCTTCGCCGGTGTTTTGCATATTTTAAAAGCATTTTCGATGTTCCTTTTTAAGGATGTCTGATAAAACCGGGCCAATCAGGTTCACCTGTAATGCTGCTGCTCTTCCTTTTATCTTCGGCGAACGGTTCGATGTTCCCCATAAATGTCAGCCGCTGCAATTAATCATTGATTAAAACGAAGCAATTGGAAGTGATTCGCGGGATTTTTCTGTCGTTTCATCCAGTTGATATATACATGATAATTCAGTCTTCAACGACGTTCTTTTTTACTTATTTATTGAAGGTGATCATGCAAAATGTGGCGCCAAGGATAGAAACTAACAATTCGATTATTTCATTTAGCAATAATTTAATAATTTTCTGGATTTCATATTTAACAATTATTAACAAAATTATAATAATTTACTGAAGTTGCTTTTACACAATTTATTTTTATAGATCAAATTGTATGAAGTATTTAGCCGCCATATTGGTTCCCAAAGACCGACATTACGAACTTAATTCAACCAAGAAATTAGAAAATGAAAACCGTAGGACAATTCTAAATACCGGAAATTCAGGATAAATTAATAATTTGAAATAAATAAAATGAAACATTATATTAAAAAATAATTTTTTCATGTTTGAATGAAATATTTTGAACCAACGATACGGTGAAGTTTCTCAAGACAAATATCCAATATTTGAATGATTTGAAAGTCATACGTTTTACTTGTTAATGCAGATATCTTCTGCCTTTCAACGTCGTAGATTCTTTTTCCTTTCTCCGTCTGCTCTCTTGTCTACTCTCGAATCTGGCGCCGTCGTTGTCCCTACGATGGTTGGCGAAGCGCGTGGGACTTTCCGGCGACAAGTCCTTTATGATACCGCTTGGTATATACGCCCGCAGCCTCTCACCGAACACTTTTACCAAGAAAGAGAAAGACTCCTCGTTAATGACGGATCTCATCTTGTTTCGTGGCATGCCTCTGTATCACATTTCGTGGAAATTGTTCCGTAAAAACAGTTGATTAAACTCTTTCCTACCCACGCTATCGAGCAGCTTTAATTAATAAACTTTCAGACAGCGGATATGTTTAAATTTGTTAATAAAAGTTAACAAGTGTATAATTCGATCATTCTGACACGTATTCTTTTAATACTTTGATGTATTTAAATTCGCATTATTAAGATAGGAAATATTAATTTTTCAAAACTAATTATTTTTAATCTAATCTTGTTACAGGTGAAACAGGTCAGAAGGAATGGTGTACCTTAGCATATTGGGAACTGGGTGGTCGAGTGGGTCGTTTGTACCCTGTGGAACCTTCAACAGTGAATGTTTTCGATTCTCTCCACGATGGCGATGGCCTTTGCTTGGCAACGTTAGCTGAGAATCATGTTGCACCTCCTGCGGTCCAAAAGACACGAAGCAAAATTGGGCTTGGTAAGATTCTTCGTCATCTTTTATTTTCTGTATATTCGGCTGCAATGTAGGCTTCTTTTAATTAATGTTAAAGATAAAAAGAGGAACCCAGAACAATGTACCAAAATTCAAAGATTTTAGAATTCTAAAAATTTAAATTATAATTAATAATATTAAACACTTGATACTGTTAGTAAAGCCAAGGGAGAGGTCCAACTCAGATCCTAGTTGCGCCAATGACCTTAGGGAGAGCCACAGCTAAAGAACACAAAGAAGCCTAAATTGCACGTGATCATACATGACTTGAAAGAAACATTTTATTTAGAAGAAAAAAAATTATGATTTTGTTGATAGGTTTAATGCTTAGCCAAGAAGCAGATGGTGTATGGGCGTACAACAGATCTGAGAGCCCGATTTTCGTGAACTCGCCTACTTTGGATGACCCAGAGTCTAGAACGTTACTCGTCTATCGTGTGCCTCCTGGCTTTTGTCTGAACATTTTCGACCGTACCAAAATCCTGCAACTGCCATACGGCAATGGTAATACGAGAACAAGCAATCAGGCATCAGGATTCGCGTCCGGTCCTGTTGATATCAACTCCGTCCGAATCAGCTTTGCCAAAGGCTGGGGACCCAAGTACTCAAGACAGGAAGTCACCTCTTGTCCGTGTTGGCTCGAAGTACTCCTAGCACCGTGCAGGTGATCCCTACACCTAATCGTGATGGTATTCAGTCTCGTCCGTTTGCGCCTCTTCTTCCTCCTCGTCGTCCTCGAAGAGGACCGATACGGCAAACTGACGCAGCAACGACGAAGCTCCGTCCCAAAGGCTGCCAACGGATACTCAAAACGACGCGGATCGCCGCCAGCAGTCTTACCAAAGTACGCCGCCATACATCCAGGAACAGCGCCGTTTTCTTCACCGAAATGAACGAAGAAGAAAAAAAATAATAATAATGAATCATTCGGCAAGAGCGTTTCTTGTGCCTACGAACGGAGGATATGCAGTTCTACGTGGTACTCGATCGTCATACCTTGATCACCTCTCTCGGCTATATCGTAACGAAATATTCGTCTTGATTTGCCAATAATACCGTTGTACTTTCTTGATAACGTTAAATGAGATTTCACAATAAAATAAAAGCGAAGCGGACACATCCGCTAGGTCTAGTCAGTGGTATTTAACGTTTCTGAAGCTTGACGCTTATTTCCCGCGTTAAGAATAAAGAACAATTTATTGAAATCATAGAAAGTGCAAGGGTAACATTGGCGTAGTCAATTTAATAGAATCATTTCTCTTCTTCTTTTTTTTTTCTTTTCTGTTTCTTTGTAAGCTTAATTATCCATACTGTCTGGCTATGTCCTCGTTTATAATTAAATAAATCATTGCACTGCAAGGAAGCAGAAGTACTTTGGGCTTCCGATAAGGTCTAGTCAATGGTGTTTGAAGAGCGTACAAGCTTGTTGGTCGCATGGACGTTAAAAAAAATTTATCAAGAAACGAGAACACTGCCAACAGAATCAAAGCAAGTACTTAGTGTTTCTTTCTTTCTTTCTTTGTTCTTTTTTTTTTGTTTTTTTTTTTTTAATAATGTTACCTCCAGAAAGAAAAAGACTTTTACTTTAAAAAGTAACGATATACTTTGTAGTATAAATTCTCCTTCATTTACATTGAACACGGTCATAGATTTGTTAACTTGTCAAAAGGATTCGTTGAAAATTAACTAGATCTAGAGATACCTTTGTGAACTCATTAAATATTCCAAATGAGTTTCACGGAAGGTTCCTAACTAGTCAATAAAGAATATTAGGAAATTGTTAGGAGCTAACAAATCTTATCCCGAATTCTTCTATGTTATAAGTCGAATATATCAGTTGTAATAATCTTGTAATGGCGTTTCATTGATGTTCAAATATCGTGTACCACGAGTACTGTAGTTGTCCCTGATCGTCGTTCGGTGCTGTACATACGTATATGTACATACACTGTGCCTTCCCCAGCTTCCTTCGTGGTGCAATGCGTGTGCGTGTATGTGTCTTCGTGCGTGTGTCTAAGAATGAATGCGAAGAATCTGTGTGTCAGCTACGTTTCGTACCAAATGCCCGAGAGCTTCGTACTACAGTAATACGGTACTGTGATAAAAGTTCAAAACCAGGTCTGTTTTTTTTTTTTCCTTCCTTTCATCGGGAAACGCGTTCATAGAGAGCACCGACGAGAAGAAACCACTAAAAAGAAACAAAAGCAATCAATTCGTTGAAACTGTATATTGTACGCAATGTATGCTTGAATTATATGAATCCATAGACTCAGATCTAGAAGAAACGTTGAATTTATAAAGATAGTAGTTTAATCGGTTAATTTTGTACAGTTCTGAGAGAAAATTAGCGTAAGCGAGCGGAGTTTTACAAATTTTATCGCGAATGTCTTCGTTGGAACGATACAGAGAGCATGTGGTATGCGGCTTTTCAAACAATGATTGCAATGTAAAGAGATCGTGTTAGATGAGGTCGGAACGATAATGATTATTGTACGTGTATAGGATGCAACATTGTACCACCAGTCATACGTATTCATTCATACGCATACACAACGCAAGCATGTAGAAAACACAATCGACTGATCGAGTAGTTACATTTTTCGAGCCGTTTGTTACTTTTTCGTACGGCGGCTTTTGTCGGTGTATAAAGCGGGAACAGGTACACTTGGGTGCAACGTAGGGTTCTATTAATTAAGAATAAGTGTAAAGGAAGAATTCTTCGACATTTGCCTTTTTGGGGGAGGAGGGAACGATGGAGAGAGACAGGGAGAGCGGATGATGGGACATTTCTTCTATGCTTTCTTTTAAGTCAGGGAAGGGTATATTGCACGCGACTGTACACTTCGGTGCAATATAGGCTTTTCTAAGTTAAAGATAAGTAGAAGGAGAAGAATCGCCCATCATTTACTTTCAGGATTGGGAAAGCCTAGGGAGAAGCTAGGGAGAGCTCGGGACAAATCTAGAAAGAGCCCAGGGAGAGCCTAAGCAAAAGCCAGGGCAAATCTAGGGAAACCCTAGGGAGAACTAAGGGTACGCTTAGAATAAATTTATGAAGAAACTAATCCAGAATCTCCCATTCTCAGCATACCTAAAAAATATGGATAAATAGGGCCAATGATGAAACACTTCTTCATCTTATACTTCCTCTGAACTAAAAGAAGCCTTAGTTGGACGCAACTGTACATACGCGGTCCTGTATGACATGCCGAACGAGGTATATTGTGATGCGTATATTGTCGCTTAAATGTTATGTATATTAATGTGTATACGTATGTATACAGAAATGTTCATAGGTAGCTAGCTATATCTACTGCAACGGGATGATTCTCAGGCCTGTACATACATACAATTATAAACTTAGCAATCTTAAACCTAATCCAGACCTCCATACATTGGATCGGGTATATAAAAATTGTGAACATTTGTTTGGAAACGTTTAAACAAATGCTTCTATTGAAAATGGATAACATGTGTTTTTATTATAAATAAACAAAATTGTTGACGCGTATTTTGGACAAATGTTTAGCTCTTTGTCTGTAGATCTGGATTAGAATTAAGTATATCAATTTTTTTTTTCCTTCAAGTGCCGTTAAATAAGCAATGTTAGTCTCAGATGAGCTTTCTATACGACAATAATATGAAACTATGTATCCATTTAAAATAATTAAATAGAGGTGCGTACAGGCCCAAGAATCGTTGATAAAAATTGTAACGACAGTGACTATGTCGAAGTCCACGTTGCTTTTTATAGTCCTTTTTTTTCACGGCTCTAATTTGCTGTTATAGTCGAGGTTGGCTCATCGAACCAAAACGCGTGCGGTCAGTTTTAGAAAAATAAATTTTCTTCGAAACGATCATCGAGTAAAAAGAAAAACACACACGGAGCGTAACACGGCGACCCATATAATTTGTACAAATATTTTATTTTCTTTCGTAAAGATTCGATTAAAAATAAGTTTACTTATTTTGTCAATTACATAATCCCTCATTCGCTTTTTTTTGGTAATTTGTTGATTATGAACGGATGACGAATGATTCGCGGTCGTTTTTGCTAATCCACCGGGACATTATTGTCCCTAGCAACGCTACGCCGGAAAAGGATGTATAGTTTAACGGTGTACTTAACAATATTTTATAATTATAAAACGTACGCAAATCTGAAACTTTGCTGAGAAAGTCCGAGTAGTTTCGTTATATTAGGTAACGATTGTTAAAGAAACCTTTTGACGGGCGAAATATTTATTCGTATTCTTTTCACAGAATCAATAAAACAATTAGTTTGTATATAAAAATGATAACAGAGGATGAAGTAATACCCTTTGACACCCGCATCATGATTAATTAAACGCAGCGAACGTTCGTTCATTACTTTCATGTCGTTCATTCCCATATAAAATAATTATAATATATTGTTAAGATTGTTTATCATGAAATAATACTTGAGTCACAACGGATCTTTTACAAGAGATCAATTACAAATTGTGTTTAAAAAGAGATCATTCTGATTACTTGTTTACCTCTTTAAAAGTAACAAAATAATTAACGTATATAAATATTCGCATCTAATTATTTCCAACTTGTGTTTGAACGAAACCGTCTGAAGGATAATATAAATCTACTTTAATCTGTAAACATAAACTACGTTGAGGTAGTATTGTTTCCCGAGAGTGAGGTTGGCGGCCTCTATTCGAACACAACAGGGTAATTCGGTTAGTAGAGTTCAGTACGTCGTGCTGTTAAGATGCTTTCGGAATCGCTCCGTGAATAACAGTTTCTCTCGTTTATTATTTTGCTTTAGTTTATTAACCTTTTGGTTTTCTCTTATCCTTTAGCGTTTCTTCTTTCGAAATAAAACGATTATCAATTTCCGCGACGAAAATGGTAATACGGTTAGTGCAAGTGCATCAAATATTGTGTTTGTTCATCTGTCACCTGTCAAAGTCATCGAATGGCGTACAATTAATTTCGTAAGTACTTGTATGAAACTTTAAACTTGTATACGTGCGATTATAATTTATTCTAGAGATTAAAATCTAAATGTTTTGACTTGAAAACCTCATGGCGCGAGTTTTTAATACAGACCGCATCGCTGCGTTTGATTGAACAATGGCGGCCATGACGTCATTTCCGCTGAATTTGAACATTCTTAGCGACGTATTTAAAGTAGATTTAATTTTGATTTTGTAAATAGTATCGATAGCGGATAGTAGGAGAATTAATACTAAAATATTTTATTACAATATCGTTTTATTTTTCTGCTGATTTTTAATGTTATTTTATTAACCTAAATTATTTTTTCTATTCTTCCTATTTTTCTCTAAATTTCATTTTAAAATAAATATTTAATTAAAGTTCTTTTTTTATTCAAATATTTTCGCACTGTAAACGTTGGTAAAACAAATATTTAAGAACTTTTATAAACATTTGTTAAAAATAAGTACTTAAAATTCTATAAATATTTAAATCATTCAAAAATACTACTAAAACTTGATTAGAACGTATATTAGGTTCCTAGATAAAGCAAGCAATATTCAATTTTAATGTAGGTATACAAATGAGAACCTACTGCCAGGCTAATTGTACTTTAACACTCCTGTTCCTTATTGAAAAGAAATCCTACGAACAGAAAAGAGTTTTTAATATTCAAGTTTAATAATGACTACACAAAAACATTTTAATTAAACTCTTAATCATTAATAAGAATAAAATAATGCTTCAGTAAATAGTAGCTGATGTACGTAACTATTTGCAATTAAATATTTGAAGATGAAAGCTTTATTACTGAAGTAGATCAATACAGGGTCATTTTGACCCCTAATTTAAAACGTTATTATATACGAATATATAAGTATAATGATATATATAAATTTTGAAAAATTTCTTTATTTCTCTGCTAAGATTGTCTGTGAAACATAGTGCCTTTATAGTCATTTAGAGCGGGAAACAATTAAACGTTTAGATTTTCATACTTTGCTATTGCAATATTGCAAATCTATTTTGCAACACCTTCTCAAAGTGAATAATCATTTGGACGCTGCTATATGGATCAATTCAAAACGTAGTTTAAAGTTGAATTAATTAAATGATGAAAAAGCCGTTACAGTAATTAAAAAATTATTTGTTCGATAGAAAAGCATTAATTATAAAAAAAATTAACGTTACAGTGACCATCCAAAAATAATATGAAAAGAAAAAGAAAATTATACATTTTTCTTTCTAAAATTTCTTTCTAAAATTAAAAAGTTTTAATCAAATACTTGTAATATTATAAAATAGGAAGTTTTAATTTATTAAATTATTTTGACTAATACTAATATTATATCTGAGCTAGTATACTTGTGGAACAAATAGAAAAATTACAAATTTTTACATTACGAATCTCACCACGATGCCATATAATATAAATAAATAATCTAACCACAGAAACGATAGCAAGCCGAAATACTCTATTACAGGAACCTTAAACCAGCATTAGAAACGATGGACCTATTAATCTATGAACTAAGTCAATAAAACAGGAATTAAAAAACTTTTAATAAATTTATTATTAATAATTATATTATAACTAATACAATATATATGTGTGTATATATATAAACAGCAACTTTTTGTAATGTACATATTGTACATAAAATAATTATTTCATAGAATACAAATATAATAAATAAGCACAAATGTATATAAGTTTGTCGTAAAATACGTGGTACAATTTGTAATTCACCTCGAAAAATTTAGAAAAACAATTGAAATTATGTTATTTTCAATTTATTCATTTGAAAAAATCTTTATCTGTGCCACTTATTTTGAGACACTCTATTTATACTAGAAATTTTGTAGATATTGATTTATACTAGCGGTGAAACCAGCATTGTTATTATTATTATAACGGTTAATAATGATAAAAATGACTAAAGGGTAGTGATGGCAACAATTGTAACTACTGAATAAAATAAAGATTGATCGAAATATCGAATAAGAGTGATAGCATGAGAATTCGAAACATTATTTTCAATGTAATTGTATTTGATAATGAAAAACATAACAATATTTACGCAATAGTTATATATCAAGCTAGAAACAAATTTTCCCTTTTCATTTTTACGAAAGAAAGAAATATACGAAGCAGTAAATTTTTATGTGATTTTCCTGATTATCCCATTAAAAGTATATCCACTTTCATAGTAATTAAGAAGGATAAATGTTGCTTTTATAATTTCTTCTTTTCACTCTTCACATAAAAATGAAATAAACATAATGAAAATAGGCAATTAAGGTTGTCGAAACAAAAAGATATTCATGAATTAATTGATTTAAAAAATTTATTATCCTTTTCATACTTTCTCACACAATTCGTTCGCATTTATACATTTAACTTTAACACACATATATACACAATTTACGTAAACATATGCATTCACACATGCACACGTGAAATCTCATACTGAAAATGTCAGTTAACAAATTGTAAGCAGGCTTATGAAAATTAGATATCCCATTAAATATTTGACACCTAAAAATTATCTGCATTTTGTCATTTATAATTTTAAATAATTCTGTTCAATATGAAAGAACCAAGAAAACATTGAACAGAATTTAAATACTTTAGATCAGAAAAGTCTCTTTTCATTACTAAATACATATTTAAATATATATAATATGATTTAGTAGATCATTCTGTATATTTACGAAGTATGAAATATTTAGTTGTGATTTGGCTTTATAAATAACAGAGTTCCATTTTACAAGGAGACTTCGAAAATTGTGAAACAGTATTCTTTATGAAATTTCAAAGCTATTCTATTTACATTTTGTTCATTCAACTTTGTAGAAAATGGACGAGATCTATTCGCGAGGTATTTATTTGTAAAATATAATTTTTTTCATTTTTGATTGATTCAATTTTCACGATAAAATAATTTTCATAGAAGATTTCGTATATACAATTCTTAAAATATTATAAATTTAATCCTTCTTCGGATGTCCGAATTCATCCCCAAAATCATTATTCCATTTAAGTACCATTTTACCGAATTGATAAGTGCAAATTAATTTAATTTGCAATAGAAAATTATCCACGTAAATTTTTCAATAATTACACCAACATGCATTAAGCATGTTCAGTTTTTAATTTTAGGGAGTTCTTGCTACCCCTATAATCCGAAGAAGGGAAGAAAGATTTAAAAAAGTTCTAAATAGCATTAACATTATATTAATTTCGGTCTCTACCATATACGCCCTCTTTGTATACAGCGCTTAATTTGTCAAGTTCATCAGAATAGAGAGAATAATAAAAGCTGCCTTTTGTTTGTTACATTTAACAACGTTGTACGAAGGATTTATAAAACGAACGACGTTTGTGATGTTTAAAAAATATCGTGGAATGATCGGTCGTTGAACGTTGCAATAAGCGTAGTGTATTTTATTCTTGTTTTCTTTCGTTTTTATACTGGAGGACAGGTTCAGCTCTTTTTCTTTGGAAGAACGAAGGCAAGCAATCCACCAACTGCAAATAAATGAATAATTAATTAAAAATTTTGTATCCAACCTTACATAGAATGTATTTTTCATGATTCATATAAATCTTGCTTTATAATAAATAAAAGACTACGATGCACCTTGTGCGTCATGCACTTTGCAATTGACGACGTACCATATGCGTCATACACTTTGCAAATGACGACGCACCAGATGTGTCATACACTTTCCAATTGATGACGTACCATGTGCGTTTTGTAGAGAAATGATTAATAGTCAGATATTTGAATTGTCGAATAGATACAATTTTGAAAGGAAAGTATAATATATAAATATATAGAGAGAAGAATACTTACGTATTACTATACTGCCGACCAAGAAGATCGGCACTTCACAGCTGATATCCAGCAACATTCCAAAAGCCAGATTACTGGCGATTGCACCGATTCTGCCGAAACAGGTCATCATACAAATGGTTACGGCGCCTACGTGTGTCGGGAATATGTCGACCACGATGCTGCTGATGACGAAATTTGCCGTGACTATCATCAACGAGAACATGCAGCTCACCATGAGAATTTGCACGGAAGACGTGACAAAATAGATCATGAAACCGAAGACGCCAGCCAATAACATGGTCGTTACTGAAAAATGTAATAGGTATAATTATAATATTATAACACTTAAATCATTAATGTTAATTGTGAAGGGAAATATTGTTAAAATTTTAGAAACTCCAGAGAATCTAGTAAAACTTTCTTGAATTTAAATATTTCTACCTGGTATTGTTCTTCTGCCAACGCGATTCGCTAAATAACCGGACACAATGTTTCCAAGAAGGCAAAAGGCATTGATCGTTAATGAATTAATGAAGACCATTTCATCCATGTTTGGAGAACACTCGTTCACAATGCCTACTGAATCGACTAAAATATTTTTCGGAGCCGCTACGGCAAGTTCGAGATTTGTTTCGCGCACCAATTTGCATACGCTCACTGTACGATTTGGATGCAAGTTATGGTAGTTTTCAAAGCGATTGAACAGTTCTGGTAACCATAAACCGAAACCGTAGTATCTGCGAAATAATCAATTTCATTTATTAATGGATTGATAAGTGGGCAAGTTGTTAAGCATATATTCAAATTTTGATAAATTCATAAGATATTGTGTTGAAAGTATGCAATTCTTGTAACTCTTGAATTTTGTTAAAAAACTTACCCAAACATATTTGCAAAGTATATGGTCCAACATAAGAGTGCATATTTCAAAAGTGGCGGTGATGCAAGGCATCGCATTTGTTGCCAAACGTTCCTCAACAATTCCGTCAGTACACTGTCTTTGTTAGAATAGGATGATTTATTACCGGTAATACTCATCGTATCGTCAGGCAACAGCATTTTTACCTGAATACGCAAAAGAAAGTCATTTTTATTTGAAAGAATATTTATTTACAAAAGGTAGTCATAAATACATTTATTAACTAAAATGACTTTTGTATGCTATAGAAAATTACATTCGATACATAGGCTTCCCCAGGCAAAGACGGTATAGGAAAAGTAGGAATTCTCAAAATGTTAATTTTCACGATATTAATATTAACAATAATTTAGAATCAAAATAATATAATTTGTAATTATTAAATTTCATAAAATTCAGTATATCTCTCCCCTCCACTATCATTCTTCTCCGGGCCATCTCGGCGGACAGGGAAGATCCATATATGTACATCGCTATTTTTTTTAGGAAAGCCTATCATGCTCGGTATTGTATGTACGTAGTTATTTATACTTACGGGATATTCGTCTTCGTGGTGTCCAGTATTAATCGCATAGATCTTTCGCAAAATAGCTAACGCCTCCTCCGTTCTGCCTTGAGAGACCAAAAATTTCGGGCTTTCAGGATACCTGGTAGCTATTAGAGTAATTAACATGGTTGGTATTCCAATTACGGCCAAGAAGAGACGCCAAGAATTATATACTATTCCGTTGAATTGAAAGGAAAGTGGTAATGGTATGATGATCCAGGCCAAACCTAAAAAGGAAACAAAATAAAAATTGAAAATTGAAATAAACTTATTAATTTTTTTTTTATTAAATTTTATTAGTAAATATCTTACCAGGCAATATTAACCACGATAGGGTCCAAAAGAAACCAACGTAACATATTGTTTTCACTCTTTGTTTCTCTGCATGAAATTCACCGAGGTACGAATAGACTAGAGAACCAGGAGCACCAATGCTGAAATCATTGAAAATTTGGTATAAATGAAAAAACGGTTCATTGATTAGATATGCGTTATTGTAAATAAAGCAACGGATGATTAATTGAGTTATGTACTTACAAGAATCCACTGAGTGCCCTGAATATCAGCAGTACATTGAAACTCTGCGAAAGACTGCCTCCAATTGATAAAATGCTGTCAGTGAATAAAGTTAGGAGGAGAATGTATCTTCTGCCATAGGCATCAGCGAATACTCCCCAAAATAGGGAACTTACAACTCCACCTAATGAAAAGAAAAAACAAATTATTAATTATTAAAATAAATAATAAGTGGCATAGAGAAACAAATTTTAAATTTATAGAATCTTGGAGTCATAGAATTATTATTTATTTCTTTTAATTTACCGCCGAATTTAATTAGTTTCTACGTATCATATTTGTATTTTTATACTTCAATTTTTTAAATTGGAAAATTCATGCAAGGAATAATTGAAGGGGACAGAAAATGGTCACAAGTCAATTTACTCGTAACTCTCACTTGGTACTTTTACTTTTAAGCCATTAAACAATAACCACGGTGGATACTAATCTAACGGTAAAGTTAATCAACTTTAATCGCACAAACGATGAGTAGGATGTTATATAAAAACTGGTCTTCAATTTTGCTAATGAAATAAGTGCTGTCGAACGTGTCCGATATGTTACAATAAATGCAGTGCTAATTGAAACAACGTGTATTTCCTATATCTCTATAGAACAGAAATGTTTTGTAAACTTTTCTAAATTAAATTAATTTTTCAAACTTTTCTTTAGTTCATAATTATTGTTACTTTAAAAAATAATTAATATTAAGTGTTAGATTAAACATACGAGCATTTAGTCATATCAAAATCAAATTATACAAATTTGTTGATGTCTTAATTAAACTTAGAACAATATGTTGTAATTCAATTTTATTAAAAATTTTTCTGCCTTACCTAATAAAAAGAAGACATTTAAAAGTCCTTTTTGTTCGGATGTTAATTTGAGATCACATTCGGCGGACGGTAAAATGTATGCATTTATTCCATTTTGACATCCAACACAAAGGAACATTACTCCACACAGCAACAGGAAACCATAGTGAAACTTTCCGTATCCTGAAAATTTCAAATTATATACAAAATTATTAAATTGTTCAAATATTATTGTAACAGTGTGTGTATCACTAATAAGAATTATTGAAAATTTTTATTCTCAAATACTGAACGAATACTCAAACAATTGAAATTAAAGCTTAAAAATCGACTGAATATTACTTGAGACTAATAACTTAAGTAGGCAACAATTTAGAGCAGTTTATAATTACAGCCTAATAAATTTTTTAATTTTCTTTTAGAAAGAAAAATAAATTTAATGAAAGTAATTACCGCAAAGTTTGATTGCCTTCTCGAAATCTGCAGTTCCGTCTTTGACACCAGTACTTTCTGAAATCAGAATATATTAATATTAATAAAAATGAATAAATAAGTAACTTAATTATACATTATACGTCTGAAATGACAAAAATTCTTGTGGTCGAGTTCTGTTAATAAATTAAGTTGATAGGAAATTTTCCAAACGTAGAAACAAGGAAATACCATTAAGCTAAATTCCTGTTAGTCTACCAGGTTGTTTTTAATTACTATTAGCACAATCAAGATAGTGACACCAGCAATTGATGGTAAATGAACAGTAAATGAAGCATGAAGCCCATTGAATTAATCTTAAGAGATCGAAATAACTTTCAGATATGTAGTAGGATTTTTAATTTCTTTAAAAATTTTTTAATTTTTATTTTAAATTAAAGATTGGGTATTAATAAATTTCTGAATATTGTGTTTACAAATTTTAATCCCCTTAATATTGATTAATTCAATAATTTATATAATTATAAAATGTTATCATGAAATTATTACATATAATTTTTTATTGAACGCATTATAAACGTGAGATTCTTCAATGGAAATAAACAAGTGACTATCAGTGGTAAGACTAACATAGATAAAACTTTGGTATTAAAAGCAAACTCTGTCTATCCGAGCATTTAGGGAAACAGCTTTGGGTGTGTCGTTATGATTGCGTGTGCTTTTCCATTCACCTAGTATGTTTCATTTGCCCGTGCTTTTCCACTGTTCGAAGCTAATCAAAACGAAAACACCTCGGGAAAAACAGATTCCGTACGATTTGTTTCCGTGCTGTTAAGATCCCTTTAATTACTAGTTCTGATAAGAGATTTCAGTCACGTTGCGAATCTCGTGAAAATAATCCAAACTAATTATCGCGAAAATGTGTTTGAATTAACACTAAAACAACCCTCATTAAATGTAACCTACCTTAAAATTGAAAAAAAAAGTAATAATAATAAATAAAGAATGGAAAGTAAATTAGTACATTAGTACATACATTTTCTTTTATGTTGTTTTAGAAAAAAAAGCTGGTCTACCGTGGTCGAGTTTCGAATTGACTGCTGGTAGCTGTTCAAGTTTTGTTATTTTCTTTTTTGTTAAGTTCTTTTTATTTTAATAATTTAATTACACAAAATTTGAAATATTGTGTCATCAGTGATTAGTACGATAATTAAGAAATTAAGATACTACGAATTTATTAATTATAGAATAAAGAAATAGAAGAAATATTAGAAAGAAAAGAGAGAGAGAGAGAGAGAGAGGATGTTTATAATAATTAATTTAGTCGTGTGTTAGATGTGTTAGTCAATACATAAATAACTTACGATTGACCAACCATACTTGGCTAACAAAAGGAAGGGATCTCCTTATAAATTGTTAACAATACACTGTTGCAAAATTATGCTAATTATGAAGAATATTATACAGGTGTTAATGATTAAGATCATTATTTTCTAGTATTCTGAAATTGAAGATTACATAAGAAAAATAGCTTTAATTTTTTGTGATCGAGATTAATTATATTGAATTCTATATTGGTATACTATTACAGATGAATTTGTCATTCTAAATTTATCAGTGACATAATTCGATTCTGTGTGCAAGAATGTATTTGTGGTTTGGAATACCTTCAATGTTCATTTGAAAAGTGTCAATTAAAACGTGATTATTAATTAATATTATTAATAAAGATATTTATTATTCTATGAATAGGCAAATAGTTAATATTTTCGAGTACATATTTTAAAATTATTATACAAAATATTTCTAATAAGGAATGTTTCCGAATTATTATTCATTCGCAAATTAACGCGAAATAATAAAAATGTTGAATTTATATATAATTTTGCAACAGGATTGTTTTACAGTTACATGAAATGATGTAAATCGTAATATTGTGTGATAGGTGATAAAGGGGTAATTAGAAAGACGAATATATTTTGACACATTTTCTCTACGTATTGTGCAGTATGCACCTGTGTTGCATTCAAATGCAATGCATCTACAGATCAGTTACACATGCTTTTTTTAACTATCAAAAGTTTCGACCCAATGAATGACGTTACGACAACGATGACGATAGGAAGTAATTATCATAACTTGGATAATAATTATCCTAATGATGTTTCGTACGATCTGTTTGATACGGGGACACTTGGTGACAGATGTTTTCCGTGAAATTACGAAGAAACACAATTTCAGTTATTAGAAAACAATTTGTATCAAAAAATAGGTTCTTCTTTTTTTTTTAAATAATAGTGATCACTACTAATAGTTTACTAGTTTTACTGGTCTTACTTGTGAAACCAAATGTGGTAATTATAACATTGTTTGTTGAAACTTAATTTGTTCTTTTAGAACAATTCTAGGAATATAATTCGATTTCGAGGAATAGTAAACATAAGATAGTAAACATTTCTAATTACTATACTACTGTAATATATAATTACATTGCTAAATATACAAGTATTATATTTTACTGATCGTGAGTGAAAAGTAATTAGTGTGTATGAATAACAAAAGAAAATAAACAGGAAACAAACGATCCAGTGTATATTTCAAACAAATAACAATTATTGTATATTCTAAGTATGATTGACGTAAATGAGAAGGAAAAAGAATAAATTTGCAATTTTGATTATTTTTCGTCAACGAACGAACGTTCACGTTCAACAGTTAATCATTGACGTAGAAAATCGAGTATATCGCATAGGTTGAGATTATAAGGAATGAAGCAATTTTCAATGACGCAACAAAAGAACACCTTCGGGAGAGCACGTTCTTAAATATTTTTTTATTAATACCGGTGATTTCGCTGAGACATAACATTGTTGATTGTTCACGCAACCATGTGTTTAGCAATTTTTTATACTTGAAATTAGGTCAATTTAAACCTTCTTGATGCTATTGAAAGTTTAAAAAAGAGAAAAGATTCTTTGGCATAGAATTGGAAAAAATACTAAATGTTTTACAAAAATTAAATTAAATTAAATTCAAATGTTCCACCAAAACCTTTTCATCCAATTCCTTTGTATAAAATATCAATGCACTTGCTTTAGTTTGTAATTTATCATTGTACCATTAATGATATTCATTATTATATGAATAATATAGCTGATATAATTGTACTTTCCTATTTTTCTAATACCATAGTAGAATCAATGATATTTAATATAAATTATAAATGATGTAAAATAATAATTTTTAATTTTTTTAAAAGCCAGCTTATTATCACAAGAAATATATTTATAAATTTTAATTATTTGTATCGTTTCTCATCCTCGATAGAAGAAATAAGTTTTTAAAGAAATTGTAAATTTATATAATAACGAAAGTAATGTTTACATTTACTGTTAAATTCAATACGAGTACATTATCTTGTTGCAAAACTTGGGTTATCAAAACTTACTTGATTATCATTTTTTGCGTGCGAAACATTGCACGCCTCCAATCAAATAAAAAATAAATATAAAGATTCATGCATTTCAACATGGAAACTTTCTTAACAATGGAATATTTCGTAGTAACTGATACACAATTCTACCAGAAATTTATATTATTTAGCAATTATATTGAAAGTTATGAGTTCCAAATAATTGATAAGGTAAATTGTAAAATGCATCTATTTTTATTTAAAAAAAAAGAATACTTGTCTCTCAAAAGGTTATCTCTCAAAATAACACCTACATTTGCTTTTTGTTTTGGTTCTACTACTACTTCCTAGTAGTACGAGTTCGTTGGACCTGCTCCAATGATATTTAGATCACAATGAATCCCGAGATCGAATTAAATTCCAACAGAAGTCATGTATTGATGAATTCTCAAATAAGTTAAGATCGATAGGTTTCATTTAATATGATATTTAATATAAATAACGCAGTAGTAGATATATGGAATAGTAAAATTGTAATAAATATCATTAGCGATAAAATTTAGTAGAATTATTGATAGTAAAATTTAATAGAATTATTAACAATAGAATATTAGAACAGTAAAATGATTAACAGTAGATATAATGATATTTAGTATAAATAATATATTAATCGACACGTAGAATAGTGAAATAATAAAATTAAGTATGCAATGCTGTTAATGAAACCAAAACATTATTTACAATCACATACACGTGGCACCTTCCGAATCTTATCAATTTTAATGAATCGTCCTTGTAACAATAATTTCGATACCGGATGATGAATAAATAATATAGACTGTTTAGAGAATACTAATGAGAATGAAAGGAGTAATGCAACTCTTACTTATTTCATGGGACACATAATACATTGCTCAAAATAGCTATGTTGACCACATTCTGAAATAACTATCAAACGAGGTGAACAACTAGATACGCTAAAATGATGAATTCCACAATCTTTTTTATCTCAAGTTACAGAAATTATTAACGTGTTTTTGTTGAGATATAGTATGTATTAACTTTTCACAAGATATTTAATATGCAGGTTTTATACTATACACTCTTATTATATTAACCCTTTAATTTCACCACTCTAAAATGGAACCATTAGCATTTTATAGTACAATATTTATAAAAATTAAAAATTTTATATTAAATTTAGTAAATAAGGCGAACATTAAAAAAATTATATATACGCCTTTCGTAGTTAAAGAGTTGAAGTTTTAGAACTTTGACTTTCGACCATATCAACTTCCTATTTAAAAATTTCATATTTTTTTATTGAAATCAAACTTTATGTAATATCATAGTCTTATTAGATTGCTTGTTTATTAATTTTCATTTACTCTACCTTAATTTTTATCAATGCATCATTACCTATACAGGTTTTATAGGTCTGGGTCACGATTGGACAAATTTAAATTTATGTATTGTAATTTTTCAACCAATGATAATTTATTACCAACCAATGAGACCAGTGTCTCAACCCTTAATTTTTAAAAAACCTGACGAAGACCCCCCAGTAAGGGTTGAATCCTTGATCTCAATGATTGATAAACAGCTTTCATATCCAAGACTATTAATAGGATGGAAAAGAAAAGACACCCCTATTTATAATAACATCATCAATTGAAAATAATTCCAACACTTCGATTTACATTTGCATATAGCGTTTAATCTTTGATCGAAGGTGATCAGGTGACCCAGACCTACGAAACCTATATAAAGATGCATTGTTAAAACGAGGCGCCTAAATTTCCAAGCGAAAAGAAATGATTACAGAAATATCATGACAGCGAGAAATGGTAATTTTCCAGGACCAATCTACCACGTAAATCTCTGCGGAGGGTTAGCTCCGTATTAAATTGCTTAATAACTTAATGCCATTTTTGTTCCATTAACATCTAAAGCTGGAATTTATATTACATTAAAACTTTTCCACTTTTTAATCTGAAATTACAAATTACCTCGTAGCCTGTGTACTCCATTTCAAAAATACCAATTAGAACAAGATTTACACACTTGAAGAGTAACAATTTTTTACCTCCAATCACCGATACTTTTCTATAGAATGCTGATCAAACAACTCACGAAGGCAAATAAATTATTCTTATTCCTTAGAAAAAATGAATTATTTTTAAATATTAAAAAATGGCACAATTTTATTAGACAACCTAATAATAGTATTGGGTTAGAAAAAGAATAACGTTGGATACTGACCCACTAAATAGGACAAGGAGGCGATCTGATTAACCATCCTAACTTCGTTCGTCAGAGCCTGAGCGAAGACTGTTCGCGGAAAGCTTCTGTTTCCTCGCGAGCGCCGGTGGAAAACGTTCACGAGATCTACGGTTGCGTCGCTTTAAATATTGTCATGCGCTTGCAAGATCGGCCAGTGACGAACTTGAATGCGATTCGTCGATCTCAAAATCGGAACCCCTCTATCGTTCCCTCCACGTGCAAAACTGATTTTGCATCCACGTTGCTCTACCTCCGTATCGCTCGTTCGACACGCCGGTGACGCACGTGACATTTCTCAAGTTTGATGATTTCCAATGAGAAATTCCGCGAGTATACGCGTTTCCTCGACCACGATCATCTTTCTGTGCGTTCAATCGTAATCAATGCTCGATACGACGAATTTACGCAGAGAATAATTATCTTTCGTTGCGAAAAATAGTTGAGGTGAAAATCGGCACGTATTTCAAGAATTTTATAATTATTTGTTCATTTATTTGGGTTGTATCAATTGCTGTACGATGTAGTATAAGGTGACTGAACGTAATATGGCTCGACGGTGATAGAGAAATGGGTTTTTCTATATTAAATCAAAATTGGGAAATATCGGAAATTGGAAATTGATAAATATGTAATCAAAATTTGTAATCAAAATTTGTAATTTGAAAAAAATGGTACCTAATATAGAATATCTTATCTAAATAAGAGAGACAAATTAATAAATATCTGTCATTCTATTTTAATTTATTTAAATTTTCTATGTCATTTACCATTAGTGTAATTAGTAATGCTACTAAAAATGTACCGTTGAGTACTGTTTGATTTCAATACAGTTTTGTTTCATAATTTCATATAATAAGAATATTATTGTATTTATTTGCATTTTTCTATTGTTTTCTATCAGACATTTTTCTTGTTAATTAAGAAGTTTTTTTGTTATATTGCCACAATTTTTATATATACACCAATTTCACAATGATTCCTTTGAAACCTTTAATAAAGACTCTAAACTAAAATAAGAATAAACTGGTATGTAAGAACTTAACGTTAATTAGCAGGTGTTCGTATTACTCGTGACATGCGTGTATCTATGTAATTATAATTTTTAATAACTGCAAATATTCAATCTATATCTGACCGATACATTTAATTGAATACATTATTCCAGTATGTAAGTTCAATCGAATGAAATACAAAATTTATTACCATTTACAAACCATTTATTTAGACTAATAAAAAATTTGCATATAGGTAACCAGTTAAGTAAAGAGTATGTTTAATGTAAATGAAAATTTTTGGTTAATCAAATTTGTCAACTTTATTACACGGAAAGAGACTTGACCGACGTAATATTGATAAACGTACGCAACCATTTTTTTATATCTACGATAGTTTTAAAGATATACAGGGAAATATGGAAACAGCTATATACCTTCAGGGGTTGTTTTCACCCCAAAGAACTGAAATTGAGCCAAAAACAAAAATTGCGCTATACTTCTCTTGAGGTCCCCTACAAACCTGCGAAGTTTAAAAAAAATCGGAATTTTCGAGTTACCGAACTTCCCTTGTCAGAGTAACGTCTTCAACTTTATCTGTTTCATAAACTCGTCAACTTTATTGTTTGCTGTTTTTTTTTTTAAACACTCAGATTAATTTTTTGCAACTAATCTGTAACGTGCACAAACTTATGCCATTCAACGCAGGGAGACGTATTCGTAATAATGTTTGTATTAGGCGCGGTTTCTTGCAATTAGGCTCATTGACTCCAAGAACTAGGAATGAATCAATATTCCATTGAATAACCACACCTTTGCTCGAATTGTATCGATCAGAAAGGATTTAAATGTATAAAATCAAATATATTTTCATTCAGAGATTGTAGACAGGGAAAAGACTTCAACGCTTGTCTATCGTTCAAATCTTTATTACACTTCTATTATTCGTTTCATTATATCAGCAGATTTTACGTAAATAGGATATTTTATTAAGAAATTATTAAATATTGATCAGTTAATTTTATTCGAACGAAGTTAAAAGTTCGATAACATTTGATATTGTGTAAAAAATATTATAATTTACACTAATATTCATAAGAGAATAAACATACTTATATGTAGTTAGATCTAATTTCATTGAAACAATTAAAATTCTAATTGAAATTCTATTATTTGTTGTTATTAATTATTTTACGTATAGTATTTTATTAGCTGTTATAATTTGGTACTAGCGGGAAAAATTTAAGGATTCAGTACAATAGATGTCGGTAAGTACATATCGATAAGATAGTTCAAACGATATATGTATATATGTATACCGCAGTTCACCAGAGTCCATAACTGCGACGCGCAGGTTGGAAGATGGTGGGGGAACGCAGCGAGCTCTCTGCTAATCGCTTTCCACTTCGTTTGGGAATATCGCCAATCAGGGCGAAGATGCGCACTGGAGAAGCGCGAAGAACGAAAATTGGTCTTTTCGCAGTTATGGACTCTGGTGAACTGCGGTATATATGTATGTACTTGTGTAACATGCTGTATTTTCCATCTACGTGAATCCACTCTACAAAGAAATTCTTTTATCAATGGTTATGATCACAGTTCAACAGAACTTAACCTTAAAATGAAATTTTTAACGCTTTTCGTTAATAAGTGAAAATTAAATTATTTTACATAATTGATTTTATAAATTAAACCAATTCAAAGTAAGTTCAAATTTGTATCTTGCTAATACAGAAATTTACATAAAATTCATAGGTATGTATTTATGTATTAATTTGTACCATGTACATGATTGTTTTTATCCACAAGTGTGTAAATTATAGCTCTGTAAAAATGTTGCAATTTAATACGGTTATTTGTACCGCAACGACAAAATTTACTTCTCGATTATGGGGGAGATTAAATATAGCGTTAACAACGAGTGCAACACCACTTCCAATTGAATCTACCAACAGTGTTAAAAAGGTATGATTTCATAACTTTTAATATATATTTAAATTATATAATGCATTTTTGCAAATATCTTTATTTTTGTTAATGAAAAAAGGTTAATTTACCAAGGTTTAATCGTTAGATACAGGAAAAACATTTAAACATAGAAAATACGATTTCTGCACAGTATATAGATTTTAATGAATTTAAGAAAAAGTTGTGTAGTTCTTTTAACATGGAATCCTCAGTTGTTATTAAAATTAAAGATACCAAAAATATACAAGATCTAATGGAAGTGACAAATACATTATTATCTAAGAATGACATTATTAAAATTAATGAAGCCATTGCAATATGGGTGCAACAAAATAATGAAACTAAAGGAAATCTTAATCATAGTAATAGTTCTTCACAAGAACAAACTGAGCAAACTGAACCTAATGCACCTAGTATTATAGCCAATGGGGACTTTTCCATGTATAGTGATCTTTCTACATCTGCAATGGTCAACGTAAGAAAATGTTGTAGTTTGTTTTTATTTTTAATATGACTCTATATTTATTTGTTATTTAATGTAGGAAATAAAAAAATTGGCACATCGCAGCCAAAGAAATGTACCTCTTTTGAAGTATTTGTTTCAAAATATTCTTAGATACAATAAAATATTAAGCCCAGAGGAATGCTCGAGTTTACTGCTTAGCATGAGCAAGTTATCTTTGCCAGATGAGGTAAATTTGAATTAATATTTGTATGTAAATAAAGTTTAACAATGACAATATAATTTAAATTTGTTATAGAGATTACTTCATAAAGTTTGTACTGACTTATTACAAACAAAAGAAATTATTGATTCATTATCTGTTACAAAATTGATGAACATAGTGAAGTCTATGGCATATATCAAACATAAAAATAATAATATTTTGCAAAGTGTATGTAATTGCATAGACAAGTTAGGAGCTAACTGCTACCCCCGGCATATAATAACGATTTTAATTTCATTAGCAATATTAGGCTATGAAGGAGAACATGTAAATAATTTAATAAAGGTATGTGACATAAAAAATATTTAAAATAATTGTAAGTATATATATGTTATTTGTATCCATTAATTTGATTTAGTATGTGTCTTAACTATAATTAGACATATTTGCACTATGATTCAATAACCAAATTAAGTGATATTGAACGATTGAACTTCATATGGTCATTAGTTATATTCAATAAAGCCAGCATTTCACAAATTCAAGCTGTACTATATCCAAATTACATCCAACGTCTTATGAGTATAGGTCAGTATCTTTACTTTTATACAATGTGTTATTGGATAATTTTTATTATACATCAGTAACAGATTAATATTTAATTTTCTATTTTAGACCCAAGACAAAATGTGTCACATTCATTAAAATTATTGAATATCAATGGGTATGCAAGATCTATACTGAAGGACTATCCTGGTAAAATAGAGTGCACATTTACCATTTCAAAAGATATTATAAAATAATTTGTACATATTTTAATAAGAAGCAATTTTTAGGGCCTTTTTTACCAAGTACTGTGAACCCTTTAACCCAGAAACAAACAGTACAGAAGGAATTATATATTAGAGTTCTTGAAGAAACATTGAAAAACATAGTACCATCCTGCTCCCATTATAAAATTAATGTAAATACAGAAATGGGCTTTCTTTTAGGTATTAATTCTTTTTAAAAGTAACATATAAAAGTTTAAAATTTGTTTTAATGAAATAATACTTTCCTCATTTTAGATGCGGAAGTATATATGGATTCTAATTCCAGACCTGTTTGTGTAAATGATATTAAAGATTATCATACTAAGTACGTATCTAAAGGAGATGTAACAAGTATTCAAATATTGTTATTTTAATTTAAAATTAATTATTAAACATTAGGCTTAGTAAACAACTATGTAAATATATATAAATATATAAAATAATATACGTATTTAAATTGTAGGATAGCTATAATGATACATGATTATCATGATGTGTGTGTAGGATCCATAGAACCACACGGATTAATTAAACTTCAGCATCGTTTACTAAAATCTAAAAACTATGAGATTTTAAGTATTCCTTACACGCATTTTGGCATAGAAGATACACTGGAAAGACGGGTAACTTACTTGAAACGTCAGTTGTGGAAAAAACAAAATAAATAATTTTAGTAGTTACTGAAACAAGTAAGGTTTCATTACATGTAATAATTCGTAAATAAAAATGCGTATAAAATGTTTGTAAATTACATCTATTGATGATATTTCCTTAACAAATCAATTGTATAAAGTATTTGCTTCTTTGACTATAAATGTTATGTGTGAACATGAAGAGTTGAGTCTAATGTTTGTTACAATTATAAAATAATATTTATTTTCATAAAATTGTATAATTTACTTTCATTCAAAGAAAAGTTAAGTTTATGTTTCATTAACTTAGTTTAAGTTAGTGATTTAATTTAAAAAAAATCTTGAAAGATTTTATCATCGCCGATATTTAAATAAATTACATTAATTATGGTATTTTTTGTTTATCTTAATTTCATAATATACATATTTGTTATGCAGTTTTACCAAAAAAGAAATAATAATAGCAACAAAAAATAATGATCTCGTGACATATGGGTTGAAAATCGCTATCCTAGTCGATAGAATGTCGCGTGAAAAAGAAATTCACGCGTCAAAATCTATCGCCTCTTCCAGGCTCGAACGTTCCATTCTCCACGATACATTGTATCGTCGTCGAGCGCAGAAAACGAACGAACTGCGCCCTAGACAATAAACGAGGAACTAAATTTCTGGTCTGTTTTACCTTCTTGACGTCTTTCGCGAATGAACAGTCAACGAAATCGTAGTTCTCAAATTACTTCTTCCTGGAGACTTGTACATCATCCCTTGGGGGCTCATTTTGTTCTATCCGACCCAAAAAATGGTAGTCTGGTACCCATTTGGACAAACTATTGGCAGAAATGTTAATATTACGAATAAATTGATGCAGGTGAGTCCGATCCGCCATTTTCTTGACGGTTGACAGACATAAATTTCAATATTTTATCATTTTTTAACGATTTAGATAATATGAAAACAGAATGCAAAAGAATTTGAAGGACATGTCCAGGAGACCCTAAAGAATGGTAGTCTGGTCCTTATATTATCCAAATCGTCAAAAAGTTATAAAATATTGAAATTGCTGTCTATCAACGGTCAAGAAAATGGCGGATCGGACTCACCTGCATCAATTTATTCGTAATATTAACATTTCTGTCAATAGTTTGTCCAAATAGGCACCAGACTAATATTCTTTGGGTCGGATAGAATAAAACGAGCACCCAAGGGATGATGTACAAGTCTCCAGGAAGAAGTATTTTGAAAATTACGATTTCGTTGATTGTTCACACGCGAAAGACCAGACCAGAAATTTAGTTCCTCGTTTATTCTGTAGGACGCAGTTCGTTCGTTTGATTAATAAACAATTGTTAAATTAACAATTTTCTGTACAACCCAATTCACAATTGATTCTGCTTCTTTCAGCCTAGTTCACACTTTATTCTGTAGCTATGTTCACTTACACTGGCGAGGTTCGCAACAATATCAATATCTGAAATAAAAAATATCGATACTGTATCGCCCATCCCTAGTTGGCGTACAGTCCGGTGCACCACGGTGCACATTAGCATTAGAATAATTTTTTGCAGTGTGATCAAAGTGTCGTGATTAATTTTATAACTTGTTTAAAACAGTTTCCCTAAAAATGGTAGATGTTTATTATTTTATCTCGATGAAATAAAAATTAAATAGAAACAGTATAAATAACATGGAAATTTTTATCTACAAAATTGGTTAAATTCTTTTTAGATGCAATTTATGTTACTGTTCAGCCGCCAAGGAAAATTACGTTTACAAAAATGGTACGTGGCTCATCCTGATAAATTAAAAAAGAAAATTACACGAGAATTAATTACCACAATATTGGCCCGAAAACCTAAAATGTCAAGTTTCTTAGAGTGGAAGGATGTTAAAGTTGTCTATAAAAGGTATCATTGTATAACACTTAAAGTATTTATTCTGCTGATTCAATGTATTAACAAATTAACAAATTATTTTATAGCCAATTCTTTTCGTTTTCAGATATGCAAGTTTATACTTTTGTTGTGCAATAGAACAAAATGATAATGAATTATTAACCTTAGAGATCATACATCGTTATGTTGAATTACTAGACAAATATTTTGGAAGTGTGAGTACAAATTTAATTTTATGTTTGTTATAAAACAATATAATCAATTTGAGTTTAAAATAACAAAAGATTTAATATATATAATGTATATTTTATTAAAAATTAATTATAAATTTATTTATAATATATATTTATATATATTAATCATTAAAATAATAATTTATATTAATATTAATTTAAATTTATTAGGTATGTGAATTAGATATAATTTTCAACTTTGAGAAAGCATACTTCATCTTAGATGAGTTATTGGTCGGTGGTGAAATTCAAGAAACCAGCAAAAAAAAACGTTTTAAAAGCCATTGCAGCTCAGGATTTACTACAGGAGGTTAGTTATGGGGATGTACCCATTGAATTGTGATTTGTCCTTTTTAATGACACTATAATTTTTCTTTGTTATTTTCTGGCAATATAATCGAATCATTTTAACATGCATATTAATTATTGTATTGGTTTCAAGAGATACAATGTTATGTTATAGTTTCATTTACACATATACATAATATTAAATTGTTTTATCAATTCCTGAAAATTTGTTAAAATGGTTCACATAACATATTTAACCTTTAATGGTTGGTGTGTAACATCCTTATCAAAGTAATCAAATTCTATATTGATCAAGAGGTAACATAAAAGATATCAATACCTCTTGTATGGTTTATGTGTGTGGCATGTTTATGGCCTGTTTATTCTGGGTAAAGTAATGTGGTGATAATATGTAACATAATTTGCTTATAATTGAATGATTTGAAATATAGATAAATAACTATATTTATCAATGATACATTTAATTAATAACATATCACTATACATGTGTGTGTATATATATATATATGTCTACATGTAACTTTTCCTTACACCCAAAAAGTACCATACAATTAGATATTAAAATTAATATATAAATTTATATGAAAGCATAATTTATATTCAATATATATTAGCATATTTATAGATACAGTATTCTTGATTGACTATACATACATATAGAAATGCTATAAATAAGTCTGTTTTACTATAACAGTACTCACCACATTGTTTTATTGCCTGATTAAAATGGGTTGTATTGATACTTTATTGTTTATTAACAGTGTAATATTTAAATTGCATGATGGAATGTCACCTTTTTGATTTTAAGTATTAATGTGTTATTTTCTTTTTTGATTTGATATTTGTTCATGTGCTGTATATATTATGTATTTTATAGTCTGATATTTTTGTTCTTTTACGTAGTCTTGTTAGTAAGTATTTAAAATTTTGATTAATATTTAATGTGTAATGTATGTAATTATTGTTGTAATGCCTGATTTAAAAATCAATGTCATAAATTCTGTTATAGATATAGTTAATATATATACATATATATACAATGGTTAATAATCTTTATTATTATTATGAATCGTAAGTATGATTCAATTTTTTCTAATGTGATTCAATTGTGAAATCATCATTGATGCATAGTTCGATAAAATACCATATAGTCAGGAAAGCATAAATAATAGAGGTGTGCAAGAATCCGAAAATGTCGGGCCAGGCTGGCCCGGCTCGGGTTAAGTTTGGTCTGGAACGTATTTTGAGACTCGAAAATATCGTAATTCCTGATATTCTCGAGACCCAAGATACTTTTAGGACTTAATTCGACCTGATCCAGTCTCTTTTTATCCCACCCGACCATCAGTTTCCCGAAATTTTCAGATTCTCGCATACTTATAACAAATAATGTCTACACATTCTTTCCAGTGATATTATTGTAAGACATCACACATAGACAAGTGTAGATATCTATATTTTAAAATATTGTAACTTCCTATTTTCCTTGTAGCTAATGCTGTGTGAATAGAATGCTTTATATGCTTATTCTTTCAATAATGTAAGTGGGCTTACATATGTTGTGAATCTTTATTTATGATGTACGCAGCAGCATATCTATAGCAAATATAAATTAAATACTGTTGCCATATTATATTGCCATTAATATAGCATTATATCGAGTATTATAATACAATTAATGAGAAGGGTATATTATTTCTATTTTGAAGTTCCTTTATAATAGTACTTCTTAAATTGAAGTTATTTAATTACATCATATAACAAAGTAGTGATTAGTTATTTTCTATGAATAAATATTACAGCAATATAAACGTTTTTTTTTTGTAATTATATACAGTAAAATTAATTTAAAGTATTGGTAATGTATAATATTAATAATACAATCATTTTTTATAGAAATAAAATGCATGTTCTTCATATATATAATTTTTCGTATAAATTTGATATGTTTATTGTATGTTTATACATGAAAGTAAATTCATTTTAGTTATTTCGTACATGCTTACTTTTACAAGTTCTTTATCATGTATTTGTAAGAATATTAATAAGATGAGTATAAAGATATTTGTTAAAATAACTGAGTTAGATATTGATAGATTGTTGTTTAGTATGTTTATATAAAGATTTAACTATATTTAGAATTTTTTAATGTTTAAAATACGAAGTGTTTTCAAATTATCATTGCCAAAAGTTATTCAAAAACTGTAGCATTCAGATGGACTTACAGAACTGATGTTTAAATATTTGTAGATTATATCTAGTCCTTAACAATCTTTATATTTGTAAATTTTTATAAAAATAGTGAGATGGATATTTGTTTAAAGTAATATAATAATTAGTGGTTTTACATAGAAAAATATGTTATACGCTTATATATTATATAAAAATATATATTATACGCTTTTTTAATATTACAAACTGTAAAAGTTTGTATCAAGATAGTGAAAGAAACTTTGTAGTAGATTTCATCAAATTTTATTCAATTTTATTAACTTTATTGAATTAATATTAACTTGGAAAGATTTTTTAAAGATTTAACAAAAGTAAACAGGAGCATTTCATTTGTTCTTTGTATTGTAATAAAAATATAAAGAAATGCTATTTAATTATTCGTTAAAAAAAATTACTCTGAAAAAATAATGCTATGGAAATGCTGTTGTAATTAGTTATTGAAATGTATGTATATATTTATTAAATTGCAATAAATATTAACGTTGCCAATTATGTTGATGATATAATTTTATGTAATTTTATTGATTGTAATCCATACAATACTTTGAATAGTATTTATAAGAAATTCATCAGATGCGAAAGTATGATTGTACCATATTTTATTTGCATAGTTTGAAAAGTAGCTTTTTTATAGACTTGAAACATTTATTTGTCTTATTCCAATAAGACATTATATTATATGCAACATCAATGCACTGGATGTTTGTGGTTCATAGTTTGATAATTTATGATAAATTTTTAAGTATACATTTAATTATATCAGAAAATTTGGCATTAGTAATTTTGTACACATTTGTTGATGTATGATGACTATATGTACGCTTACAATGTATTTTAAATTTAGAATGTAATTATACTTATGTGACAGATTTACATAGGAAATTTTTAGATTTATATAAATCATACATACCTAATAATGCCAAATTCTGATAGAACAAAATATATTTTAAAAATTACGTATGATAATTCATGCCAGCAGTATTAAAATGCATGTTTGCTTGAGTGATACATCTTTCTTTAATACATTTCATCAATTAAACTTCTGTATTAATTCAAGTTAAACAACGTCATTTTTTATCAGATGGGATGAATTTATTATAAATGAAATTTATTTATACAAATATATTACATATTCCTTATAATGTATTTACATAAAACAATATACTTACATAAATACATTTAGTAAGAAAATTTAATAGTAAGATTTAGCTTTTAGCTCATCATTATTATTCCGTTTCTAAGGACACATCTAGAAATACACTAAAGATTAGTTAGAATATTTGTTTGTTTGTGGAAGGATGAAGCTGTGGAAGGTGCTCTGCGGGAGATAGGGCTTTTGTAGGTGCTGCATTCTTGCATGCCCTCCATGGCCAGTCTAACAGCCCACATGAATCAAGACCTGGAGCAGGCTCACCCGCTGCATGATGCCATCATACATCTCTACTTTTTCTATAGATATTGAACATCAATTTTTTACTTACCACTGATAATCCTTACAAAAATTAGTGTAGGAACCGTTAGCATATTTTTATATAGAAAACAAAAATGCTGTTAACACAAAATGAACAGAGTAATATAAACATATATATTGTATATCATATATCACTCTGTTACATGTATCGAACAAAATATCCTTTTAGTTACAAAACTACTTTTCCTTTCATAACTTAGCAAACAATAGCTTTAAAATAATTAGTCCCGTACTATAGCAATAAAGTTATACAGGTTCAAAAATTGTTTCTTTTATGTACGTACATAGAAAATTATTGGCGTACCATCTATAACATTTTTAATCACATTACACTTTGTATAGTACTTTTCATGTTTGTCTACTTAAAAAATATTTATTTTAGTATTTAATTAGAAATGAACATTTGAAAGTGTCGTTTTTATATGTGTATATGTGTATATACATAAACAGTGTCAATTTTTAATATTATAATTTTAACACAGTAATGATATATACAATAAAATGTATACAAACAAATTTTTATATAATTGTATACGAGATTATATAGAACCTTTTCCATGTAATTAACCCATCTATGTAATTATTGTTATTGTATTTACCCTTTCAGGTTTTATTCAGATATTTTATCCCTTTCCATTTCAAATAAAAACATCATTAGAATTATTATTTATTCATTGTTTGTTAGGAAGATTCTTTCTCCATTAAAGTTTGTCAAATGTACAATATGTATCCTTATTTAATCATAAGCGCAGAGATATTCTGTATGCAGCATGTAATACAGACATTTCTTTGATCAGTGCTTAAGCATTTTAAACGAGGCAATAAATCAACATGTGCTTTGTGCAGCTTTGTGTATCCATACAAGTATATACTCAGTTATATGAAAAGGGTTCAGTTCACCATTTGAGGCTGCATCAAGGAGATTACTTAATTGCAAACTAGGTACGTGTTTGTTTATATATTTTCATTATTGTATATTTGCATTGTATGATAATGTGCAGCATCAAAGAAATTGATCCCTCTTCATATTCTTAAGTGTATATTTTTCATTTGTATTTTAATTTAACATTATTATTTGTGTGTTTCAGGAGGAAACACCACAGGGATTCTTTGAAGATCATGGTTTGGGATAATATTTTCTAAACAATCTATCCGATTTAATGTAAGTGATCTGTTCTTGCAACATTACTTCAACATTCCAGAATTATATTTACTTCTAAGTTTTATCAATTATGTTAAAAAAATATGCATAGATCTTAATTATTTGGATCATAAGCTTTTCAATTGAAACTACATATATCTTTCTCATTAGATCAAGTTGAATTGTATTATATTCCTTTAACGTATAAGTTTACATAGATATGATATAATAATCATTAGCTATGGTCAGTTTTTAAAACTCAATGAAAACTAGTTGCTATTTTGGGAGAAACATTTCTCCACTTTACAAAAATAACAGCAGTACTATGCTACATATGTATACGTGTTAATATTATTTAACCCTCTATGTTTTGTTTATGTATAAAGTAAACAAAATTATACATACATAGATTATTATTGTTAATCGACTTCGTTTTATCATCTGCTTTACCCTCTTGTATAGCTTAATATCTATTAAGGAGTCTATAATATTAAACAGTTGAATTTAAGATACTGATGTCATTAGAATTCTGTTGAACTAATTTAAATATACATATACAGCAACTATTCTATACATATATACATATTCCTGTTCTATATTTGAAAAATTAAAGATTTATTGAAAAATATATAAGTGTAAAAGTTTGCAGTTTACTTGTTGAAATATTATCATAATTAATAACGCAGTTAAAGTTATACTTTATGCAATCTATATTTCACATTTCAGTAAGGATGGTGATGTTAGTACATAGAGGGTTAAATAGAAAAAGAAAATTCATAGCGAGGTGCTTGTCGAAATTCGACTTACATTTAATTGTTTTGTTAGATCGTATTAGACGTATATACATTACATACATATGTATTTCAAAATATTAATCGTTTATTGATCTTTAATCAGTAGTGATATTGTTGCATTTTATATACATCTGTATAAGTGAAAAATAGTTAATACATTTGATTCTTTTCAACAAAGATCAACCTTGAATCAATTATTAAATAAAAACGAATAGATCAAAGTAAAACCTTTTAAAAATACAAAGAATTAATTATGAACAACTCTGATAATTATTATCTTACGAATACAATTTTTTTTTTCTAGAATTCTAATAGTGGTAATAATTTTATATAATTATGCTGAAGATATGTTAACAGCAATTCTTTTAAATAACTGCTTTTGTTGTTATATCATCAACTTGTTTCTCCATACGGTAATTATATCAATTAAATGTAGATAATACGTTTATATAGTTATGAATGAAATATAATGAAAGAAGATTTATAGAAACATTTTTAAATCATTACAATTTAATATTGTAGTTATTAACTACACTGTTTCTGCTGCAACATATTATACATTTTTTTAATTCGTTATTGTAAAAGAAATATATACATGTTTAATAATGGGCCCTATCTGTATATCTATGTCGCAGAAATTTTCGTTAAATAATTACGCAAAGTTCTCTTATACAGAAGGACCCATCCTGACACATAAGTATTTATTTATTTTGAAAAGTACGTTGAATCAGATTTAAATCTGAAAATTTCAATTCCTAATATTAATCGATTTTCAAGGATTAATGAAAATTGCCAGTACCGTTAATATTACACTAATAATAGAAAAAGCATTGCATTATAAAATTAAATGATGAGATTTTTGATAATCCTTATAAAAATCATCACGATACAACGTACTTTTCTAGATAAATCGATCTATATTGGATAATTGTATCGATTTCGATCAAACATCATTCCAAGCCATTTTTCATGTTCCTCTTAACGCGTTCAGCCCGGAAGTGTATTACTTTTTAACTCTTTCTGTAGCTTTTAATGCATTTCGGCCGACTTGGATAGATCTACTGATCGAAAGGAAGCATCGAGATTTAAACCTGTTTTCCTAGGTTCGAACATGTTAAATTGTTGTCCTAGTTTAGAGTTTCACACCTGATCGATGGTAATGGCTTATCAGAACTTTGCCTGTTGAGAGTGGCATCTTATGATGCCATCAGGACTGGTCGAGTTCGACCAGTTTGGCATCTTATGATGTCAGCAGGGCTGAACGCGTTAATCTGTGCTAACGAGGTATTTTTCAGGATCGTTCTTTTCCGTAACGAACGAAATCGATATTACATGCAAGATTCATAGGCAGACAAGTTAGTATCGTTAGTATAGCCTAGTAAATACCGAACGGTGATATTTTACGAGTCGTTTCGTGGAAACAAGCGATCGTGTAATATCTCTGTCGAACAGTTTGGAAAGTTTGCATAAGGACAATAAGTTTTAAGCGTTACTCGTTGAATGTTCGTTCGGTGTTCATGGATATTGATATAAGCCAACACGAGGGCACGTGTTATACATATCTGAAATTTATACACTAGCTGTCCTTATTCTTCTCCGTTAATTTCAACCGCTTTCCACGGAGGTGTGACGCAGAGAGCCTCAGATGTGGCCCACCCTAAATGCAATGAAATTTGACGGGTTGATAGTTCATATATCTATAAACGTAATTATAATTTCAGTAAGAGTTGAATAGCCAATTTTGAGGACATTTGAAAATTGCTGAAATTGATTCATTTGATAATGATTGCAGCCTTCTTTTACAATTTTGGGTGTACCGATTGATTTATGTAATTAAGAACCAAATTTGAAATCTGACCTAATTAAACAATTCTTTTCCAAAATTGCCTTGATACTCGAGGCGGTACTTATTGTAGATAACAAGCCTATCAACCTACCAGATTTTATTAAAACGGATAAGAACTACATCTGAAACATCCTCTGTAAGTCTAATGCGTCATGACGCACGTGTTCATAAATAAAACTTCATTTATTTGAATTTTGATTAAATGAAATTTTAGTGAATGCCTGATTAATTGAATGTACTAGGAACTACATATATATTATTATAATTTTTAAATTTTGATTATACACCTGAATACTCGTAAACTGTAGAACAAAGTATTAAATTATTGCAGATTAAGTGATTGATTTCTGACATGATTTTATAACATAAAAGTATCATGAAATAGTACTTATGCTATATCATTTTGAAGCTTAAAACTTTATAAAAATGCCTATATAACTGTTTCATTAAAATTCTTAATATAAAATGAAAGGGTTATTGACTAGAGCAAACAATGCATCAAAGTGAAGTTATAAAATTCAATCAGGATATATTGTGTCGAAGAATATAATATAAATTCTAATAAAACTTTACAGAAATTTGAATATTTTGTAAAATAATCTGTCATTTCATCTGCAATAAATTAGTAGAAAAATTTCATACTTAAACCCTTATTGTAATGCGAACTCTTTGGGTGGTAATTTAATTTTAAAAACCATAACAAAATACTCCCACTTTTTTAAATATCTTAATGATTATAATTTTCTTTAATTTTTAGAAAATTTTATTGTTTCACAATTTTGTAACTTTTATTTTTAGGAGTACGTATTTGAATACGTACTTAGGAATACCTACATATGTATTCGTAAATGGACAAATTGTAAATTTTTTGAATAATATTTTATTTTATAGTTTGTCTGGTTAAAAGTACCCAAGGAGTTAATTGAACAAAAAATCATTCATATAATAAATTATTTTTATCCGAACATTCCAATTTTTAAATTATATTGTCTATCAACATATTCAAATAAATGTAGTTTTATTCTAGTTTATTTTTATTTTGCTTTCAATCATGTCATTTTATAATTTTTCAAAGTTTTTTTTTTTTGAGGAAAGAGGATCTTTAACCAGAATTTCCTCGTTAAGATATTTATTGTGAAATTGCTAGGCAATATGGAATTTTATTGTAGATTAAACTCATGCAAAACTGAATGTTCAGGAACATGAGGAGAAAATAAATTTCAATGATTTCTTGAAAATCAAGCACATATTGTCTGGATTTGTAGCATGTTAATGGTGGCAAACGATTTAACCAAATTAAGTATAAATAGTTTTAAGTAAAACGACGAATGGCTATGTTTAGTTAGAGTCAAATCTTGTATTTTCGTTTAAGCATTTAGTACACTATGGTGCAGCTAAAATTTTTGCATTATTTTCTGTATTATACGTACTTTTGTACGTGAATGAACTATGTACTTACACAGGAGGGTTGAACAAAATAAGGAAAACACAAAATAATTATGACTGTCTGAGTTAGGCATATTCATGAGTAATGAATAATTTTTCATTCGAAGGTTATTCGAATAAAATTTCATTCATAATTTTATTAAAAATTATTAAACATACAAATTGTTGCAATGTCCCATTTAATTTCTTTGTATTATGAATCTAGTATTGATATTATTTTAATCTTTTTCCTTTATCGAATTAATCAATAGTACCAATTGTTATTAACAATAAACTCGTACCAGTGTTTTTCTTGAAAAATAGTTTTATGAGATCATTTTATAGATAAAGATGGCTGTCTTCAGAATTGATCATCATAATTATATTTAGTTTTCTTTAAATTATTTAGTATTTTCATTATTTTGTACATCCTCTGTACAAATTTTTATTAATTTTAACAGTTTATACTCGATAACAGCGAACTGCGCAGTTTGTTTCATATAATCAAATCAAAATTAGCGATTAAGTGTTCGAATTTATTAGAACATCAGGTATACAGGATTAATAAATCAAACAAGAGAATTTAGGATGATAGGAACCAATGTTAAACATATGAACGTGTATTTACGATAAGTATGTATATGAATATTGTATTTGAAAAGACGATGCTTTGTGCTCCGTCCATAATAAAGTATGTGATGTCAAAAATATTGATTTTCCTTTCAGAAGTTTCCGCTTTATTGCCTGGCTTTTTATTGGTCTTGTAAATATAATTCAATTAACTTCAGTAGCAATTATAAATTTTTATTAACATGGACGTGTATGTTATCATTTTTTGAAAGAAATTTATTAAATTTATGTTTTTTGTTTTAAACAAGAACAATATTCTGTTACCTTTTTGTTATTTTTAAGATAGATAACTTGAAATTTTTACAAACTCTAATTAAAGGTTTACATTGCTAAAATGAATCAAATTTTTGTTTTTTATTTTATTCCAAAAATAGAATTAATGTAAGTTTAAATTTAAATTTAATAATTTAATTTAAGTATTAAATATTAAAATTGGGAATTAAGTAATGCAAACATGTATTTATAATTTTTAAATTATGTAAAAAATAAGTAACCCATAACAAATTCTAACAAACAAATTTTCATTCAGAATTTCAGTGATTCCAGAAAACATAGTTTCCTTGTCCCAACAACAATCCCTTTCAAACTTCTATGCTCGATAAGGCGTCGCATGCATGATTAATCGATACGAGTGTCCCATATATTTAATTTTCCAAACAAAGTTGCCGTCTGGATGTACATTAAACTGTTGAATAATGAAAGCAAGCACAACGTGAACGCGTTTCCTCGTCCACTTCCGGCATTGAAAAATTCTATATACACTGGTTGTCGAGATTTTCATCATAGACGTCCACGGTGTGTATTGTCAACCATGTATTTCAAGGATTCACGCAACGGTAAATCGACGATGGACGACAATAGTGTCAGCAACGACAATGTTGCATTATTTAGAAGCACAAAATGGAAAACGTTTATTCAAATCGTTCAAAAGTAAGGGTTATTTCCTTCTTTTCTCCTGATATTTATTATTAACACGTTTTAACCCTTCCAATTTGATATTGGTGCATAGATTTTCCTAGTTTTGGTATTAAGGATGATATAGTCACTGACCATGATCACTGTGGACGATTATAGTCAGATGTAAAGCGTGTATAATACCGAGTACAATATACTACCCTACGGAAAATGACGCTACAGTGGAAGTAGAAATGTTCAAAGCATTAATTTCGATGATGTTAATATTAAAAGTAATTTGGTACAAAAAATGACAATTTTTAATTATTAAATATTGTAAAAATTGGTATATAATTGAAAAGTACGAATAACAAAGTAAATATTCATTCAAATTTTACCGTGTAAATGCTTGTACACGAGTGGTGGAGAGCAATGGACCTATATGTATACATATGGGGCCTGCTCCTTTACATTGCCACTTTCCTTGGGATCGCGTACGTCGTACGAGAAAGGGCGAGAGTCCAGAAAAGAATTGGACCTTGTGACAAACTGAGAGGGGGGTAGTATCACCATTTTTTTCTGGGAAAGCTTATTATGCTCGATACTGTACATTAATGAAGATATAGAAATTTTCAAATGATAATTAATAAAAATAAACATATTTGTGACGGAAAGTACTATGTTGCAAATAAGATTTGATAAAAAATTATTAACATTTGAATTTCTATAGAAGTCCATTATTCTAAGGATTCTTTTAGCAACGACGGCTATAGCGAAAGGGCTGATATCTTTAATTTGAAATAAATCAAAAATCAAAAATATTTCATTATATTCACTGTATTTCAATTCTGGTAAATTTGAACAAAATTTCAACAAAGCGTATTTTATTTGTACATTGTAAATTAATTTAAAGAATGTATTGATTAATCAAAAAAATTTAATAACGTTCAATTTTTATTTATTAGAAAAATATTTTAAAAATCACCTCTGTATGTTCTTCATTAATAAGAAATTACAGAATCGATTAATTAATGAATTTATTCTCCTTTTAATTTCAATGGGATTTATTAAAAAAAATGAATGGGATTTATCAGGTTTATTTCGTTTTGAAATAATTGACGTAATGAACACGTTGAGGAAAAATTCATTAGCGTCGAGCCGATGTATTTTGCTCGATTTATCGTAACTTTAACGTTTCAAAACCCAAAAATATTCATTTCTGACTTCTCTTTTTAACACCATTCTGACATTTTGACAGAATTTCATTTGACATAAAGAAATCATAGATTAAACTTAGCTGATCTTGTCTTTAATCTTCGACCATTAAACTGTATCATGGACGGTCAATTTAGACAAAATCAAAAATAGGATCAAAACCAATTTCTAAAAATTTTATTTTGTAAATACGATACTGTATAAGTACATTTTCGTACAATGTAATTATTTAAATTAAAATTCAATTTGTAAAATACCTTTTACAATGACAATTTAAATTGTCCTATAAAAATACCCGAAATGGTTCCTACAGTTTAATATAATTTATTCTGATCATTCTATCCTGAAACGTTCCTCGTTTCCAGGAACCTCGAAATCCAAAAGAAAATGTCCAAAAGTCGAAAAGGAAAATGAGGGAAGATGTAGAAGATACAAGGTTGCTCGGCGAGCAATTCAACGCGGAATAGTCTGTGCACGCATGAAACGTAAGCGCGTTGCGCGAGAGGAACGCTGCGGAGTCGCGTCGGCGCGCTCGCAAAGCAGCGTCGACGTTTGGTCGTCGCTTTGACGTCGTCGAGTCGAGTCGAGTCGGGTCAAGGCGTGTTTCGCGTTTCATTTTGCACACGTAAGACCGACAACAGTTTACCGTTGCCGGGCGTGAAGTGATTTGTTCGCGTGCAACGAGGCCGGTATCACGATCGTCGGTGTCGCATGTACGAAAACGGTAACGCGTATACGGATTGTGCCGTATCGTGAAGAGGTATAACAGTGGGGTGGAGCGGCGCCGTCGTTGCGGCCGAACACGGCTCTTCTCGAGACTACAAGAGGTCGCAAGGTGACGCGACGCGCGCCGTCCCGACGTCGCTGATAACGCCGGATCTCGATAGCCCAGTGCCCTAGACTTGTCCCAGGATCGTAACAAAATCACCCCAAAAAATGTAATCCTCCGAGTGTCTTAACGAACATTCATTATGTTGCTTCGTATTATAAACTTTCGAGTGACTTGATCAAATAGTCCTTTTTTTGATTAACCCTTACTCTAGCCACCTAATTTAGATAACCCATTAAATTCGTTCCTAAGAAATTTGGAATATTTTGAAAGAACAATTTCAAGTAATTATAATAATAAGATCGTTTAGATAAAGGGTTAAGGAAAAATCGAGGGTCCCCAAGCGAAGGGGTTCCCCTCGTGGAAGCTGCCAGTTGGTCCGTGCATGCGTCCGGCACTGTCGGTCGGTGGTGACGAAGGGGCTGATGTCAGTGCGGCCACTCGGCGCCCGTTTCGTGGCTCGGATGCGCGAACGCGACACCCGCATCGTCCTCGTCCCGCGAGTGAAGCTCCCGGCTGAACCAGAGGCGGCAGTAGCAACGGCCGATGACGGTGATGGTCAGCCGCGAAACAGTGGTGATTGCTGCTGACTGGTGCACGATCCTAGGCAATCTGTGTGTCGCGTACGGTGCTTTGCCAGTCGCTAGGTTGGCTCTGGGGGTGCAGCTTGGGGAATAATGCGCGTTAGGCAGGTTACACGGCTCAGAGGACGACAGGACGACACGAAGGACCCGAGCAGCCAGACGCAGCTGCACCTGCAGCTACGCAATTATGTACGCGTACGGTTTCGAGATCACGTAGTGGCTGCCGTGTAATTATGTTGTCATCGCGCGGCGCACCCTGTGGAGCTTCACGGTGAAAATCTGGCGTGAGCGGTGCCGCGGTGGAACGGGGAACATGGCGTCGGGCTCGGCCGAGATTCTATCCAGCCATGGGCACAGCTTCAGCAAGAAATCGTTTCACAAGCCGACGTACTGCCATAGCTGCACTGACATGCTGTGGGGCCTTATACAGCTGGGGAACATCTGCGAAGGTATCTACCACCCATTTCCTTCATACTTACCTACGTGCATCCCTTAACTATTATTCGCCTAAAATATTATTATAATTAATATAAATCTATAGAGGAACAACGAAAAGTAGAATTGCAACAATTTTCTTAATGTCCCTTGGGTGATTGGATCAGTTCATCTTCCATACCCTGGGCACCGATCCTCGGGCCAAACTGTACGGAGGTTGAAACCGGTTAAAATTGACGGATCAAAGGCGTTATAGGTTCGATAGGAAATCTCTGAACAGGGGCAAGTTTCCGTGGAGAAACTGCAAGGTAGAGGACCGATCGATATGAGCGCGTTCGGTAACGAAATCGAATACGCGGCGCGTTGCCGCCGGAGTACGCTCGTCCCGCCTTTTCACGGGCTCCGAAACCTTGGTCGGCGTGCGAAGTTGAAGCTGGCTGACCTCCAAGAATGATGAATGGCAAGTGCCCATTCACCGTGTGTGTGGAGGATAGCAACGTTCGTACAGAGGATCGTTCCCTGGTCGAACGTCCCAGCTGAATTGTCACTCAACTGCAATTTCAGAATTCACCTATACGACTCAATGAAAAAGAATAATTACTGATTATCAATTAGCCTCTTTATTGCGATGTTGTTTTTACGTTACACCCTTGCCTGCACGCGATACTCGCATATGTTGCACCCTTTCCAGGGACGTTGTTCCAGAATTAGGTCATCCTAGATGCTGAACTTTCAAATCATCCTTCAGCTTCGAAAGCTTGTCAATTTGAACAATATACAATATTCTAAATTCCTCAGCATCTTCTATGGATAGTTCAGGGTCTCCTAAGAAATTTTACGATCTTACAAATTTTACTTATCGATTTTCTTCGATAATAAGTATTCATGATCGAAGATAAATAATTATCTCCTCGTGTACTATTCTGGCTGGTTACGGGCCCACCATCTTTGGTGTCCAAGAACGGGGCGCCACATTTCCCATCACGTCACCATTTGCGCACACTCCTGCTCGAGTGTTTACCCCTTGCAGCACGGGGAAAAATGCGACCAGGAAGAAGATAATCTCGCGAAGAGCAACCTCTTCGGTTGTCAGGTACGACGCTCAGTTGGTCGGACCAGATCTGCGGGTGGTTGAAGAACGTTGATGAAAAGGTTTGTTGTTCGGGATGGTCGTAGGAAATTTCAACAGGCTGAAGAGCGGAGGGAAAGTCGAGGTGGCATTAAAGCGGTTCGTGGCGAGGGCGCGCGCATCGAGCCTTTTCACAAGCATTGATCGTGGAGGGTGGTGTGGGATAGCTGATAGACTCTGGAAAGAGCAGGAGGAAGGGGCCCTGTTGAGAGGGTTAGCTTAAGAAACAGAGGGCGGGGGCGTGTACGAGGGGAAGAGCTACATAGTTGACGAACGGAGCCCGTAAAGGGTAAGCATCCACGGTGGACACTTTGGAACTTTGTATTGTTTAATCGAACAATCGGCTCGATTTATGAACGCTCGGGCTACGCCTGGAATCTTGGGCATTCAAACGCCACCGAATAATATGAAAATTATTTATTTCATTTATTTGTTTTCAATGCTTTGTTTTCAATAAATTTTTCATTCTCACAATCAGTTTTGTTACTTGGTCGTATGGTTAGTATTTGATTGTACAGAAATCATATAATTTATTTGCATATGTTTATTTATCACCAGCAGATGATATAGTTGTGTATGGCTTTCAAATAAAAATTGATATATTTCTTTGCTTTTTGAAAGTATCTGTTGAGTCAGTTGTTCATTTCCACTGTGCTAGTCAAAGTATTAATTCCCTTTAGTAACGGAGCATTTTTAAGCTTGCCCAGAGTATTATTAATTTAAATTAAAGGAAGTGGTAATTCTACTCCTCAAAGCATATATGTATTATAATCTTTACTGTCTACATTTATAGCTGTGTTTTGTATCAAGAATATAACGCGGTATGCAAGTAATCATAAATTACTATGATAATTATTAAGTTAATATACTCGTTTAAATATACTCATCATTTTATAATAAAATATTCATTTATCATTTTCAATATTGGTGGGAATTAAGGCTATACACTCCTGCTTAAATGTCATATAATACCTACTAAGATTTCATAAAAACGTACAAAATAAATAAATAAATTGGTATAATAATTTATTTTAAGCATTGCCAAAATCATGAATAATAATTAAAATATCTTTTCCTCTCTATGTCTTAAATATAGTTCCTACTAATTCTGCCAATCTTGATAATTATTATAATTTTTCTTAATTGAATATTTTATTTTCTTCTATTTAACTAATATTAAACATATGCACAGAACAAAAAAGAATAATTAAAATAATTAAAGATTATCAAAACAGATAAGTGTCAGATGATTTTTAAATGGAATTATATACATTTAACAGCATCAACCATTGGTGCATTAAGAAATCTTCAATCTGAAATATCTGTTTAATATGTTCATATTAACGTCGATCTTTTCGATTCCTGGAATATACACGTAACGTACATCAAACGACGCTCTTTCACAAGAAACCGACCGATTCCTGGATGTTGATCAACTTTCGTCGATCAACGTTACCTTTCTGGATTCCTCTCCCTTTTCCATCAGCACCGCTTACGAAGCATCGTTGAGTAACCATGTGCATCGAGTAAATTCGCGAACAGAACTACTCGCCGAAAAGCTTTTACTCCGTGTTGGATCTACGGATATTTTCAATACTTTGAACTCGACGTCTTAATTTTAGCATTCGCGGGATTTTCACGGCCGATCGAATCCACGCGACGATTACATGGATATCGATGAATATTCAGGTTCAATGAATGGATCGTGTTGCGATCTGACTGTAAAAATGATATTGCTACACTGATCAATTATGCAAAACACCCATCTAGAATTCGCTTTATAGTAGAGTAATGAATTCCTGATAAGAGATTTTATTATTGAACACGCATAAATGATATTTAAATATTTAAATGATTCAATATATTTATGAATTTCTTTAAACAAATGTGTTCAATCTTTGTATCCTTAAGCAGAACCTCCGTTAAGAGTCAAAGCGTTGAAATAAATTATTAAGGATACTCTTATTTTTTTATAGAAATTATTGAAAAATTATAGAAATTTTGTTTAAATAAATTTGAACCACCAATCATTTTAATAGTTAATGGAAAAGTGGCAAAGCAACATAATATCTTATAATACAGGATTTTGTGTTATTTCTCATTGTTAGTATTAAACAATTGAAGCATTAATAGGTTGCAATATAATCAGATAATTAACAAAAAGAAAGAAAACAGATTTTAATAATATTACTCTTACATTAATAATGTAGAATGGAAATTTGAAAAGTAATCAGTGTCTGACTATACATAGTCGTTATCACTGTGCTTCTTAATGTATTAAAGGAACTTGATAGAAATCAAGAATAAAATGAGAAAATGAGACTATTATACAGAATTTTCTATTATCTCCGCATCAGGGATAATCTTCTTAATTAGTGAAACAACAACGATGAAATTAAAAGTAAAATGAGACAATTTTTCATTCATTGATAATTATATTGTAATTCTGTCTGCATTTCGGAAATAGCTAATTATTGTAATTAATGAAATTAAAACATTCAAGAAGAAGTTGATGAAAATTAAGAGTAAGATAAGAAAATTCCAGGTAATCGTTGAAAATTAGAATTTTAACAAAACTTTTCAAGAAGACAATTCGAAATGTTGCAAAGATTCTGTTTGTTCAAAAGTGATCTTTGAACAGGAATTTCTAAAGTTTCAAGAATTTCGAACAGTGTCGTTCAACTTATTAATAGTCATTCACCTCGTGGCTGCTGAAAGAAAATGATGGAAACTTATGAAGAAAACTGTGAAATAACAGAACCTGTCTTCAAGGCTGGCTTTATTTTTAGCAAACCGGAAATATAGTATACGCCATTGGATCTATGTATGCGCGTTACATCTCATTATGTCACTTTACCTTGTCTCTTTAATCGTTAAATAGTACAATCTTCTGATTTTCATCTATCAATGAAACTGATATTTAATTCGTTTAATGCAGAACGCGATTCTTTTTCCTCCAAAAAATCGACGAAACGTTGCTTCTTTACATTAACGTGGGCCATTTAAAAATAACTTGAATTCGCGTCACAGTTAAATTTCGCAATTTTCCAAGAAAAGGAGTTCTTCCCTCATAAAACGTCGAATCTCTATATGAAGTATTTACTTACATGACCGTATTGTAGTACATATTAGATATATTTAATATGGAATTTCATATTCGTTATTCGATCAATTATTATAATGAATGAGGGGTAGATTTTTGGAAATAATAATAATCAATGATTAATTATAAATTTAAAGAGTGGATAGGGTTTTGAAAATAAAAATTAATCATTATTCATTTTCGTTTTTGAAAAATTGAAAAATTAATTAATACCAAACGAAGACAATTTACTATATGAATGTAAAAATCAACTAGTAATAAAAATTTTAATAACAAATCGTTATCATAATTTATTATAACTTCTATTAATGGTGAGATATTTAAACAAGAAATTGTTATTATAATTTAATTTCAATTAGTATGTAAATTAAATACATAATAGTAAAAATTACTATTATTATCACAGGCAATAACTAACTATAAAAAAAAATTTTTAAATAAGTTATGATGAAGCTATCAAAGTGAGAGTAGAAATTACTATGTGTCTTCACAGATAGTACTGATATAATTCGAATAATTATATCTTATCAATTATCTTACAATAACCGGTAAAGAAAGGGCAAAGACCGAGTTTATCAATTATTTTAGTCTTGCTTGTTCCGTTTTGTCTAAGTGTTGTATTATGAAAAGTGCTCGCTTATGTGCACATTTCCTGAATGCATTCGAAGGCTCGTTATTGTCGAGAGAAGATAACAAACAGATCGTAAACTTCAGAATTGAATGGAAACACCGAGAGGCAGAGTGCAAGGAATGCGAATTTGATGTAGGACACTCGTTGAATACTTTTTAATCCATTGTCAAATTCTACCTTTAGATTCAAAATTAGCATCAGAATATTGAAAACCTTTATGCATGAAATCCATAATTGAATTCTCAAACCCTTTAAACTAAAGAATATGTGCAATTGCATCGATGCGCTTCTGAAAAAAAAAATTCTTAGGTATACGTAATTGAATTATAGAGTTTGTTAAATAATACAAAATCTTTATTTTTAAGTTTGCATGGAACAGAACTTTTACAGAAATACTTTGCATAATATTTGTTAAATTATAATTCAATATTTTATTTACATTTTAATTTCAGACATTTTTCTACTTATCTTTTTTAACAATTCTCATTTTTATAAGTGATTATTAAACTTGAAACATTTGTATGGTTTCAATCAGTATACATATTGTAAATTATTTATCAAATAAATTTCTAGTAGAAAATAAAATTTTTTTTATCTGTTCTACGTAGAACATGGATGGGATCAGCTACAGGTTCTGAAAGGTTTTGTAACTTGTATCTGCTATTAATATTAGTGGAAACTAAAGGGTTCGTAAATAACATGTTAAGGGTCAATAAATCGATATTCGTGTCAGAAATAACGGCAAAGTAGAGGCAACGATAAAGTTAACAATAACTCGGTTTAATATTGATGTAACGTTGAACGTCAAGTACAAAGCACTTGAAAATTTATGGATTACATAGGAAAATATTAAGAAATAAGTAAAACACAAAATAAAAAATTAACTAACAATAAATAACTTTATATTATAAACTAAATATACATAACTAATTATTCCTTAACATACTTTAACTGTACCATAAAATAAAAAACCAAAGAAATATAGTGATGTAAATTAAATATTATATAATTTTTAATGATGATAATAATAATATCAATGTTAATAGTATTCAAAAATAATTTTTTGTCCTCTTTTATTAAATTAACGCTTGCCTTATTAATGTATCCAATATATTCATTTAAATATATAATAAGCCAATAACAATTAATTTATTTAATTCCATGAATAACTTATTCGATTGGTTTTAATTGAAACTTGTTTCGTTTTTAGAATAATTGATAAGTTTAAAGATGTAATAAGTTTAAATTTGAGGAAACTACAATTGTATATTATGAATAAATAAGTTATTATAAAGTCATCATTTTATTTGACATTATGCTTTAGTATATTTATACACCTAGTCCCTGTTCGGTTTAAAAGCGGCACAAAATTTCACGCTCTGATTCAAGGGTTCGAAACGAGTAAAATAAACCTTCTCTCGGTACAGTTTAATTAACGATCCTTGTAAATTAATTGTATTAAATTTGAAATCTTTCGCTTATTTTTTAATGAGTTTATAAATAATCCTAGCTTTATACATTTGGACATCGAATTTCAGAAATAAAGTAGAATTTGTAAATGAAAATATTCATTCTATTCGTCACAAATTATAATTAATTCTTAATTAAGAAACTCATTAAGTAAGAAAACTTCTTATATACACATTTGTAATAACAAATTAATGATATTTCATTGTATATAGAAAGATCCACTTATCCAATTTTTATGTATATTTCATCAGCATTTCTTTTTCAATTTTCATCAATAATAGATCATCATCATCATCATCATCATCATTAACATTATTAAGCTGGTATGGGTAAACTCATCTGCTCCAAGTTTTGTAAATCATTATTTTAAATCATTTTTATAAATAAATTTTTTCATATCTATGTTTTTCGTTAATTGATTCTGAATAATTAATATTTATGTGTTGAAATAAAGGCAGCTTTTTGCTTTTAAACGATAGCTCAGATAATCCTTTTTGCAACTGGACGCAATAAAGCTATATTTGAAACAATGGGCATACATTGTAACAGGAATTGAATACTATTTGTTCAAAATGTATCAAGGTTTTTGGCAATCGCCCAATCATTTAAATTGCAGTAAACTGCAATTATTTGTTCTGCACTGGCGACTGTAAATTGATGACGTTCATCCTGCCTACAGTCCTTCTCGCTTTCGATATTTTTATCCACCCAAATATCAACGAAATGTCACCCCATTTTGTGAAATTACTTAAAAACATGAATTTCTTTAACAAAAAAATTAATTTCGGAATCAGCAATTTTATTAACAATTTAAAATTATAAATAAAGGCATTAGATGAAAAACTTTGTTAGACCTTAAAGAACATTCTAACGTAAAACACGCACTGCAGACAGTTTTATAGCAATGACACACATTGTTTGATAAATAATAAAAGTGGTACCTATGTAACTAGAAAAGTTAAAGAGGTAACTGTGACACATAATAAATGATTTCTAAGGGAAATTTGCAAGTGATAATATCTTATGATTGATAAAAGTAGTTGGACGTCTATAGGTGTCTATAGTATAGATCTATAGACACCAATAGAAATGAGGGGTTAACATCCTTAACAATCCATATCAATTTATTATGTCGCGTTAGAAATGACTTACTATTGCAATAGACAGCCAGTCAAATCCATTATGTGGATAGACATGTCAATTGTCATGGGGATCACTCTATTTATATTATTAAATTATTAGAAAAAAAGGAAGAGGAAACGAACTTTGAATAATATCAGTATTATATTGATAATGTAAGACACTAAATTGAAAGCTTAAATTAGAAAATTGATCGATACAATTAATAGTATAATATGTTTTATTATTCATGTCTGTTTTCACTGTGGTATACAGGGTAACTGGGCCAGGTTATATCCATAAAATAATACAGGGTGTCACGCTACTACGTCGACAACCGAAGAGGGATGACTGACATGGTGATTCTAAACAACTTTTTCCTTTGCCAAAATGTTGATTAAGGCTTCGTTTTCGAGTTATTAACAAAAAACACTGGCAAATCAGAGTGCGCCTTTAATCAGTCGTGGTCGTGAACAAACGCATTCAAGATTGTCCTCACTTTTCTCAATGCAATTATGTACCTTGTTATACATCAATTTCTACAATTTTTTTTTATCTTTTTGTTACAGTTTGCAACTTCGTGGTGCATGACCGCTGTCTTAAGACCGTCGTGTCTCCCTGCTCCAGCATCGCGGCAAGCCTCATTAAGGTAAGGATATCCTCGGTTTCTTGCATCTTTTGTACGACTGGAGATAGGTGAACTCTTCTTTTCGTGGCCTATATCTACTCGTTGCTAAGAATACTTGGTTACACCCGATCTTGAATTTCGTTGAGAATCTACTATCTCCACGTACACCATTACAAAGTTTTATTTTTCCTTCTTTCTCTCGCTTATACCCAAGAAACCCTTATCCCGAATTCCTCATATCCTTTCTCTTCCCCTTTACATCCCTGTATCCCTTATCTCAAATAAAATTCCGCACAAAAATTGCGTCCTCTGACGATAATAAAGGAACTAAATTTTTTCTAATTTCCTTTTTCAATTATACATTTAGTTTAGTTACAGGGATATAAGGTATAGAAGGATGTGAGGAATACAGGGGTTTAAGGGATACAAGGATGTAACTGACACAGGGATGTAAGGGGTTTGTAGTATAAGAGACAAAGGACAAGGAATAATTAAAAAGATACTTAGTTAATAGATAAGAAGTTATTATTTGCAAGATTGAAATACACCATTCAGAGTTTTACATATGTTAATATTTTAAGCACGAAATGTTTTAGATTCTGTTTAAAAAGGAAAATGACGGTTCTCTTGTTGTAGAACCCGGTTGCACACTGTTGGTCCGAACCGGTAACTCGTAGAAGGAAATTCTGCAATGTCTGTCGTAAACGGCTTGATGATAATCCATCCGTACATTGTGAAAGTAAGTTCTTAATTAAGAATCTTTCTTATTCGATATTATTTTTTCTTGAAAAATTCTAAAGTATCGATATCTCATTATAGAGCACTAAAGCTAGGTGGATAACTAAAGACATTTAAAGCGGAGGGAAAATGAAATAAATGAAATATATTTTATGTTAATTATACTTTATTATACTTTTGCTATACCATACATTACATTATAAATACTATTATGGTGTGTATTTGATTTTAGTATGCAGGTACTTCGTGCACACGGATTGCCAGAACTTTGCCGTGCCAGATTGCAAGGAGAACGCCACGTATTTACCTGGAAAGGACTTGGCACAGGTAAAACACACCCATCACTGGCGAGAAGGCAATCTTCCCAGCAGTTCGAAATGCGCTGTCTGCAAGAAAAACTGTTTCACTGCCGAGTGCCTTTCCGGGTTTCGTTGCGAGTGGTGCGGCATGACGGTAACATATCATTTTCTTAAATACACTACAGTTTCCAAACAAGTGTGTTTTGTTATAAATAAAAAAAGATTAGATCTTTTTTCTCGTGGTATTTTGAACCCCTGCCTTGAAATACCGGTTAAATCACACGTGTGACACAATTCACTTTGAAATGTTACAAGTTATAATTATTAGTTAGAAGTTCTAGAGTTTGTTCAAGCTGTTTTGAAGTTTTTATTGGAAACCTTGAATGCTTTTTAATACATAGAATAGGTGGAAGGTTGTAATTGTTTATAAATTATACTTTTCAAGGTAAAGGTTTATTTATAACGAAACGATGCATGGTCATATATTTTAATTAACTTGTTCTTAGCCTTGAGGCGTTTCAAAGATTTCAAAATCATCTTCATTTTTTTTTGTTTTTTGCTTTTTTTTTTTTTAATGGAATTCGGTAATTTGAATCATGATTACTCATTACACTTGATCTTATCTCTGGTTTTAGTTAACGTGTTGTTCGATGATGATTTGATTCCAGTTGCACTCTTACTGTCACAAAAATATCCCGCAAGAATGCACGTTTGGGATTTTGGAACCGATCTACCTGCCACCGCATGCAATCAGTATTCCACGTACAGAGGTTCCCATGGAGGCCATCATCGGAGTGCAAGTACGCCGAAAAGAAGTTCTGGCGCGTGAGTATTCCTGCCGTAAGTGTCTTCTATTGTAACAAGTACATATATACGTTTTTCATGAGAATGTGTTACACGTGACCGGATATATGGTATACCGAAGTAGTGGAATGAAGTTATGCTATATATATATAATAATAATACCTTAAATACATCAGAAATTGTCAGTGTTGTATATCAATTAATTTAGTATTTAATCAATTGTAAGAATGGAATAAAAAGAAAGAGGGAAATTTCAAAATAATTTTGTAGGAATAAACACAGAAAATAAACAAATTTTATAATTAAAATTTTATAATACTTGTCAGCCATCGAAAAAGAATTTTAATTATTTTTTTATTATTTTTTTCTATTTACTTTTTTTTTTTCTTATGTCTAGTTTTGGTATTAAACGAATCTATGTGAATAATTTTGTAAATTCTGGGTCATGGAATATTAATTTATAGCACATTACACTCAGATAACAAATAATGGCTCAATTAGAGTGCTTCGAATTTCACGGTCGATCGTTCTTCACGTTATGTCACGAGTATCGATAATTGATGCATCGTTTAAAGGAAAGAACATTGCCATGTATACAAAGATCGCATTGTACCTGAATACACGAAATACTGTTACATCGATAAACATGTGATAGTTTATAGGATTAAATAGGACAATTCACGTGTGTTTCTCGTGTGCAAAATACAATTGTTGTTTTCCCTCGATCTCACGCTGTTTTATTCACTATGTTCCCTTTTTCTCGTCAACAATTTGTTTTCACGTTACATTACATTACACGTGCATATGTGTTGAAATTAAACGGGGGAAAATCTCTTATCGAAATTATGACGTCTATGAAAGAAAATTATATTATTCAGTTGCTGTGATTATACAGGATATACCATTTAATATGACCACCTTATCAACAGAAAAATATATTAATTATAATATAATCTTGAAATTTATAAAAGTAAAAATTTCGATTTCCACAAATTCTTGCAAATATTGTATATACCTATTAAAAGCTTACAGGATTTTATTTAAGAATTTTTTATATGCCTAATTGAAAGATTTAAATTTACAAAGGTATAATTTTGATTTGGAAATTTAGAAAATTATAAGGTTTTTATTTAAAATTTTTTTTTACAGTGAATGTTAAAATTTAAAGAAGTATAATTGTAATCCCAAAATGTAGAAAATTTATATATTCACCCTTCCAAATTTTACCTTTTTTTGTACCCTCAAAAATAACAAAAATGGATGATCATATTAAATGAGAGACCCTGGATTGAAAAACAATGAGAGAATAAAATATATTACAGATATTATCGCGTGTGTTCTTAGGTAAAAATCTTTTTGCATGATGTTTTATACGGGTGTCTAAAGATAGTCGAATTTTTAAGATATACGTGTTTCTTCCTGCAGAGCATGCGATGTTCGATCTGTTAAATAAAAAACGAGAGAATCCCATTCGTATTTTCAACTATCAAATCTTTGTTTCTATCACGTTTAGTCTTTGATAAGAGTCTCTCTTTTTCGTTTTCACATGTTTAACTCGAAGAAGATTTGTCCAAATTTCCTATCATTCTCTAGCGATCATTTTGTTACCTGTATTTTGTAACTATCGTAGCTGTCTTCCAGTTTCTCGCACTCTCAGCTTTTCACGCATTGAAGTTTATCAAAATGGATTGGTCATTAAAAAGAAAAAATTGTTAACAGTTGTCATTGAAAAATAATATTCGCAGGGGACAGAATTCTATAATAATTTCTTGGATCGTTCCGTTTAGTAGAAATAAATAATTGCGAAAAATTTTCTTTTTATTGTAGAATATTTATAAAAATTATTAATTACTAAGAAGCGTAGGATCTATCAATTTTTATAATTCTTTTCTATTCAAAATTACTTTATTTTGTGTTATTTAAAAAGTTGCGAATTATTAAATATGAAATCATTTAAAACCTGATAAACGTCTACTTTCTGTGATGTTTAAAAAATCATTTTTTATATAGACTACATCCAAGGTGTTATTGAAGATTGTAGAAAAAATAATTTTTAAGTAAACCACTATAGAAAAATGTTACATGGAAATTCTTCTGCGAGCTTATTTTTATTAAAAACAGAAATACACAAAGTACACTAGAAACTCAAAGAAGTACAAATCGTTTCACAGAGACTTGAAATATTTTTTATTTTTTCAAGACAAAAAGAATTCAATAGGTTTTGTTAATTTCTTATATTTTTTCTATTTACTTTTTAATTTTTCTTAATAATAAATATAATATCGTTTTACGAACACAAAATTAATTATTTTTTAACATAAGCGTGGAAATTTATTAAATTTATTATTTTACTTGGTACATCATTTTATTTATTTATTTTTTTTAACGAGAAACTTAATTATTGATAAATGACTTCCTATCACAATTCAACTTCTTAAGAAACATGATTTACATTAAAAAGGAATTAGTTTGCGTATTATAGCTTTTGTGGCTGTCGCTGTTATTAATCGCTATTCTCAATGTGCTTTCAATAGGCGTAATTACATTTATAATTACACGGGTCGTTACATACCCACTAAACACTTAGAAAATAAAATACACTTTTCAATGATAAGATGATTTATGTAAAAATAAACGCAGAATGATATTCAAAAACATTCACAAATATCTGATGAAGTTTTAATAAATAACATTAATTATATATTGAGTTAAGTAGACTTTATTTATTAATGATGTATCAATGATTAAACACAAGTTTGAAGCTTTCGTTTGATTCGTTTTGTTGATTCGTTTTTGTTAACCTTTTTCGATTTGTTGTTAGAAGAGGAAGGAAAAGTGAATACATTTTTATGAATATTGTGTGTATAGTAATAAATTTATGGTGTTTTGCGTATCACACCATACCAAGTGTTTGCGATTTAAGTATTGCCACGCCAATTTCACGTTTGCCGACCGAAAAATTACTATAAAAATAGATAATAAAATTTAATCCTTAACTGTGCAATAAGTTAAAAATTTTGATATACGATGGATATCCTCTTTTCTAGAATACTTAATTACCAACTCGTTATCACTGTTACAATTGATTGAATTATATAAATCAGAATTCAAGTACTATTCAACAGCTTTTTTATGTAAATAATTAATAATACTCGAAAGTTTGTCAGAAAAATAATGAAATTCGGGATACCGAATACCGAAATACTTTCAATTTTCTGTAATCTATTAAGTTAATTTAAAATCAATTTCAAGTACCACTGACATAATAAAAAGAAACTGAGAGCAAAATGTTTAAAAAGAAAATAGAAAGTTAACAAGAATTAATAGGAGTCGAGAAACGCGGAATTCACGCGTGTACGATTAAAGCCCGGTGCAGATGAGCGACTTTCCTCGTTGCGATTTCGCACTGGCGATGCTCTATATTTTCTCAAATATTTTCGCTAAATAATTCAATATTTAAACTACCAATAATAAATAGTCGGTTACGGTTTGGCAAATGACATGCAATTGCATACAAGTATGTACTGCATTGTTGTATGCAAGTATACATTGCACTGTTGCATGCAAGAACTTTTCAAATACAATGTGTCTTTTAAATTACTTTGCCATAATTTCAAAATTGACAAAAGTATACAAAATTTTGTGAATCGATGTTGATCCTTAAAGGACTGTAATTAAAATTAATATTTATCTTCATTGAAAATAATTTAAATGTACTTTTTTCCAATTTGCCATACTAAGATACTTCTTGCACCCAAAGTAGTGTAATTAACACTCTTTCATTAGAACTAATTACTTTCAATGAATTAATTACTTAAATGAATAAATGAATAGCATTAATATGATGCTAATAAGGTGAAGTATGAAATTGAAAGCTTAAATCGTGGATATAAATAGTAATTTTTAAAATAATTAATATGTTAATGTATGATATTACAGAGGTTTCTATGATTTTCAATGTGTTGAAAAATATAAACGTTAATGAATTTCAATGAGAGAAATGGCTCGTGTGCACCAGGCGTAAATCGCAGACACCGATCGTTGTATGTGTTGTTATCTAAAGGCAGAAAAGGACAAATTGTGTAGAGATTCAAGAGAGAATTTTAATGGTGATCGTATAAAAAAACCCGGTCTACCGTTTGCTTCTATTTGAAGATAACATCGGAGAGCAATTCGATTTCGCTGAGAGTGAACAAATTGGGGCTGCAGGCCGCCTAGCCGAAGCTTTGAGGCGCCTTTCACTAGTTTTGCCACGTAGCTGCCATGGAAATTGTCATGCTTCCCCTCCTTATGTTCGAGGTATCTAGAATATTACCATCATCTGAACATTCATCTGTGTGAGCATATAATCGATGTTGAGATGTTAGCGCGAACCGGAAACCGGACCGAAACGGGACTTGCCATAGCGATTTATTGTTCTTTGCATATTCAGCTTCTATCTTTGTCACTATTTTCTAATTATTTTTATTTATTTATTTATTTTTTTTATTCGTACCTCATCTTTATTCATGCTTTTCTGTTTTTCTGTTCTTATCGTCAGGCATTTTTGTTTTGTTCTCTTCGCTTTATTCCATTTTTTATTCTATTTTTTCTTTCAATTATTGAAAAAATATCGTTACTTTTCTGCATCCTTTCGGTACAGAGTTCAGATATTAACCCTTTCGCTATGGGCATCCTTGCCAGAAACTGTACTCCTATGTTTTTGTATCAAATTATCTAATTCAGTAGAAAATTAATTTTTTTACATTCTATTTGCAATAAAAGATTTTTGATCAGAGTTGATTTTGTTTCGAATTCCCATATAAAATTTTCGATTTCCAGCAAAAGGATTGAAAGTAGATGATATTTATATATTTAGTACGTTCTTAAATTAACAAGTGGCCATAACGTATGGAAAATATAGTTTTAAATAATAATATATTTTTTTATAAGATACAAAGAGAGATTTTTGAAAACACCGCACCGAAAGGATAAATAACTCTGTTTTACTTTATAAAAGAGAAATATGTTTCAAAATTCTGCTTTCATTTCATAATTTTAATAATTTTTCCTCATAATTTTGTCTCATTGGTAAAGCACTGCAGCTAATGCGCTTGCTTCAATTACATGAGCCTGTTATATTTAAAATGCCGTAAGTTTTGCAAATTAATATCTCAGTGTACTTATAAATTTGAATATTTTATTTTATCTTAAAATAATAAAATATTTCTTCTATCGAATTTATAATTTGAAATTGTCTTTGAAATTGAATATTTATAAAAATTTGCAGTATTATTTATCATTCTTAGTCCTACGTCATTATAAAAATAAAAGGTTCATATATATTGCAAATATTGCTAATTGATAATACCAGAGATGAGTATTATCTGTTTTATTAATAATTATTGAAACAGAGTAAATATTACTATATCCAATCAATATCATTAAATATTTTAACAATGTTAAAATTATTTAAAATATTCGTGGCTAATGCCAATTCTTTATTTTCATTAAAATTATATTAGGAAGGATCTCATCTCTGGTCTACAAATGTTTAAAGAAAGATCATTTTAATTTTTAACAAATCTGTACTACTGCACAAGCTGTTAAAGTGTATAAGAAGAGCTGGTTACGTAACAAGAGTATTTTTTTATCCTCTTATAAGTTTAACTTTATTATTAAACCTATACATAATACTAATTTCGATTCAATTTCATATTATCACAGTTCAATTCAATACTTCTAACAATTGTGTGATGAATTATTGCGACTAACAACTATTTTAAAAAACAGAAATGATTTCAAAGAGAAATATTAATATAGTTACTTACACACTAATCGATTAACACTATATGTATGATGTAACATTTCGATTTCTCCTGCAAAATCATCAAATTATCACTTCGTATTCGAAACACAAACAATAAATTATATGACATAAAAACTACATGCATGGTTTATACATAATGTATAAAAGATGATTTTGTTAACCCTTCCGTATAGGACATTACTCCGATCGGGTCGAAAATGGTGTCAATCGATAGATCTCAGTTAACGACGGAGTCGAATGCAACGGGTTTTAATATAAGGAGATCACCTGTTAATTAAATAAAGTCAATTAATAATAATCGCAGGTCTACCGTTCCGTATGAGCCAGAGTACTCCGATCGGGTCGGAAGTGGTGTCAATCGATAGATCTCGGTTAACGGAGTCAAATGCAACAGTTTTTAATGTGCGGAGATCACCCGTTAATTAAATAAAGCCAATTAAAAATAATCGCCGTCTTCGGCACAGTAGGACTACTCTTCTGGTAAAGTGTATTCCGATGGCATTCCCCTTTAACGCATTTTTGCATTTTTGATAAGTAGGATAAAACGATTTTAATTTTTTTAAGAACTCGAGATTTAGGGCGGCATCTGCACCCCCGATTGCCCGACCCCGCGTCCCCCTAACGCCGGCCCTGCCTGTAACGTCATTTTCTCTAAGGAAGCCTACTTTGCTCGATACTGTACTTACAGGACAACTGAACCGCAAGGATCAATGATTAATTTACATTTCAGCCTGGTATAAAATCACTAAAATTATTCTAAAATAATCTAATCGCAGCTCATTTGTCACGTGTTTGACCGTCTCTATTGAATGTTTGTTACATCATTTTTAATATACGTTTCTAGCATGCGTTGTATGTGTTGCTTCGGTGCATGTACTGTCACACTCAGCCAGCTGGATGCTATGAGAGTTCCGTGACACTTGTCACACACCATGAAGTGCAAGAATTGCTACTGAATATATCTTCTTCCTATCATGTGTGTTCTGCAAATTCCATCGTGCCCGATGGTAAGAGGTGTCACTTATATATTCTAATATTTGCAGCTATTCGAAATAAATTGTATCTTCGTAACACCCCTGTATTCTCCTGTTTCTTTTTCTGTTTTTTTTTTTATTTCTTCTTCGTTTCTCACTAACATCTCTTGTGGATATGATCATTGCCAGTATTTATCGCACAGACAATGCACCCTGTAGAACATTTCAAAAAAATTAATAAACAATTTTAATGTAATTAAATATCAACTTTTAGGGATAATCATTGATGGTTTGTTTGAAATGCTTCAGTAATTTCATTAACAAAATTGATTTCTTCATTTCTTGATTTTGATTCAAATTTCGAAAATTACGATTAGAAAAGATTCTAAAATTTTCTAAACCAATTTGTTATTGTAGACGACTATAATTTAAAAACAATAAATATAGATACAAAAATTTCTCATCGCAGATAAAATTTCATGGACAAAATTATTTTATTGAGATAGATAATTTAATAAAAAATGATAATCTGAATATGTATCTAAAACAATAATTTTTCAATTTAACCTTCTCTAAAATTACAATTTCCTGAAAAATTCCTATTTACCATTTTTATTTTCCTCAAACAAACCACCAAACGATAGAAAGAAAAACAAAAATTCTCGCAGAGAATTCATCATCCAAAGATAATGCACCAAAATATCAGACCATCTCACATTCTAATCTTCCATTGACAATCTAAACCATTATCGAGTATCAATTGACCCATTATCGTATACTAGCACTCATAGTAGCTCCATGTAAAGGATTGGATCAAATAAAGACGACACGTTTGATCCACAGTGTATCATCGTGAATGATTCCCGTAAAAGACACAAGTGGAAAAGTGTCTTAGCTACTCTAGATGCTTACCATACACCATTAATGTTATCTGAGTAATGACTGCCAAGCGTATCGATTAATATATTTGCATCTTTCGATGGTAGTTGAGAGAAAGACAAGATAATTGTAACACCCAAGTTCCATGGTGTGTTGTACGGTGCTAAGTCAACGAAATGTTGGAATATTTGAAAGGCAGACGGTGAGTTACCACTTTCAATTTCTTTTCCAGCACGAAGCATATCGGAAGAGTTCAGCAGCGGGGACGCAAGGTATCGTGATAATGGTGAACCAGGATCAGGTGTTGCCTGTAGTCGCGATCCACGTTCTCGAAAGGAGAAAGAAGATAAAGAAAGAGGTGACGAAGGTATTTCAATATGTTTCATGTGGCTGACCGTTCACGGTCAACCTTTTACCGGATTCCATTCTGTTCGTGTAGAGATGATCAAGGTATACGACGGCAACAATTCCCTTAGACGACGAATATTTCGCGTGATCACGGTGCCACGGCAAGCAACCACCGAACAGGTCCTCACGTCAGCGCTTCGTGCATTTCACATTACGAAAGATCCTAGTACGTACCGTGTTGAAAATTCTTCAAACATTATATTTCGTTACTCGTATATTTTCCAAGGAAATTATATCATTAGCTGGTGGGAAAATAGGGGAGGGATATTTTACTTCTCCTCAGAATGAGAAGTTGTTTTTTGACTCACCGAATTAAAAATATATAGAATAGAAATTTTTTAAATTCGAAAATAAAAATTTGTTAATTAGAGGTAAGCGTAGGAAATCCTAATTTAGAATTTTAATTGTAAGTCATTCAAGGATTTAAAAAATAAAATTTTATAGCGATAGATTACAATTAGAAAAGTACACTTATTTATTTTGTAAAATATTTTGCTCCATAATGAGAAAATATTTGTAACATCCAAATGCAAAAATCCTATACAATAAGTGTTGAAGGTAGGGTGTCAAATAGTCTTTTGATTTAATATTAATTACGTATGCGTAATAGTATTAATTTAAACGTAAAGCTAAAAGTAGCAAGTGTCCCACGACTTATGGAAGGGAGTGTATGTCAATAGCATTTACGCGAACTCAATCTATCGGATGTACATACATACGTATACGCCCACAGTAGCAAAACAGTTAACCATTATATTTTACTCCCACGTATTCGCTTCATGCTAAATGTTTTCTCTCCCCGTATGAACTCAATTAAGAAATAGATTCTATTAATTTGAACGATTTGATAAGTATACAATTATCTTCTCTTTAAATATTCAACGCATAATAATTTAACGTGGAGGTAAATAAATTTTTTTAATTTTATTTAAGGAAATTGTGGGAATACGTAGGATGGTATTTGATTGAGAAATAAATGAAAATTATAAAATTACAATTAACATTATTTCTACTTGTTAAATCTAGGCAACTTTTACCTCACCGACCTGTATGCTACGGATGAAACCGAATTATGCGATCCAACTCCGGTTCTAAACTTGAATTCCAAAGAGGGCAAATGTCCGGCTGTCTTCTTACGATTCAAGTAAGTTTACTGGTTTAGATAGCTTCTTTGCATATATATTATTTTAAATAAAACATATTGCCTCAAATTTTTATTATTTTATGGATCCATCACTGTGAATTTCAAGTACAGGGACACCGAGTACGTAAAAAATATTTTTCAATCTAATATTCTTCGGTTTCAGGGATAGCGAAAACGGAGAGGTACGTGTCTACCCAGGCAAATTACAGGTGTCTGAACCATTCTGTATAGTACCTGTGACAGAAACGACAACCGTCGCAGATTTAATCGAGGAAGCGCTTCAGAGATTCGGTTTACAAAATTTCAAATCAGAGGACTACAGATGCAGCGAGATCCTTTTGGATCGTGATGGTAAATGTCCATTTAATCTTCATGATATTCTCTATTCAGAAAAGAAACGAAAAAAAATAGTGTTGGTTTAAATTACACAAAATTATTCTTAATCTTTCAAAACAGTGTAATATTACATTTTCATGTTAATATTGTTAAATAATTATTATGAAAAATAGCACTGCAGAAATTGAATATATTATGTTATCTTTGATTTGCATTTATTTAAAATAATTTTAAACATCTTCTGATTGATATCAATTTTGTATAATAATTGCGTTTGTTCAGTCACCGAAAGGGTATTATCTCGCGACGAAAAGCCATGGGAAATCGTGAAACAGCTAGGCAAAGATTCTATCAGACAAATGGAATTGATGCGATTCTACCTGCAGCTGAAACAAGATCCCCATGGACCTAATTTAGCTTTATTCGTGGGTAATCTGCCGCCAAATCTCTCTGAAAGAAGTTATGAAAATATGTTGACCGAATTCTTAGGCAAAGGTGAGAATTAAAATGAAGGTATTGAATACCACCTAAAATTTAATATAATATAAAATTTAAAACTTGAAATCTAAAATGTAGAAAAGATTAAATATATGAAAATCAAAAAGTGAATCGAATAATTAGAAAATTTCAAAACCCTACGCAATCGCATAATAATTATTTATGTAACTAATAATAATTTTCATCTAGAAAACAAATTCTCCTCTATTGGTCCGATATATTACGAATACGGCTCGATGGTGATTATTTATGAAGATTCCAACAAAGCAGTCAGAGCATTGTACACCTTGCGAGAATCAAAATACGAGGATAAACACCTTTTAGGTATTATCATACCCTTTGATTTGATAAGTATTTTTGAAAAGAATATTTTCATTGACAATATTTCATTTTTATAGTTATGCTGTTACCGAGTATTGAACCAAGTATGGTACCATCTGGCGTGCAACCATTACTTGTCTTCGTGAACGTAAAATCTGGTGGTTGCCAGGGTTTGCAGTTGATCTCCAGCTTTCGTAAACTATTGAACCCTTATCAGGTGTTTGATCTCGACAATGGAGGTCCACTTCCCGGGTATGCAAGAAAAAAAGATACGAATAATCAATTTCAACAGATTACCTTATTTAAAATTCGACCAAATGACTTGAGGTTTCTCGAGAAGCTATGCAAATTAATTTACTAACAATAAGATGTTAATGTTAATTCGGCGAAATCGGGAAAGAAATAGTAAAAGGCAACTTTTTAACTTTTTTATCTGAACCTGTAATAAAAATTTAAAATATGAAAATTGTAAATTTAAGTATGTTATGTGTATGCTGAAAATTTCATCAAGATCGATCAATGTACTTGGAAGTTACAAGTAATTAAAATTTCCGAAAATCGCGACTTTTCGTCTAACAATAAGAACATAACTAGTCATGTTCTTTTGCAGTCCACTGTATACATCCATTCTTCATCTCGATAATAGCCAACATACATTTCAACAAAAATACCTCGATAAAATTTATGAATTAAAATAAGAAATTAAAAACCAGTGATTATTGATTGGTTCGGTAGTTCTAGCGTTAATTACTCGTTATTTTATCGTAGACTGTACGTTTTCCGTCACATCAAGGACTACAAAATCTTAGTATGCGGTGGAGATGGAACGGTCGGATGGGTACTGCAATGTTTGGACAACGTAGGTCAGGACAGCGAGTGTTCCTCACCTGCTTGCGCCATCGTACCCTTGGGTACCGGAAACGACCTGGCACGTGTACTCTGCTGGGGTGCCGGTTACACAGGCGACGAAGATCCTTTGAATTTACTCCGTGACGTTATCGATGCGGAAAAATCTTTGCTGGACAGATGGACGGTAGTTTTTCATCCCGAAGAGAAGGAGGACAAACAGATGGCTACCAATGCTGGAGGTCTGTCGGATCGAATTTTATCGGTTCGAACGTGATTTATCATTCTTTTTCAATTTACATGTTACAGGAGCAAGCGCCACCAGCGAGGATAATACGCAGATATTCGTGATGAATAATTATTTCGGTATCGGTCTGGACGCTGACTTGTGCTTGGACTTTCACAATGCCAGAGAAGAGAACCCGAATAAATTTCGAAGCAGATTACGCAATAAAAGTGTCTACGTTTCGATAGGTTTGCGGAAAATGGTGAAACGGACACTGTGCAAAGATCTGCATAAAGAAATCCGATTGGAGGTGGACGGAAGGCTTGTCGAATTACCTCAAGTCGAGGGAATAATTATCATGAATATTTTGAGGTAATTCGTTCGGTTCGTTCTTGGTTCAGATAACATATTTTGAGATATTTGGAAAAGTGGCTGCTTTTTCTGAAATTAAATTTCATTATTGAACGATAATTGCATTGTAATTTCTTTCTAAATAATAGTTGGGGCTCCGGGGCAAATCCTTGGGGACCAGATACCAGCGAGGATCAGTTTTATACACCGAACCATGGGGATGGAATCCTAGAGGTGGTTGGTGTCACAGGTGTGATGCATCTGGGGCAAATTCAATCTGGTCTTCGTACAGGGATGAGGATAGCCCAGGTACGTCCTAATTAAATAATAATTCGTTAAAATTATTTTATTTTCTTCGATGCATGCTTAACACGTTGAATTACAACTATCGTTGCACCAGTCGTTGACTTGCATCACTGAATTTACCATGCAGTTTCATTGCAGCTCCTGTAATTAAGAATTATTCTAAATTACTAAAGAGAAGTGATTTTTAGTGGTTCAAATATTATTCTAGAAATTGAAATTCCTAATATGAATCAATTTTTATATTACCTTATTATTCTTTTTAACAATGTTGATTAATCATTTGCAAATTACCATCTATAATGAAATGTAAATAATATTCTGATATCTGATTGTTGTTTGATAAATGTTTTATAGGGAGGTCATATAAAAATCCATTTGCACTCTGATATACCAGTACAAGTAGACGGAGAACCGTGGATCCAGAGTCCAGGAGATATTGTTGTATTAAAGTCAGCATTGAAGGTAATCTTGTTATAATTATTTGTAACGGTTCCATAATTCTATCGAAATGTAAAATAGAATGGATGCACTTGTATAAGTATACTCTAAATCGATCATAAATCCAATTTTGTAATACAGTCTAAGCTTCATATAAAATTGTATAAATAATCTTCTTTTAAATATAAATAAAAACATACGAAGTTACAAGAGTCATAAATTCTGTAAAATGTAATTCTGTGCAATAGAACATTTTATTTAGCTATTGATTATCAACTTTAATTGATTACATTATTTATTTAGTGCATTGTCAAAAAAAATTGTTAGATCTAACTAATGTGACATATAATAATTTATTAGTAATGTAATTTAGGTCTAATTCATAATTAAAATTACACATATTTGAACAAAAACCCCTGATATTTCTAAAATAAATAAGAAATTTTTAATTAAAATTGAAACTTTTGTTTATCTACACTAAACTCTTGTCAATTGTCAAAGGATTCAACAATAGATATTATACGAGGCATTCATTCTGTCTTGTTTCACATAGAATTACATAGTGGAACAATCTAAATACTTGTCGCACGTTGAATATCCCGCAGGATAAATCGCACGCATTAGCCGCTAGAAACAATACTAATTAACGATGCTGTAGCAATCATCAATAAGAGTGTTACCCAACTGCTGGTGTCCGGCAGAGCATGCATTCCTCCCCGAATCGCACACTACTAATCTCTCCTTGTTCCTTTGTTCGCTCCAGGCTACCATGTTGAAGAAAAATAAGATCAAGCGTCGGAATACCGAACCGTCGATCCCACCCGCTAATGGGGAGGGGTGCAAGAGCACGGACGAGAGTACCAACAAAGCCTAAAATGAAGTTTGCGGCTAGATCGATCGGTTTAATTCCACGAAACGAACTTTCAACCCGTAACCACCACCTAGACTTCCCCAAAATGTGCATAATGTGCAGCGATATAGGGGAGTTTCGGTGTGGCCACCCTACCAAAATAACACACACACACACACACATTATATAAATACACATTACATCACAGACGAACACATTTGTGTATACTTCCGGTGTAGTGAGAGCTCACCATCGATGTTCCGCCGCATGCCCTGTGTGCCAATGCTCTTGATGTACATCGGGATAACTAATTAGCTCTTAGAAAATTTTCCTTTTCAAAATTATTTCTACACTTTGCAAATAAACTGGGTCATTTTATTATTTTTAGGTGTTTCAAATAATTTCAAATAATTCTGAGATACTTATGAAAGTCTCTACTATACTAAATCTATTATTTATTTTATAAAATATTTGTTAATGAATGATGCTAATTTTTTAATTTTTATTTGTATTTCGTTCTGGTGATCAAGATTTAAGTTCAATTTTAAGTAGCATAAAGAAGTGTGATTGATAAATTGAAACTTATCTAAGAACTATTAGTAATCCTGACACTTTAATGCTCCACGCAATTCAAGCTTGTCGTAATGCAGTGTTGTGAAAAATTGAAGGTTTAACAAAAGTTTGTTGATATATTTTGTCAAGCAATGTACAATACGCAATGACAATCATGTTATTATGATTATTAAATGAGGAAGATCGTGCTTCAATTTTTGAAAAATGGGAATGAACACAGATTAATCCATATGTTTGTGAATAAATGTAAATTTAAATTACTGTTGATGATAAATTCTATATCTATTTTATACGAAGGGTGAAAATTTGATTATAATAAATTGATTGTTTCATTTGATTAAATATCTTATTAAGCACAGTTTAACTTAAAAATTATTTACATTTTACAATTTTATAATTTTCATGCTACTCGAAAATTTTAAAGATTATTTCATATATATATGATTAACAATGGAGAGGTTTATTTTCAATTTTTAAAACATATTGAATTTAAAAGAAATTCAATTGTGTTTGCGATATTAAATATAGATTTTTGTTCTGAAACCTATACCTTTTCACAACACTATCAATGATTTTATAATTGTGCATATTTTCTCAAATAATATTTTTCAGCTTGTACTTCTTACAATTAACCCTTGAAGGACCTTGTGAAATTTCAAATAAAATTTAAACTCTAAATCATTCGTTAAGACAACAAAGCTAAAGAGATTCTAGGTAAGGTTTTCTCTAGTTTCTCCTTGGGTTCTCCCAAGATCAGATATAGATGGTGGGAAATTCCCCTCCTATGGGAAAATCACCCTTAACCCTTTTTCGAACAGAGGCAGTAGTTACCCCTGAAATCTTAAAATTAAACACTCTTTAATCCTCAATTATCTTATCAAATTTGTAAACATTGTAAAGCAGATTCGAAACCATCCATTTGAAAAAAGGATTAATCAATAAGAGATTACATTTCACAAGAGTGTACAATACTTCTTAAATTAACAAAAAAGTTAAAAAATAATCTTTAGCTAATCAAAGAGAAATATTTTCAAAGTAAACGATATGTAACTATTTCATCCAGGTCCTTCGATGGTTAATTAAATGTTCGTTTCACTTCTCTATTCGTTCCACGAGCATCCTCCTCTCTGTTGGTCTCTGAGTGTTCTGGCTGTTGTAACGAGCTCGAGAATCGTCGGTGTGTTTTTTTCTTTCACGGTCTGGCTGGCATTTGCCACTTATCTTTGAATTGCGCTCCTCTGTGGCGGCCCCTGTAATCCTCTCCCTTCCTAGGCCACGATGCTGAAGAAGACCAAGGGTAAAATTAAACGGCGTAACACAGAGTCCAGCATGCAGCTGGCACTTCAGGCCGCTCCCTCGAATTACCCGGAACCTGAAGTCTTCTGAGTGACCGATCGTTCTCCCCCGTGCAAACGGAACGAGGATGTCGCGTCACGAATCATACCGTCACGTACAATTAACACGCGAAAGCGGCACAGCTCTAGCACAACACGAAATCGGCCTCGAAATTCGTCTGTCTGACCACAGTCGCACGTTGTACGAACATGAAACTCAATGCACAAAACAGAAATACAACAAAATAAAAAGAAAATCAAAAATACCATTACACCCGGTCTGATCACACGAAAAACGCAAGGGAAACTCCTCCAGGAAAAGCCAGGATGAACAAACGATACCTACCGAAGAAGATGAAAGAGAAGTAGAAGAAGAAGAAAAAAACAAACGCTCGTCTAAGGACACTTCATTATGAACTCAATTAATCTTTAATGTCCCCTTCCGAGTTGCTAGGAAAACTAGATCTCATTTTTAAATGTTAATGATCATTATATAGCATTGTACGTAGCTTCGATCGATATTTTTTTAGTAAAAGATAAAGAGAAAAAGAAAGATGACGATAAAAAGAGAACGAACGAACGAACGAGTGTGTACGCGTGTGTGAGTGCGTGAATGTGAATGAGCAAATGATAGCAACTACGAGATAACGTTTTACCAAGGAAAGCAGTATTGAATGAAAATTTTTCTCCTGTTTATTCGCTTGACATACCTGTGCGTTTACGTTGGTATAGTTGATTATTTAGTCCCGGACAAGCGACGATGGTGAACCGTAGCTGTACATGACTTTTATCGTATCGGTATTGTACCGATTCACCGGTGAGATATCATGGTACGAATGCCCCCGTTATCAAGAGTATCGAGTACATAAAATTGTTATTAATATATATATTTATATATATACATATATATATATATATATATATATATATATATATATATATAAAATATTTATGATTAAATATTAATATATTTACAAATAAAACAAAGAAGAGTAATGTATTAGTATTACGATCTTAAGTTGTGATAACTGTTGTGCGTCTGACTGCTGGGCAGTCTGGAATTTATAAGAGAAAACAAATACCAGTGGCAGTCAGTCATTTCATAGGATACGTGAAAATAAAACGAACTAGAAGAAATAAAAAACATACAAAAAAAAAGAGGAAGAAAGAAACGAAGAAGATCAGAGAACGAATAAACGTAACAAATATTTGCCAATTCGTCTGGATCCAGATCGATGAAGAGGAAACGTTAGGGGCGACTTGGCAAACGTTCTCCGCTCGGTTCTATCGAAGTTCTTCTTCTTCCACGAAGGAAACACAATTATTTGCCTGAGCCAAACGGTCGGCAACACATTCCACTGTAACGTGGTCGAGAGCTAGATGGACGCATGTACATTTCTAAACAATGCCAAAGGAACTTCTAACGTGCTAACACTTTCACGCTGTTTGGACACCACTCGTGGGCCGATTTGGATATTTTCTTTTTTTTTTTTTTTTAATGGGTGATAGAATCGAAGAGAGGAGGATCGGCTACATGGGATCGTGGATCGTGTTCATATTGGACCCTTCGTTGGCATCGTTCGGTTAAGAGACAATTTCGGTGCCAAACAGTTGTACATAATACTGTAAATGTAGGCGTAAAACCAAAAAGAAAACACACACAGATATGATGGAAAGAATTTATTCGAGGCGACAGAGAACGAGCCGCTGGTTTCGTTGCATGCCGGACATTGAACAGAAATAATCATGTCCTCCCTGAAGGCAACACGAATTTGATTCGCGGGAAAAACGTGTCGCGTCGCGTTGCGTTTCGATCATCGAGGAACATTGATGATGCCATTCACGCGCGAACTCTAACACGGAAGCGCGTTCCGAGAGGAAGTCGAAGAATGCGCTCGCATCGCCTCCTTTCGTTCGCTTTGCAACAGAGACGCTTGTAGAAACACGCTACTCCTGCATCCTCTTTTTAAATAATTGCTAGATTTATTTTTCGAGGGTGTCTCTCCCTGATGCCAAGGTTCATTTCTTATCGAGAGACTGTCATTTCCGGATGGTTGATCGGTCTCTCCCGTTGAAGAAGGTCACAACCTGCCAATGATGTATGGGCTCAGTCGTTCGTGCTCGACATCCGGTTTCAGAGCGTGGACGATGCATCGGCGGCAGATTGGAATCGCGAGTTCGTTTTTCAATTTGATTAAATGGAAATATATCTTTATCATGTCTACCGTAGGAATGAATTCGAATTATACAGGATATTTCGTGACATGTGGAGCAAATTTTAAAACATTGATAAGGATTAATTTCTACATATCGAAAGAAGAAATTTGATTTTTATCATTTTTATAATTTAATCTGTTAATTTAGGAAGATATCTTATTAAGTAAAAGGATTCATGAATAATCAGTTATAACATATTTCGGTTATCGCATTTACGTGAGTTTCTTTATCTAGCAGATAAAAATTAATGAATCAGCGATTGATGAGTTAAACTGCCAGCTGCACGATATAAATAAATTCTGCAAATACCAAGAATCTATCAAACAGTATAATAAGAAAATTAGTAAAATCAGCTACCATTGAAAATAATAATTCAGAAACAATATTAAATATAAAGAAATCTAAAAATTTCACAATTTGTGAAACAGCCTGTATAAATAAGAACAGAGATACATATTCGACGTGAATTGAATTAATTTTTCCTTATCAGCGAACTCGACGAACACCTTCTCCTAGGTTTCATATTTATTTATTTATTTATTGTATTTGTAGACGGACTTCCTGCGAACGCGTCTCCGTATTATCCTCTATCAATTAAGAGCGAGAAAGCATGGTAAAAGTATACATGGGATCGGATGTGACACGTTTTAGGGACGATCTTTCGTTTCTCGTACCGTAGAACGATGTACTGTGCGAAGAACAAATTCGTTGTTAATTAATATCGATGTATCACGCGTAAAAAGAAGTGGTATAAAATCGTGCGAACGAATTGTTGCCGAGTTTACGCGAATAATTTACGTTTCACCCTAATTGTGGATAGTTTCGACGTGCGCAACAAACGTTATTGTATATCCGCGAAAGGGCGAGGTTTTTGTTTCAATCATGTCTTGGCGTGTATTACGGAAAGAGTGGAATATTACATAAATTAATGTACACATTATTCTGTGGACTTCTGATGCTTTTATTCATTCCATACCAGTAGATTTTTTATCCCTAATCCCTGGATCAATTAGATGTTTCTTTGAAACCTATTTATTTTCTTTTTAAATATTTCTTATTTATTTTTTAAATATTTCTGATTTATTTCAAGTATAATTTAATTAATTCTAAAATCACTGTCAATTGTTCTGCAAATATTTTTGTGAAAAATATAGGTACACACTTTTAAACATTTTTTTCTCTTAAAAATTTTTAATACATATTCAATCTCATAGAAATAGATTGTAAGTTGTGAATGATTAGATTCCACACAGCTTATGACAATCCATATCATGGAATCGTACTCGAGTACGTCTTAAATATCAATGATTAGAAATATTCCTTTCTTATTTTTGCGACTAGAAATTGTAAGCGATGGAAGTGCTTAAACACAGCAAACTTTTATTCATACGTATTCAATATGTTTGTTTATTAATTTTTTTTCTGTAATTTAAGTTCAAAAATACGAACATGACTTTTTTTTAAGACAGTTACTAAAGATTACACAAATAATATATTATTATTATATACGAATAAGTGTAGGTCTTAACTATTACCCTGATACCGTTGTCAGAAATTGGTGCTACTTATCTGATCAGGATTTTCCAAAAGTCATAAAGCTTTTGTACATGTAATAGAGCATTCGTAACAGTACGTAACGAGAAGATAATTATTTCTTGCCAACTACATTAGAAGCGTATGAAAGGTTGCATTAATAGCATTTAAGAACCCTCAAAAGGTTGCCATTAAATCATTATAACGAAACATTAGTTACAAACAGATAATTAGAGTATATGTAGTAATGATAGATATGAATAATAAGAAATTTTTGTTACATTTATTTCAAAATCACAACAGATGTAATAATTAAAAATTTCAAATTTATCGCTTTAAATATGATTAGATATCCGTAATAATTTCCTAGGAATTATTTTTAACGTAAACAAGTATTTTTATGTTGATAACCTAGATTAAGTTTTCAATTTGTATATACCTTGGTATCGTTCTAAATTATTGATTGATGAACCTCGAATGATTTCTTTTTGTTACATAATCACTAGGATAAAAATTCGAGAGATGTTAATTCGAAATTTGAAGAGTCATTTTATTAGAACCACTTCAGGTTTGAAAAACAGCACATGTTCAAAACATAAAAATTTGCATTATAATTTATCAAAGAATATTTTATTTTTATATTACACAATTTATTTAAAATATAAATAAGTGATTCGACGACTCTTTGATATCTTTTTTTCTACAAGACTTCAGTATCTTGCTTAACAAAAAATTTAATTGGTGTATTAATATTGACCACCCCGTATATGAAAGCTATTTCCACCAAATAATCTCTACACCGCCCTCTTTTATGTACCATACACATTTATCAATCGTCATTCTATTTTAATATATATGTATCATTAAAAATACTACACATGTTTTAGATACCATAAATATCCTTTCTAAACTTGAAATTATTTTTCTTCTAATAATATTCACAATACTTTAAAATTCAACATTCAGAATTTTGTATAAAGTTAAATATATCAAAATGTCCTTTCATGATCAGCGTTCATAAAATTTGAAGCAATTCATTATAACATATATAGGTGTTCCCCAGGGGATGTATTTCCCAGTTTAGGGGGTAAATCATCTACCTGAGAGTTAATCACATACTCGAGGTGAAAGTTTCGACATTTTCCCATAGGAGAAATTTCCAGGTACGTAGGAACTAATTATAAGACAATTCTATAGAGCTTTGGAAATTCCATGGGTAAAGGTAAACGTATCGTAATTATTCTGTGAAGCATACGATTGCTCGAATCTGTTTAACCACATGCCACTTTAATGACATCCGAAGATTCAAGATGCTTGCTCAAATTAATCATTGATTAATCAATGTAATATCTACTAAATGATAACTATTATTATAACTGCAAAATTGTTAAATATTACTAAAAACTTCAAAGATAAATATTGAAAATTATTATCAAAACCTGAAATTTTATTGCTATTCTTCAGTATATTTAATGCAAAAATTAGTTAATGATTAATAAAGCAAATTTTAATGAATAAAACAACAGAATATTGTTATAAACGTATAATAAAATAGTAAATGGCACATGAAAATATAATAAGCTTAAAGTGAATAATTTTATAAAAATTACTATAATAATTGTGTATGAATGAGAATAAGATTTCTTGCAAGAAAGATCTTGTACCGATCACAAATTAAGATAGAAATAGCAACAAAAGCCATTTCTCTATTGATATGTAAAAGAATGTTTATATTCTTGAAACTCGGCACGTGGCAGTAGCGATAGTGAAAGAAACGGAAACGGAAATAGTAATACAGCACCGAGCTAGACATCTGCTTACCCTTCTGAAATCATCTTACAAGATTTTTCAAGGGGCACGACATTCTAAATAGAGTATGCTTTTCACGGCAAAGAGGTCCTGTGGAAAAAACCTAACTGTACGGAAGTATATTATTGTAGGCCATGTGGCGACCAGAACTTTTCAAGAACAGAAACGACCCAAGACATCTGGGTACTCGAATACGTGCCGTAGAATCCTCAGTTACCGGAAGGGAAATGAGAGAGAAATTTTCCTTGAATTCTTTGAAAAGTAAGCATTGGAACGTCTGAAAGAGAACAAAGCCATCTGGATAACAATAAGAAGAATTATATGAAAATCTTCAAAAAAAAATACCAAATAATGAATATCCATAAAATTATATTTTAATTTCTATGATTAAAATAAATTATAAAATTTGAATACTATATGACCCATGATATACTATCTATCAGTTTTACAGGTAATAGAGATTGCAAAATTACTGTAGTAAATTAAACTATATATAATTATGATAACACAGATATTTCGATAAAATGGTTCGACTGATATTTCATTAATTTTAAAAATATCAATGAGATAGATACGGCACTATCATCAGATTTATTTTTATCATTCATAAATCTCTCAATTATTGTGTGAATTGCGTTTAAGAGAATAATTATTACGAGTACAAAATGTTGAAAACAGTAAAAAGATTTCAAATTCCTTATCTCTGTGTTTGATAATATAATTTTGACTTGTTTTATTCCAATAGTTTCAATAGCTTCGCTCCTATAATAATGATTATTGCTGATGTTTTCAAGGGTCTCCTCTATTGTTAAGAAGCAAAAACTGATCTAGATAAATATTTAGAGAAGGGAAAGTACCAGTAGTCTGGTTGTCTGGAAAAAGTAGTTCTGTCTGCAATGCTTCTTCGAGATGTTATACATATCTTGTTACATGTATTTACATCTGGGAAACCATACACGTAACCCTTGTATATATAGGGTGTCCCAAAATTTACCATTTTTATTTACGTACATGAAAACAATTTAATTTTTAATTAAATTTCACTCTATTGTGACTGATATGTTTCTTTTAAATGGGTCACTCGTGTTTATATTGATTATATCATCATCAGTATACATACATATACACTCGTTTATGATGGAAGTATCTTAGCAACAAAAACATGTTATTGCAATTAGTTTTTCCGTGATACTGAATTTCTAAGATTCAAATATTTTGTCGGTAATTCCACATTTTTTTATGTGCCTCTGTAAAACTTTCCATATTTCACAATGTATCATTGGTTCCTGACGATTACTCAGTGAAGCGTATAAACAAAAAAAGTATGAAACCGATATGATTCTGAATGTATGAACTCACAGTTGACGCGCATTGTGTCTAATAATTAAATCAACAATAAATTCTGTAAAATAATTAATTCTATATAATAAAACTATATCAAACTATAAAGAACAATATTTTGGTTACCTTACATCTGATACAGTATTTGTTGATAACCGAATCAGTACCGAATCATAATAATATTGAACCATAGCGTCAGATTCCTGGATTAATAACAAATTACTAATTAGAAATTTCGTTGCTTACGCAAATTTCAAAAAGGGCTTTCCCCTACCTCGTTGCGCATGCGCGCTCATCCCGCTCCCACCATTGGTCCACTCGGTGATCACGTGGTCAGTTCCGTGATTCCGAGTTCGAGTCATCGAGAGCTCGCAGGGAACCGTCAGTGTGCGTCGAACCGTTCACGTAGGTGGTTTCTAAATAAATTTTAATTGGACTTTTTGCATTTAAAATTCCTTTCCTGCTTCTCTAAAGTGTTGTGTCTCACGATCGAACGATTCTCGTGACAAGAAAGAACGCGTCTGTGAAATTGTGCACAGTGTGTTCGTTTAATTGAACGAGTATTGTTTGACGAAGAAGAAACAAAACAAACAACGACAACGAATGGTCGCGACGTGTGCTAATCATCTACGCTGAATCTGGTAAGTTAAATATTCAATTTCAAACTATTGATTATTATATTATATGTACATTGCAATGGAATGCATATAATTGTACAGAAATTTAGTATTATTTTTATAAATACATATTTTAATTAATAGGATAAATGAAAATTTGTTGTCAAAATAAATATTATTGTTTGTCATTTTAAAGATTGCATTACTGTTAAGGTTACACTGTTCGGTATGAAACAACTCATTTTTTTATTTCACTGTAAACGACGCGCTGTAGAAGTTTATGATTCCCGTGATGTGTTTTCCTGGAAATGGTTGAACTTATAGCCTACAATACTCGTAGGAATAGTTTCTTCCATACATTAATTTGTCGATTAAAATTCGTGTCTGAATTTCCCGGTATCTAACTACCTATCGATGATGTAACGACTAATTTAGGTATCGATAGATCAGCCACGTGTGATTTGAAGTTCAGTTTTTCAATTTTATAGTGAAGGAAGATTATGCGCGGGAATGGATGTCTGATACGATCTATTAATTTTTATTAGTTATCAAAAAGAAGCGTATAAATATTACTAGTTAAAATATTCAGGCTATAACCATACGATAACTATTATGTACCTTTAATAAAATTTGTATTATTCTTATATTCAATAATTATTTATCTTATGACTTTCAATTTCTTGTTATTTTAAAATTAAAAATATAATTTTAAAAATAATAAAATGTTATTCATGAAAAATTAAAGTTAACTATTTCAAATTTTAATTATTTTGTTTAATATATCTTCCTCAATTATTCATGGTAATTAGTGTGATAATTATTATAATAATATTAATATACAGTAATATAATAATTATGCACTGTATAATAACACGTGTATACATATCATTAGACTAATATGTAGATCGTAATTATGGTAATTAAGATCAGATACACGTAGGAGTATAATTCTTGCAGATGTATCTCTGCTTGTTTTCCATAAAATTGCAACATTTCACTATTAATCTAACAATAAGTTAGAGAATTTAATTCCTCGGTGTTTTTCCTCTACAAGTTGATAATTCTACAAAGCGAACTTATCATCCGTAACTTCTTCGCGGATGTTGAATTCTCGATGCAAGGTATAATTACATTCGCAACATATCGGTATAAAAAAGTATAAATTGAGTAGGTGCAATTTGCAAAGGAAATTTTTACAATCCTGTTATATCGACGTTTAAAACATCCCACAAAATATCATATACAGGGAAACGCTAAGCTTTAAAAAAACATTTGCAACATTCAACACACATGTTCTTTTTTGATTCGTCATTTTTATAATTTCCTTAAAAGCAGATTTATTCGCGTGCAGATTATCTGTGAAGAATTATTCGCATGTTTATATCCGGAACTGACTCATTTATCAGAGATACATTTTTTACCAAAATATTTGTCTTGTGTTCCATCGTGTACATATTTATAAATATTTCATTATAATTTTAGTATGATTTGTAAAAGAAATTATAATGTAAATGCGCTTAAATAATATTTCATACATAATAAGACAAAGAAATATAGTAAATATATGCCAGAAACGCTATAATAATTATTATTATTTCTTATTAATTTGGTATAAGTTTCAATTTGAATAACATAAATTATTATGATTCATGGAATATGGAAATTATACTATGTGATAAGCACCTATCTTTGTAAAAGGTAGAAATTTTTTATAATGTAGTTTGGGGAAACGTTTAATTCTAGAAAGGAAAAATTTAATATTCATATTAATAATTAATGAGAATTCGCGTTTCACGTTCTTCACATACCTTAACATTTTTAAAGAATTGATACATATTTATATACCTGCAATTAGGAATTTTAAACAGGTAAATAATTGTTTATCATGGAAGAAAAATAATAATAAAGTCCATCTTTACGTGCAGAAGCGTTAATTGAATTTTAATTTTTATAAAATTATTGCACCATTATTAATAACCGGAATTTCACTGATATTAACCTCTTAGAAGCAGTTTAAATCTGTACAACTTGTAATCAATCGAAAGATTCATTTGAAATAGCATATTATCTCTTTAAAGTGGATTATCAAATTCAGGTAGAATAAGTAGATAAAATTTGGATCGTATGTTACTCTCAGAATTGATAAAGGAGCATTTTGTTTATTTGGGACCAGAATAAATAGCCTTGATTATTATATAATGAGAAAAAGTTCTTAAACGTTTAAGATTATTATCAGATAATAATATTACCTACGGGTCACTACTGCCCTATAAAGAAAAATGAATCGAACTGCACAAATTTTTGCTGACCGAAAGAAAATATTAATAAACAAATGATAACAAGTCATCTGAAATGTTACTGATTTATAATATATGTATAGATATTAATACTTAATCAACCGGAAATCGATAAATCCTTCAGTCCGAACCGTTATCAATTGTAACTTATTTTATAAATTTTTTGTTATTAATTAATCAAGATAATAAAGTCTAAATCGAAATCTTTCTAAATATACAAATCATACGTCAAAATTTTAAAAAAATAAAAAATTAGAGCTGCTAACAATTTGTTAAAATATATTATTTTTGCTGAATAAAACCATCTGCTCTTAAAGTCTTGTTTGCTTCTCCTTATCGAGCGAAATAAATAATTGCTCTTCTTAGAATTTTCGAAAATTAATCCTTATGAGCTTACGAGATAATTAATTGAGGTGCAACGTCAAGTATGCTATACATCACGCATTAAATTCGCTGTTACACGCTTTGATAAATTATATTTCATGGTCAATTTAAAACAAAGCAACAATTTTTTTAATTATTGTCGCATTTAGAAATAAATCATTCTTTTGATTACAGTCGTATCCACGAAACACCATTCATTCCTTTTACACTTTGAATATTTATTCCGTTGATAAATAAATAATTATCTAAAATAATGAATGATTTGCATATTTATTTAATTCTCTACCGTGTAGGTACCGTTTCTTGGTACACATCTTGGAGAGGAGGAACTTGTTAGTAAAATCCTGATCTTTTTGTTTTGTTTTGCACATACATAAGCGAATAGGTTTCACGAAGCAGAGTACAAAAACAAAGAGAATGGTCTTGCCTTGGTCGTCCTTGGTTTTGCTAAATCGGTATTGTATCTCCACATACATTATCGATGAAAGTCTAGAGACTTTATTGGCGAGGAGAATACACGACCTTTGCGACACTGATTTAGCTCAAACTTTGCATAATTGACTTGACATTAAGGAAACTTTGGTCACAAATTTCTATTTTATTTTGGAGAACTGCAGACCACGATTTTGTTTATTAATGCTCCATCTGGATATTGATTCATTTATTTTAATTCTCTTCAGCCTCTTATTAGGTTATATTCTAAAATAGCTTTCAAAGGATATATGTACAGATTTTGAAATTATAACTATATCTACCTACATTATGTATAAAAACAGAGATGGGTACATAAATATATCGACATTGTTATAAAAATGAAAAAAATTGAAAATAAGATTACTCTAATAGATTGATAGAAAATAAAACGCAGTAGGCTCTCATTATATTGCCACCAACGGGACTGTAGGAGCGGAAGATTTGTCAAGCTTCCAAACTCTCATTTAAAAGGTGGAAGAGAAATAGAAATGTATCATTATCATAAACTATGATAGTAGAGTAACACTACTATTTTTTTTTATAGGTCAAATTACTCACGCAGCAATATAACGAGGGTCTCCTGTAAGATCATCTTCACACAGAATCCTATCACTAATGACCTGATAATCGATGCAACATTAAATTTTCACTTAACAATAAACAAATAAATACAATAAGCTTACTCCAATGAACTTAGAAAATAAATCCAATTCTTTATTTTTTTTTATATTTGAAAAAAAAGAACAAAAAAGAAAACTGTAATATTATCTATAAATCATTAATTGATATAATCAATGGTATCTTTATTCAATAATTTGTCCAGAAAATCATTTTTAATGCAATGGACGATTCATATCAACGCAGATAGAGTTTATAAATATAGACGATAAGACCCAATATAAACGAAGCCAAATTTTATGATTTAAGATTAATTTAATCTATTGATAAACAGAAAAGACGAATTAATTTGTAATCCAAGTGCGTATGCAATATTTAGAAGATTATATAGAAACGTTTGAATTTTCTGGGTTATTTAAATAAAATTACAAGATTAGTCTTATTAGTTCAGAGTTGTTCACCTCTAGTGTGAATCATATGTAAGTACAATGAAAAGCTCAAAAGATACTGACTGTTTCTCCACAGGTATTATTTACTCTTGCCAACTTCTTCGTATTTTATTATCAAAATATGTAATTTCGTGGAAATCTTTTGTTCGATAGCATGTTCACTTGAACACAAAATTTCAATATATCTCAACCTTATATTATTAATCTTATTATGAATGATTAATTCTACTTGCATTTGGATGGATTTTTGATTAAATCGGTGTATTAAACTTCTAAGCCTGATAAGCATTTTTTTTCTAAATTTCTAGGAAGTTAAAAATGTTTTACGATAAACAACTTTTGTAGATATTGAATTTTCGTCTTTTGTTAATGCTGGATACAGAATATTAATGGAAATTAAAAAGTTTCTATTAAACCTCTATCAATAGACTACATATATTGTAAGTTCATATTAATAAAATTATATGACTTATTGAAGATTTATTTCAAATAATTTACAGCTTTAAAAAATACAAATTTTTGATCAAGGAATGATATTTTTAATGCAGCCATGACTACTAAATTATATAATACAATTATATCTATTTTCTTTGTGAGCAAATGATAATATATAATTAATAGAAACAAAGGTGGAAAATCAATTTATCAAGCACTATGATGATTCGGTAGTTTTGAACGAACTGCAATAGAACCCATCTAGGTATCTTTACCAAAGATAATTCTGTTTTACAATTACAAACATTGCTCGCTCGTTGTGAATGATGTACACTAGAGTTAAACACTGTGCGCTTACTCTATCTAATCGCATTATATAAGATGTTAATATGTACATCAAAGAGAAGATTACAGTTCTTTTGATTGAGAGGTCACGGTTACGTACATCTTACCTGATTAGAACATATTGCGCGTCATGGTTTGTATATGAAAAATAATTAAATGAATAACGTGAATTTAAAAGAAATAATGTTTGTTTAACACGATACGCGACGCATAATCATAATCCATCATATTTATTAGAATACAGAATGTTAATTAGGCAAAGTACAATACGTAGCCTTTGTTTTAATTTTCCCGTAATTAAAGAACGTGTTAAAAGATTTAAGTTTTTGTAATTTCCTAGTTATTTGTTTTTCTAATTTTTATCTTTCCAGTACCTAATATTTTAATTTCACAAATTTTCTAATTTCCCAATTTGCTAATTCTCCAATTTTTTAATTTGGTAGTTTCTTAATTGTCTGATATTCTAAGCCGTTAATTTCCTAATTTTTCATTTTGCCAATTTTCTAGTTTATCAATTTCCTAATTTTCGAATTTCCCAATTTGGCAGTTTCCTAATTACCTAATTTTCCAATTGCCTACATTTTTAATTTTCTAAATTCCCAACTCCAGACATATAATCTCCAATCTTATTTCTTAGAACAACAACATGCAATTGTTGAAACAATCCAGATTTGTTACTTACGCGAACTTGTACTATTATCTTCAATATTATGAAACATCGGTATCAATATGGTTCGCCTCAATCACAGAGGAAAATCACGAAACCAATCATTAACCATCTTCTTGTCCTTAACTATGAACAAAAAATATCGTATATAACAAAACTTTTAAAGAATGTTTATCAGGATAGTTGACACCTGCAAAACTGGGTCATTAAAAAAATCGAAACACTTATGTTTCATAACCGTGACGTTCAAAAGCATGTAGAATTTTATCTAATACTTTGAAATGTACTGACCTATTCCTATGTGGTCGAACTTGGTCTAATTAACAGTACACAGATAATCATAATGTAATTCCGTCTGGGACATCGTTGTTTTATATTTTTATTATAATTTCACTTGTAAAAAACAATAATTATGGATCATCTTATAGAGTCATTTCAAAAATACAAAACGCAAATGCAGATACGAAATAACACCTTTACTTATTTGATTTCTATCAATAATTTTCGCTTTTCAGCAATCTAATTAAGAACTTATTCAGTGTTATTTCATAGTGCTAGTAATCGCAAATTTTATTTCCAACATGATAAATAAGCTCTGGATATTTCTCAGCGTAACTCACGAACATGTTTCTGCGTTATAATATGAGATGCAAGAGATATAGTATATGAAAAGAAAAGAGTGAATTATGTAGAATACATATAAATTGAAAACTTGAAAACATCCTAAAATATTTGCCTATTTTCTAACAATTTTTTATCTATAAAACCAGGAAGATCTATGTTAGGCTTTCCTTTGGCTTTTTACCGCGGTTCTTCAAAGATCTATCGCGAATCAAGTAACCATTGCGTCGTTGCAGCGAAGTGTACAACGTACTTACATGTGTATTAAGACCCGTATATGCATTACGCATTTTGTAATGAGTACGTAGAAAGAGGCGTGTCCCGTTTAGAGAAAACTTCTATACAGGTCGTTAGCCCGGATCTACGTTACGCGATGGATCTGAAACGTGACAGACATGTTCTGTCGACATTCTTTCTTCTTGAACGAAGCCCAAGACTGTTTTTTCTTTCTCTTCGTTCACAGGAGCATAGTTACGGAGACAGACGTTCATTGTGAAATTTTTTGACGTTAATCTTGTCCTCTGATCCAATGACAATTATAATAGTAATACTATGATCTAATATATTGTTGGTTATAAATAATTCAAATAGTAATGAAACCTGATAGGTTGAAAATTGAATTGTTAGATAAATGAAAAATTTCATTTGCAATTATATAAAAAATAATTATCAGTAGGTATAGGAACGGATGAAGATTTCTGGGGCCCAGGACTATCAAACCTCCGAAGAGTCCCCCTTGGGAAAATTGAAATTTATTGTAAATAAAATGAAATAATATTTAATCGTACAGAAAAAGAGAAATTATACAAAAAAATTTTCATTTAATATTCTTTGACTTGTAAAGGGACTCCCTAGAAAGTAAGTCCAGTAAGTCAAGAAATCGTAAGTCCCTTAGACCTCCCATTAATTTGTCACTAAGTAAGCAGTCATTGAAATGATTGATTTCAAAATTTCGAAAATGTTTTAAATTAATTTTCTTAAAAAGTTCAAATTGAAATTCATCAAATATCATATAAACATTCGTTCTCAAACGCTTCATCGTAAGTCATAGTATAAACAGGAAAAGAGTTTATCAATGTCAGTATGCTTTGCGATGCGAAACATGGTGTTCTTATCATCACACGAGGAAGTTATCACAATTATCTGATCCGTCGTACCACTATTTCCGATTTTACTTCTCTACCAACTTCGTCAATTCATCACGAAATGATCAGATCACTCTTCTTTTTCCTTTTCATTATTTAACATTACTCACATTAAGTACACGCATTATAATGTAATTAACGCGTTAATTACTGCAGTAAATAACGTTGCAATAGCAATAACGCAAATTAAATTGTTCAATTAATAGCTTACAAAATTAAAGTAATATTAATCTTAGATAAAGTAATCTTAGAATTTCCTTCAATTCTTTTTATATTAAAAATATTCAAAATTAATTTTTCAATACAATGCTTCAATTTATTATTTTATCCTTCTCATTTCTATGCAGTGGCAAAGATCTTCGAAAATGTAGAATCACCTTATTCCATAGTTTCCTGTCTTTTTTTCAACCTTATAATACATAAAACTGTACGTAGAATAAATTCCACAAATAAATAACTTTGATTAAAGCGTGAAGAACTTGGTCAATAACATATTACGTATAATTTTCTGTTGCAGCAGATATCAAGCGTACACGAGGTACAAACAAAATGATCGGGTCATGTTGGATCATCATCTCGGTCATCCTCGCTACGTGCAACGCTTTCGATACTCGTCAGTGCTCGGCATGGGGATGTAATTGCCACAATACTTACGAAGCCGAAGTTCAACTGTACTGTCCGACAGACGAGAACTCGGCCTTCATCGTGAATGTCCAACCGCACGAATATATTCAGGTGAGCATCCGTGACTCACTGATGCTTTTAAAAGAGTATCCACGATGATAGGATACGTAAAACTAACCGATGGAATGTAACTGTACATTATGGTTTCGTACAAAACACGTGCTTTCGTGAGCTTCATGTTAATCACCGTTTCCACGGTGTTCTTTGAAGAATATATTACAGTAATATGGTTTTGGAATATTTCAATTATTCAGTCGAAATAATTAAGTTTTTCTTGTTCATTCTTCGGTAAATAGAGATGTTCTGTACAGAGTATATACTTGTTCTTAGTTCTTTGCTTTATTATTTTATACTCCACTTATTGATACTCTAGACAGTCTGAAAATTCATTTCTATTTCTTCTAAAAATGTTCAAATATGTTCAAAATGTTCAATGTCTAAATGCACTAATTATTGATACTCTAGTTAGTCTGAAAATTCATTTCTATTTCTTCTAAAAATGTTCAAATAGAATATCATTCAAGTTCTTCTGTAGTTGTACGCTTCGCTCCTGAATTTTCATCGGTATTCAGAGTCGAGACTTTCACTTTCCATTGCGAAACACTCTCACAATTCAAGTAGAAAAATGTTCCGTGATAATTACTAGAAAGAACATCAATTGTTCTCATAACAACTTTGACAAATTCATGATAAACATTCTAAAATTTACATTTATGGTAGCTTAGATTATCCTAAGCATCAGAATCAAAAATAAATGATAACGATAGTAAATAATTACCCTAAAAATAAAATTTCATTTGTTCAGATTCAGTGTCAAAACTATCCACGATGGACCGACTTCCGTCTGTTGAACCTGTTCCCCAAAGACGACATGAGGGCTGTGTACATTCGGATGTGCGGTCTCCCAACGAACTCGAGCCTAGGTGAAATCGCGAACAGATTCGGCACAGAGAACGTCGACAAGCTACTGTTCCAATCGTTCGACAATTTGAGCGGCAATCTAACCAGAAGACACCTGAAAGGTTTCCCAAAATTGCAACGATTGATCCTCTCCAGCAATGGCCTAACGAATCTCAGCAGCGATGTGTTCGTGGATGTACCTCACCTAATGTGGCTCGACTTGCGAGAAAACAACGTCTATCTATCCCCAGGGATCTTCAATAACACACCGAAACTCGAAGTGCTCGAACTGGGTAACAACATGATCAGTCAAATCGAGCCAGGTATATTCGACCCTCTGACGAATCTTAGATTATTGAACTTATGGTTGAACAAGTTCAAGGAAGTTAAACCAAACACGTTTGACAAACTCGTCTCTTTGACCTCTCTGGATCTAAATTCGAACGAGTTGACTACCTTACCGGAGAATGTTTTCGCGAGATTGGAAAATCTGGAAGCGTTGAGTTTGTACAATAACAACTTCACCTCCTTGCCAGAGGATCTGCTAAGGAACAATGTTAAATTGAAGAATATCAATCTGTCTAATAATAAAAGGAACATGACACTGCCGAGAAGGTTCTTCGCAAATTTGACCCAGCTTGAAGTGCTGAAATTGAAACAAAGCGGATTGATCGCCATGCCTGAAGACTTGTTTTGGGGTTCTACGTCTCTGAAGAATATCAGTCTGGAGAATAATTATCTGGAGACTTTGCCTAAACGCATCTTTGAAGGATTGAATCGTTTGTTGGAACTAGATCTTGGTACTAATAAATTGATGTCCTTGCCAGATGAGATTTTTTCATATACAACTAGTTTGGTCTATTTGAATTTGGAAAAGAACCATCTTACTTCCATATCCGCGTAAGTGTTATTTTTATTCTAATATTTTTATTCGATATTGATCAAATATTATAATTTCAATTCTTCTTATGGTACCAATTACAGGAATCTGTTTAACAATTTAAAATCACTGAGGATTTTAAATATGGAACAAAATCAGTTGGAAACAATTGATGATAGGAGTTTTATTTCTTTGGCGAATCTAGAAATTGCGAGATTCTCGATGAATCAACTTAAATTGGCATCCTCTTTCGTAGATGAGTTTGGAAGGAAATCATATTTCTATGATTGCAAATCTCTTAAAGAATTACATTTGGCCCATAACAATATTTCCGAGATATTTTCCGATTGGACTATAAACGGTATAGAGTTGCGTCTATTGAATCTCAGCTATAATCAGATACCTTACATATTGGTAAGTAGCTACAAAAATATATTACTTTACCGATAAACTTTTTATTTCTCTTGTTGTATCTTATTTATTTTATCGGTAACCTTTTGTATGATTTCAGGCCACGGATTTACAATTTATATCTAACGACCTCAAAGTGGATCTGACCCACAACAAAATACAAGATATTTACCTAGGCGACGCAGAAGAATTGGCAAAATATCAAGAAATTCCACGTGATGTGATAATATATGTCCAGAATAATCCCATAGTTTGCGGTTGTGCTTTGTACGACTTCCTTCGTTACCTAGAAGGAAAAATGCATAATAACGTTCAAAATTACATCCACATAATACCAGGAAACTTGACCTGTCACGGTCCAGACTACATAAACGATACAGCTGTGGACCAGTTACACTCAGAATCCTTCATCTGTCCAAAACCTGAACCATGTCCAGAAGAGTGCTCTTGTTGGATAAGACAAAGCGATAATGCATTTCTAGTAGACTGTTCCTACAAGAATTTGACGAGCATACCAGAAAACATTAAGACCATTCCTAATTACAGACTGGAATTGAATTTCATGGGAAATAAATTAACTAAAATGCCATCTTTAACTGAACTTGGTTTGAACAATGTGTCAACATCCAAGTTACTTCTAGCCAACAATAATCTGAAGGATCTATCTGTCAATGAATTGCCATCAAACATTGAAGTATTAGAATTGCACAATAATGATCTCAACAGATTAGGATCAGACGTTTTGAAATTCCTGAGCAATTCCACAATGCTAAAGAAACTTACATTGCATGAAAACCCATGGACATGTGACTGCGATGCGAAAGATTTTTTGAACTTCATTCAAACCAGAGTCAGAGTGATGATTCCTCATTTATCATCCATCATATGCCAAGATATCAATGTTCCAATGTTAAAGATGACCGTGACAGATTTGTGTCCAACTGACACTATGATGATTGTGGGAGCAAGTTTTTCCATAGCTATCGTTGGATTGATCATCGGTACTTTGATAGCACTGTACTACAGGTACCAGCGTGAAATCAAGGTATGGTTGTACGCTCACGAATGGTGCTTATGGCTGGTAACCGAGGATGAACTGGACAAAGATAAGCTGTACGACGCGTTCATCAGTTATTCGCACAAAGATGAAGACTTTGTTGTGAACGAGCTGGTGCAGAAACTGGAAAGTGGTCCCAGACCATTCAAACTGTGCCTGCACTTTCGTGACTGGCTAGCCGGAGAATACATACCTACTCAAATCGCAAGATCCGTTGAGGATTCCAGAAGAACTATAGTGGTTTTGTCGTCCAATTTTATAGAAAGCGTTTGGGGACGAATGGAATTCAAAGCAGCGCACTGTCAAGCACTGAGCGAAGGTAGAGCAAGAGTGATTTTGGTCCTGTATGGTGAAATAGGTCCCACTGATAATTTGGATCCTGAACTTAAGGCATACTTGAATATGAATACATACGTGAAATGGGGTGACCCTTGGTTCTGGGATAAATTAAGATACGCTTTACCTCATCCACCGGAATTGACCAAAAATACAATTAAGAGGAAAATATTTGAGAGACATCAGCCTTGTATTCAAATTAGCGGTGAAAAGAAAGATCTCATTTATCCCATTAATACTCCTGAAGCACTCACTACACCACCCGCGGACTCTCTTAAAGTATTTATTTGTAATGAGAAGAATGAAGATAAAAAGGATCCTGAAAAGATATCTCCGGTGAATAGTAACGCTAAACTCATAATCACGTCTGATGACATAACGAAACATAATTTTATGAACAAGATTCAGTGTACCACTGTATGACCATAGTTTTATGGAGTTTTTTTTTTTTAAATTGAACTTACTGGGAAAAAATCTCTTTCTTCATATGAATGAATAATTTCAGGATGCGTGGTACAACCGAAAATAAAAGACATTTTTTCGTTTTAAGCCATGTTAATAGACACTCGTAATATTTACATTCCGTTTTCATTCGTATATGTATTTATGATATTTATCATCGCGTTATATTTTTGCGCTGATTATACCATATCAAATGCACACGTATCCCATAGATTTTCAAACTCAATTTTCTAACAAACGAGATTTAATTTTTAGTTCATTTTCCTATATAGAATCATTCCCTGTCAGATTGTACCGCATATCCTGCCACATTCTGTATAAATGATGTATATGTATAGTGCAATGTCTGGGATTCAATATTACATTCATTTTATACAGATAGCTAGCATATATGTATATTTAATTAGCTTTTAAACGTGTCATTTAATACTAATATTGTTTAAGTGTAAGAACAAATTATACGTAAGGACTGAATACATTTAGTTTTAAAAGAAATCTAGCTTCCTGTAAATAAGTATTTTTATAATTTTGTATGGTTCGTAAATAACAGTTAGATATGTATGCGATTATTGTTGAAATCATCATGATAGAAATAGAATTCGTGTCGCCTTAAATATATTGCAATGAATATGGTAGGTTTCTCCAGGGAAAATGATGATCTCCCAGGTCTTGCCGAAAATTTTCCCGGGCTCCCTACTGCCATCCTTCCCCTTAGATAGCCCGGGAAAGAATGACGATGAAGGGGAGAAGGCCCCATATATATAGGCCTGTGGCGGACCGCCACTAGCGTGTAAACGTTAACGCGGGAAAATTTTAATTCGCTTTGTTATTCGTACTTTTTAGTTATATACTAAATTTCATAATATTTAATAATTAAAAATTATATCATTTTGCTTCCAAATCACTTTTAATACTAATATCGTCAAAATTCACATTTTAAAAATTCCTGCTTCTCGTATATCATCATTTTCTCCATGAAAACCTATTTTACTCGATACAATATAGAATCGTGTGATGAACAATATCTGAAATAATATTAAATAATTCAATTATAGCATACATATACAGTACGAAACATAACTATATTTTCATACTGTACTTCAATCAACATTATCATTTAATTTTAATTTTCGATGTAAGCATACTATAAACTTACAGGATTTATATTGTACATAGATGTATTATGTTGCTACACAATCATGTTTATTGCTCAATTTTATGAGCCTGGATAATTATTTTGTTATCTAATCTTATAAACGAAACGTAAATTATTCGTAAATAATTAAATAATATAATTCACCAAAAATAACGACTGCAACAATAAATAAAGAATCTCTTTATAAAACGTGAATTTTATGAAATTATGAAATTAATAATCCTGACTCAGACTAATAAGGTTTCATTAAATTGCACCAAAATAAAATATAGAAATAATAGAAGTAAAAATAAATATACTGAATCTTATTATTATATCATTGATAATTATTTTATATAAGGAAAGAGGTAAAATATAACAGTTATCAGTGCAAATGTTATTTACAGATACATCATTATTTAAAAATCTTGATCTGTTTTATACACACATTAAGAATCCCCTTATAAATACATGTATGCATAATTGTAAAGATACAACGAGCACACAACCCGTAATTAAGAAATATTTTATAAATACAACAGATACAAAGCTTTGTAGAAAGTTTACATTTACTATTTACTCGCAAACTATAACAAGATATTTTGACTAGTACAGAAATTTTTAATCGCAATTTGGACAATTTCATCTATGATAAAAAAAATGAAGTAACTGAAGTTTCTGTAGAATTAGGTTGGTACTGTTTCTCTATTATCGTATATTATATTGCTTTGTTTATATTGCATTTTACATACATTATAAATTGTAACAAATTTAAATGTAAAATGGTCTGTTTTACATGAAGTATTTAAGAAATAATAAGAATATACAATATTTCGTTAAATCAGTTAATAGTGTTTGAAATCTTTAATAATTGTAACAAAAATGATGAAACAATTTAAATACTTATTATCACATAACAAGAAACTGCAAACATGAAATAAAATTTTTCATTTAACAAATAAAAATATACTGGAATGTCTACCAAATGTATTAAAATCTATACTCTTCTTTGCTATCTGCATGGATACATATAAAAAAAAATGCAATTAATAATCTATATACACTATCAAACAAAAGTTAACAAAGTCAAGTTTGAAAAATAAAGTTACTCATCAGTTGCATAAAAATTAGTTTCTTTGATAATATGATTCTTAAGCAATTTGTAAGTTGTGACATTAAAACATTTAGAATTTGACTGTAAATTCCATTCCTTGAATAAGTAAAATAAAATTTACTAAAAATTGTCCATCAGCGCAGGAAACCTAATCATTTCTACGATTTTAAACAAGATTAGGGATAATTTCACGACAAATTAACCAGTCTTGCTGTTGAATTTTTTTTATATCACGTTCTCTTAATTAGTATCACGGTACAAATAAATAAAAAATTGATACTGAAAATCATCCGTTCGAACATTTACTACGACTTCACTACCTATAATTTCTGAATGAGTTTAAAAATAAAAAATAATATATTCTGTAACAATATACCGGGATTAATGTTAAAAAGAGTATAATAGAACAGAAATTATTTCTTACGAATTTGTAAGAATGCTAATTCAGAAAGTAAGTGAATTTAAAAAAGAAAATATATATTATGCACCTTTTTTTTAACCATACTATTCAATTTTCATTCTGAAAATTCTTCTAAACAATTAAAGTAATAATATGGTCTTTAGTTACTAGAAAGCCTCTTATTATGCTGTTTCTTTACTGTTTCAGACATATTATTGAGTCACAGGAAAAGAAACATTTGATACAAAAATATTAAACGATCTTACCACATAGTACCATATAATACATATAAATATTCCAACATTTTATGCAGCGTAACTACTATAAGAAATTTCAAAATGAATGTCAGTCTATAGCAGCAAGCTAAACGAGGAGATATTTCACGACAGCATAACTCATTTTCTGCTTTTGTAAATGTTACTTACTTCATTTGAGACTTACTACGCGTTCAGCATATCGTCATCACTATCCGTTTGACACTGTGTGGGGTCAACATCAAGCAGAAGACGAGCTTCTTCCGTTGTATCGACCTGAAACAAACAATATGCATAAATTATTACTTAGTTAATTCAATATCCACTGCTACTTAAATATACAGATTTTTGTAACAGAAGTTTTGTTAACAAATAAAAAGATTAAGAAACATACCCTACAATACTGAACGCGGCCACTGCCTCTTCTCGAGGAAAAGGGATTGAAACAAGAACGGAAACAAGCTCTTTTATCAGGATCTTTAAAATAAAGAAATGCTGCTACCAAGACGATAACGCTTAACACGATACCTGCCACTGTACCAGCTGTAACAAGTAAGTAACACATCTGCTAAAAGATAACTTTCTGTGAATTAGTCTATGAACCTAGGATAATGTTTCTATAAAATGATAAAATCTGACTTCTTAGAAGGTTGAATGGTAGTCTTATACTTACTATGACTAGCAGAAAAGTCTTGCACGATTTCATGTACATTTGTAGAAGCCGTAGGCTGCTGAGAGTTTGACTGACAAGTGCAAGTAACATTAGTATGCCATTCGAATTCTGCGTTGCACTGCGATTCCTATATTTATGAACAATACAAATAGAAAATATAAGTCTTCCCCTCTAAATCGTTTTGTAATTAAAAACGAACTGTAAAATTAATTCGAAGAATGTTATCCAATAAACGTGAGGTTAATGACAAAAATATGAAAGGAACTAAAAAATGAGAAACCATATCAGCAAACATACCACCTTCAAATCTTATACATAATATATGCTTAATTAATTATTCCATTTAAATAAAACTGACGTTTGCTTACCCATAGTAATTTTGGTTCGCCAATTCCTATAGATTCATTACATATAAATCGCACGTCAGATGTATAGGAACCTAATTTAAAAGAAATCAATTTATAACCTACATAAAAAACTCTTTAGGAGGACGATATCATATATATATATACTACTTACTATTTACATTACATTTGCCACCATTAGAATAGTGCAATTTTATAATATTCCTACCATAATCAAAAATTACATTTGTTAGTGATCCATAACCATTGTTTCCTTGACATATGGCAGAATTATTACAGAGCTTTATTCCTCCGCATATACATATACTGTATGTTTTTCCTTGTTTATTCTTTACCTGTAATTTTATTAAATTATTACTAAGTGTATTGAAAATAACGTAGGTTTTATTAATGTAAAAACTATATGTTATTATTAAAACTTGAACTTACATAATATACCGGTTGATTTTTATGTAACAAAGACAGATTACATTCATGCGAAAGTAACTGATCTTTTATGATACAAGGAGGAGTCCAATTTCCCATTACAGCTCCGCATGTAATACTTGTTTTCCACTCAAACATATAAGTACAGTCTTTGTATCCTTTGAATTCTGGAGATCCCTTAAAGAATCAACCATAAAATAATTACATAATTATAACATTTCCTCGTGAAATTGCAGTCAAAGTTATGTATGCATATTACCTTATCGTTAGAACGGCATGGGAATGTGAAATTCGTTGAAATTAATTTGTCTAAATTTTCCGGGCAAGGTGATCCACCTATGTATCGTAACACTGTTTCATGATCACTATTTATTATAGGACTTTCTTTTGGGAATCCTAAACTCTGTTAATAAATATTACATGGTTATCAATTATTTCATTTTTATCTTAAAAATGAACATGTAATTACAACTTCTACTTACGACTTCGTTTACATACTCATTAGTTGGACTTATTGAAGCTTTGCAACCTGCACTGCCGTGTGCACATGTTAAACCTGGTACCGGGACCAACGGTCTACATATATTTATATGAAACTCAGTTTTATTCACTTTTACGATATAATTATTAGTAGACCTTATCAATGAACTTAAATTTATCTCATCATCATCCGTAGCACACTTTATCTATGAAATCAAAACATTTTTTTTAATGTACTTCACCATTAAAGTAACTCAGAAGGATTTAAAAAGTTAATCATCATAAAATAAAGACTGTATTCAATTAATTCTCTAACCCTTTTTTCGCAAACTAAATTAGTGTTCCAATGTATAATTAACTGACACGAATTTTGTTCCATAACAAGTGGTTCATTTGGAGATCCTTCTGCTCCACATAAGAATGCAATAACTGTGTAACGACGTTGCCCATTTTCGCAAAGATCTCCATTTGTGTAATTTAGATAAGGTCCACCTTCTTCCCACATAAGATTTGTATTTGCTCTTCCCATAGATGTACTATTTTTAGTGAGACAAGCTCCTACATTTAAAACCAAAAATAACTATAACACAACTTTGCACATAACAAATAAAAACAAATTATTAGTAAAGAAATTAAATGGTACGATTAAAAATATTTTAAATAACCTGTTCCAGATACACAGCTTGAATTCTTAGGTGATTTACATACTCCAAATTGATACTTTATTCCGTTCTGTGCATTAATATAAGAGTCATTATTCATCAGGGGTCGTAAATCGTACCTAAAATATATTATTCCCTACACATTTTCTCAATATTACACATATGTTTAGAATAATCTGAACTAATCTTACGTAAAATTTGTAAGAGGATTATTCACTGTACATTTGCCAGCAGTTATTGCACTATGGTTGCGCAAAGATTCTACACTGCAGGCTGCTGCAGTTTTCCATATTAATTGGTAATGACATTCTTCATTCCCTCCAACATATTCTGGGATTGTCTCCTAACAAATATTTAAAAAAAAAGATTTTAAAGTTGAATACTGGGTATGATTTGATTTACAAAATTTACCATAGCTTCAAAGTCACATATAAAAGAAATAGTAGTCTTAATATGTGGTTCTGTAATGTTCATTTTACACATATCTCCCTCCTGATATACAAGTTTTAATTTTCCATCCTCTAAAAATGGTGGATGTTGCACCTCACCCAAATTCACGTATCTACAAATAAATTTTTGTTAATATAATATAAATTTAGAACTGTCATTTAAAAAAAAGATTCTAGTTTAAAATAGAAACACATATACTTAGATTTTGAGGCATCTTGTAAACAAGCTCCCGAATGCATTTGACATAGAGCATTGTACTCAAATATCACAGAGTGGCATACATTTAATATAATTTTTGGAGATGTTTTATTACCCATATGAATAACATAATTTTGTGAATATCTTGTTAAAGGAGATAAATCATAATGCAATCCATTATCTGTTACTGTACAGCTTTGTGTAATTCTAGGTCCACAAGCAAGAGCAGTTTTCCATACCATGTATAAATTACATTGGGTCAATGTCTAAAATTTCAATAATGAAATGTAATTTAAAATATGATGAATTATAAACAGAAGTTATTTATAAAATCATTGGTACTTACATGATAAAATAACTCAGGAAAAGAATTATTTCCAGCTTCATAATCACATTTCATAACAATATTTACATTATATTTAGTTTCAGATGTACAATCATCTCCAGTAAATACAAACATTATTCTACCATTTTCTATATCTACTTTTGGAGGCATCTTTCCTGTAACATTAAGATAAGATTAGCTGAATAAAAAATAACAATAATTTTAATATTTCAAAGAGGATATAAGAAAATATTAGAACCTATCCCTTTCTCTTCATTATTTCTTGTCAAACAAATACTGTATCCATACTTTCCATTGCATTTTTGTTTTAATGAAGTACATAGTTGTAATCGTATAGTTTCATTCAAGTATTCATAATGTAAAGTAACATCTTTTTCAGGATTTGAAAGACTTGTCAAGTTGTAAGAAAAAGTTCTTAGAACTGGTTCAAGAATTATACAAAAATTATCAGGTGTGCTCTGCTAAAAAGAAAAGAATTATAATTATAATACAGTTTGAAATTTAATAATTCATTTTCAAATATCTGATATTTAGATTTAACCATTAAATATATTATATTAACAAGTTATTAATCTAAAAAATATGAATACACAACATTAAAGAAGTAAATTCAATACATACAGCAAAAACAGCAGCAGTTGCAAAACAGTAAAAGAATAGTAGAATGTTTAACTTGTACATGTTCTTCCTTTGTTCAATAACAAATTAATCACATTGTAAATATTTAACGCGATAACATACATAACAATATCGTTCGTTGTTGAAAGTTACAAAATGTGAACGATTATTTTTAACGATAAATACAGATAAAAGTTCAAAATCGGTTTATCTGGGTGGTTATGAAAATATTATAATAATATTCGGTATAAGTTAAAACCGTGCTTCGAAACTGAATAGCTACGCTATCTGGCGAATGCTAGGAAGTAGACACGGGTAATGCAGCGAGATGACATTACCGGCAAAAATAGGCCTAAAAAGAGGTCCGGGATTTTTCGCTTTTCGTCCTCACATTTTTATAAAACATACAATATCGTTTAATTAATAAATACTTATCTAATATTTATCTTGTATTATTTTTGTCATTACATAATTCCTTCAAATACTTTTTGCTTGGTAATTTATTTTATTATAAAAGACACCGACGAGATATTGTCGTCGGTATTATCTCGTCGGTGGTAGGGTGCGAGGGAACGCACTCTGTAGGGCACAACGAGTTTTGGACCGTATCGACAGCGACTACAGATTGCTACAGATGTAGAAGGCTTGGTGACCTGTACGATTAATTTTCTATGGATTTAATAAATTTGTGTGATATTTGGAAAATCATTTTTATTCTATAAAATCTTCATATCTCTTTCTATATATTTGAAAGAAAGGATAAGAAGTTAACATTTTATTTTAGAGAAGATCGTAGAAGCTGCAATCCGTTAGTGTACGTCGTAGAGTTCGAACCCCGTAAGAATTATTTTCTTTTTTTTTTCATGAATTACGTACATTTTTCTTCTGTGTCAAAGTATTTTATTAAAAAAATAAAATATGTATGTGAAATTGAATGAAATATAATATTATTAATGTCTATTTAGGTAATCTTAATAATGAGTAAGAAGACTGTGGATTCTAGTGCTTCATCTGATAGCATAAATTCTTCTATTAATAAATCCAATAATACAAAAATGTTTATTATTCCACCAGATGTATTACAAAATATTTGTATCACTGACTCCAAGACAAAAGGTAAGTTGTTGAATGAATATAATTACTAATATAATACAGAATAAATTTTATTTAAATTTTGTCGTGGTGCTTTATGATTTAGGTGGAAGCATAGTATCTGCTTCTGTAGAAGTTAAAAAAGAGGATGATACTGTGAGTACTGTTAGATCACAAGAATACAGTGATGATCAGATTTCTACATCAGGTGAAAGCTCAAAGAATGCAATAAAAGTGCCTGAAACTAATAGAAATGATGGAAAGGTAATATCCAGAATAAATTGCACAAAACAAGTAAAAAATAATCCTTATATTGATACCAAAAAGCCAAAAGATAATATAAAGGTAAATAGATCAATAATTAAAGTAGAAAACAATCAAACTACCTCAAGTGATACACCAAAGCCTCGAAGAACAGACTCAGCATCTGAAGAAAGTAGTCCTGAAAATTTATTTGGTAGATCTAAACGTATTCGTAAACGAACTAAATTTAGTGATTATGTTGTAACTTGCAAAACAGAGTTATTTGAAAAAGAAAATGGAGATTTGGATGAGATAACAGAAGATACTTTCGATAAAGAACTGCAACAAATAACTATTTCTGACAATTCTTCATCGCATACAACTAAGTTAAATGATTCTAATGATACAAAATGTACAAAAGAAGAGCTTCAAAATATGCAAAATGAAAAATATACTACTAAAACGAATTCAAATGCTTCTAACATACCAGTTGTAACAAAAAAGTCACTGCCTTTAAATCCCAGTAATAATTCTGGAAATAATTCTACTCTTATAAGTAATAAAAATAGTTTTAGTATAAAAGGTTTACAAAATTCAAAAGATGTAGCAAATAAGGTAAAATTAAAGAAGTCAAAAAGTACAATGGAATCAAATAATATGAATGATAGTGAAGCACATATGGGAGCAACGAATACCTCTATAGTAGAACATAATATTAGAGAAAAAAATGATACGTTTGCGAGAAATTTAAGACCAAACAGAACAGAAAATTTAAAGAACAAAAATACAGGTAACAGTACATTAAATCAAAGTACCACAGATCAAACTTCAATAACTACACCATCGGTAAGAAAAAGAGGTAGACCAAAAAGAGGTGTGCCTACCCTACAACAGACTACAAACATTTCAGATATATCAGCAGATAATTTAGAAACTGCAAAAAACGTAAATAATGTTTCTATTACAGAGGCAGTTGTTCGTAGTAAGAGACGTAGTAACAGATCATATAATATTTGCAATAATGATGATTTAAGTGATGATAGCAGTATTGAAGATAACATTCCAAATTCAATTATTAATAGAAAGAAAAGTATGTCAACAGATACATCTGTAAGCAGAGGTAGAGGTAGAGGTAGAGGCAGAGGCAGAGGCAGAGGTAGAGGTAAAGGATTGTCAGACTCTTCATTAGATATTGATTATATACCAAAACTGAAGGGACCAGCAATTACAGACAAAAAAAAGAATTCGAATATACCAAAAGTAAGTTTTATAAAATATTAGTCTTTAGGATGGATGTTTTCATGACTGGTTATACAATTTTTGTTAATTTTGTAACATTAGGTAGAACTCCTAGTATCTTGTGCCAAATGTGAAGTAGAAATATCTAAGAAGCGATGGAATTCACATAACTTGCAGAATCATAATAATATGAGTTGGATAAAGGGTGATGACCCTCTGGTAAAATATATTATACATCAATTAATGACAATCATTTTTGTTAACTTATAGTTGTACTTATGATAAGATATTATATTTCAGAACTTTGAAAATGACGTGAAATTATTGAGAAGAGTATTGACGGCCGCTCTTCACAAGAGAAAGGGCCAATTAGCTTGTGAAAAATGTGGATCTGTAAAACGTAGTGTAGCTGGTTTTATATCTCATACACAATTTTGTGGAAAATCTGATGAAGTATATCATTTTTCTATTAAAGTTTTTAATACTTTGCTTAACGAAACTTAAACAATTAAATTATGTATTAGGAAAGACAAGCACTAATGGTAAGTTGTCCGTTTTGTGGAGCTATTATGATGCCATCTTCAATGGAAATACATGAAAGAACTCATAGACAAGTGGAACGAAACAAAGTGAAAGAATTACCGAATTCCATTGATAATGAAAGAATAAAGCGCAGAGCCGCAGAAAAGTAAGAGTTAAATTATAAATATATTATACTTTAAAGGTATATAAAATAATACAGAAATATAATGTTTCCAATTTTAGAGCAGTATCAAAAATTTTAGAATTTACCGAACACGTCAAGGATAATGCACCACCTGGAAAAAAACTAAAACTTGATTCTTCTTCACTGGTGTGCTATGTTTTTACAGTATTTTCTTTTAATAAAATTTATGACATTAAACACTTAATTATGTAAAATTAATGTTACAGAAACATTTGATAAAACCACCAAGAAAAAGTAAAGATATACCAACAGTATGGAAAGGTATTTGGAAAAAAGAATTAATTTCACAAGGAGTAGCTAGTTGCCGTCAAATAAATTGTACTTATAAATGTTCTTCTTTTGAAGAAATGTGTAAACATTCTGCTGAATGTAGTTTTACGCCCAAACAGGTATAATTTACACAAATAATTTATACGAAAATTTATATGAAATTAATTTTATTTTTATTTTATTGCAGTGTTATATGTGCAAGGCATGCAAATTTTCATGTGATTCTAATGAAGAGATAACAAAGCATGTAACAACAGAACATGCGATGTTAGCAAGAACTGAACAGTATTCAGATTATGAAGAAGAAAATCATAGTTCAGATGATAATAAAGGTAAGTCCTATTACAAAAAAGAAGTTTTATATTGTTAAATTTCATAATAATTATTACTTTTAGGAACATCTCATAAAATTAATTTTCTCAGCACGGACCAGAAGCATCAAATTCCTTGGAAAGAACCATATCATCCTACTTTGGAATGGTCTATGGAATTGTAAATATTTATACTTTTCATAACATCACTTTTTTTTTAGTGTTCAATATTTTATTATAAATTTGATATGCATTTATAGTGAACAGAAAAATTATGAACTTGATTTGTTTACTGATTATACCACAAATCAGTTTACATTACTAAATAATACTGATGCTGCTAAATATTTTCCGGAATTAGAGGTGTCCATACGAACGAAAGTAGAAAGTCCAAGTAATGAATCGCATAATAGCGAAATTCCGTGGAAACAGTGGAAAAAATTTGAAGGTGGTTTTGATACAGGTAATTAATTTTATATAATTATATTAAAACTGCATGATTATTAATGTATTATATTTTCATAGGTGTCGCAACTTTTTTTGTTGGGGGTCCAGTATGGGCACTAGCTTGGTTACCTATACCAGCTCCGATGTACTCCAAAAATCCTTCCCAATATGTTGCAATTAGTACTCACCCAACTATGGAGAGTGAATATGCAATAGGAAAGTCATATTGTGGATGTAATATGATACAAATTTGGAACGTAGGACCATTAGATAATGAGTTAGTAATAAGAATATATAAATGAAAGAGTATGTGCGACTATAGTAAATGTTTCAAATATAATTTTTTCTATTCAGATCTAATAATGAAAAGGAATCTCCAACTTTGTCATATGCAATTACACATAACAGTGGTACTGTATGGTGCTTAGAATGGTGTCCATCTGGTTGTTACCAAGATGAAAGTCTTAATAATTATAAGAAAGAAAATAAAATGCAATCTAGTCTGAAGCGCATTGGTATGCTTGCAGCCGCTTGTTCAGATGGCAATGTATATATTTATTCACTTCCCTTTCCAGAGGAACTTGAATTCAAAAAAACTTCAGAAAACGAGTAAGTAGTAAATTCTTTAGTTTTTAATTACCTATGATTATTACTTTTTATCATTACAGATGGCCCATATATTACACTGATCCAGTAATGACACTAGTTGTAAATATTTCGATGTACGACAACGACGATCAAAATTGGCAATGTACTAAATTATCTTGGACAAAAGAACATGGGCATAAGTAAGTTCTTATCATTGTATCTTTACTATTTCCCTATTATTTAGTTACAGTAAAATTATATAATTTTTTAGCACAATTGCTGCAGGATTTTCAAATGGTTATATTGCGTTATGGGACCTCACATACAAGTCTCCATTGTCAATGCAAAAAAGACGAAATACATGGTTTATAAATGCATTTCAATATTTTTATGGACATGGTAATGCCGTGAGTAGTAAGTATATTTATTCTTTTTTGACAAATTTTAAACAGTATTATATTGATTACATAAACGTTTAACAATGTTATTATTATTACAGTGTTAGCCTTAGTTCCATATAATGGAGAGAGATTTCTAGCTTCTGGCAGTCTCGATAAAACTTATAAATTTTGGGATTTACAAAATACAAGTATTCCTCAATATTGCATACAAAAAGGTATTATATTAGATGGTGCATGGATGACACATTGGCCATGTGCTGTTATTAGTTTTGATGACGCTTATGGGTAAGAAATGTTATTCGAAAATCATTTGTATGATATAATAAAATTTATTCATTGCTATTAAACTTTCCATTACAGCTATAAACATACAAATTCGTATATAATTCCATTGAGAGAACTCGAATACAAATTTTACCCTATTTTAGCAACAAATTCTCCGACGTATGTAAGTATTTTTAAGGAATTGTACAAACATTACATAAATATAAAATTGCTTTTATTTAAAAATGTTGTAGACTTTGGCAGTCTCGGATTATGGAAATAGCATTACACATGGTACATTAGCAGGAGAAGTATTAACGATATTTCCTCATCAGATGATTCAGAGTAAAGAGCTCGATAAAGCATTACAGAAGAAAAGAAAGGTATTATTTTTCTTATATTTTGTATTTTCAGTCGATACGTTAAAAACATTTTCGACATAAAAATGAATAATTCTTTCAGCTAAGTTCATTTATCAAGATAGTAGATTTTTTGAAAACAGAGAATGGTAGTAATAATGATAATCAGGACAGTAAGAATTCAAAAGATTATTACTACATGCCAGGAACTTATAACGAATGCAAAGATCGTTTTGGTGTCATTTTTTGTGATAATTTGAAAGTAAGTAGTTTTAATATTTTTTATCACATTTGACTTCAGTCATTATTTGAATTGAATGTTATTTAAAGGATATTGAAAACTGCCCTCGGAAACCAGGACTGCACCCAGAAAAATTAACAGCAGTTCCAGTAGAAGAGTATCCATTTATGTCAGTAAATAGAGTGAGTATATTGTTACCAATTTTATTCATTTAAATATTATAACATTAAATAATACATTGTAGATGTCGTGGAATCCAAATCCATGGAGTTATTTGTGGTTAGCAATTGGTTATCAAAATGGTTTGGTAAGATTGTTAACTTTCAAGTATATGCCTGTGTCACGTGAATTGAAAAAGTTACTACCACGACACATTGAATTCATGCTGAATAAATCACAAAAAACAGTAAATGAACGTTGTATAAAACAAGAATTGTAGTTTTTATGTACTATTATATAACTAAACATGTTAAATTTATTACAGTTGCTTGTTAATATATGATAAATTATTTTTTATAATTTTGTACATATTAGGCTGAAATTTTATAACAATTGCAAATTATTGTTGTGTATATATTGAAGAATATTTAAATGTATTAAAAAATCCTAGACTAGATGAGAAGCTGAAAATATGTGTATGTGTACATTTTGCAATTTCAAATATTTAAAAGAAATGGTATAGTCATTAAATTATGTTTGCAATTTCAAATAATTGTTAATTTGATTAACCAAACAAAAATAAATTAAGTAAATTAAAAAAATTATTCTGGTTGTGCCCTCTTCATACGGACCTGATATTGTCCAGGGGTGTTAGGGACCCCTCTGCACCAATGACGCCCTCTGCATACCGACCTGATATCATCTGGGGTATTAAGGACCCCGTAACGCCGGTGACTATCTTTGCATACCAATAATATAACATCCGGGGTGCCAGGGACCCCGATGCACCAGTGACTATCTCTACATACCGGCATGATATCATCTTGGGGTATTAGGAACCCCAAGCACCTGTGTCACTGATTACATACCGACATTTTGGTATCCGGGGTGTCAGGGACCCCGAAGCACCGACTGACATTCTTTGCTTACCGACACTACGGCATTCGGGATATCTGAGACCCCGAGGTACCGGTGACGCTGCATACCGATATTATGCCTCAGGGGTGTCAAGGACCCCGAAGCAAATAGCGAAATATAAGACCTAAAAACGAACAAATCGTGAAACTCACTTGTTCGGGATAGTGATGGGTACGACCGGATCTGTAGCGCTTGCGCACTACAATTATTTATTATAAAACAAACCTGTAAATAATTAAGAAATTATTCACTCACAAACAATGAAAATGATATATTTATAAATCACAAACGATTTCCAATCAATTACAGTTATCAGTTATCACAAAATCTGTTTATTACAAAAAATTACTAAAAAGTTTCGGCTCACATCATGATTGAAATAAAATTGTTAATTACAAAAGAACTAATTGGTCACAAACGTTAAAAATAGACTCACAGTCAATCACAAACGATTTACAAACGAAATACACTAAGAAAAATTAAAAATAATCATATTTTATTATTCCTTCTGGCTAGCTTCATGTAGGTACAATACCCGATGACTCAGGGCAAAAAATCAAAACATAAAACACAGAACCACTAAAAACCAAAAAGCACTTATCCTAATCACCATAAAAACCGAAATGCTTAAACGCTAAAAACCTTCAAAAAGACAGAAAAAAGCAATTACAATGCACTGTACCAAAGCGCTAGAGCTCTACTGTTCTGCTACGCGGGGGGTAACACAGTACCCACTTGAAATTCGACCTCAGCGCCATCTATGCGGAAACGGCTGAAACTACTCAATAATATACCGACTAGGTTTCTGTCGATAAAAAAGAAAGAAAGAAATCCAGTCGGTAAGTTATTGAGTAGTTTCACCGGTTTTCGTATAGATGGCGCTACGATCGAATTTCAAAAATAGCTGATTTATGGCGGGCTTTTTAAAATACAAGTTTGTAAATATAAGTTCATCAAACAATTATTTTAATAAGTTTTTGATCTTGTGTTGGTTGTAATTGTTTTTTAAAAGATAGAATCAAACTGAGTCAAAAATGTATATTTTCTGTGGCACCATGTACTGGAAATTATTGCAATGCTAATATGTAGTTATCGCCCACTCCATAACATGTGTGTTTTATACTCGAACAAAGTGGGGATAAACATCATAGAATGTAGTGGGGATTATGTATACAATCAAATGACGAAAAGCGTGGTTCAAGCATACAGTAGAGCAAAACAGACCGTTCGTAGCAAATCGTGGAGCGACAAATACTTTTATAATACGAATCTTGCCTTGATATTTGAAACTGACACAGTACCTCTGTCATAGCTTATCTCGCTAACGGAAGCTCACAGTATCAAATATAAATATAAATTAACACGCATATGTATATAATAAAGATCTAAGTAGTTTGTAGAATATATTTGATTTTATAAAAAAAATAGAACAATAGTAATAGAAAAACTACTTTTGTTTTAAATATTAACTGCAAGTAAGTGAGAAATATTTTTTCTAAGTATAAACAACTTGTATAAAGAAAAATTAAGAGTGAATGTTCTTTTATTTTTTTTCCAGAAATGGGTTTTAATCCTATGAAATGGAAAACGAGAAATGTGTTGTATACTAGTTTAACATTCTTTATTTTGTATGTATTTTTTATATATAAAAAGAAACATCAAGTAATGTTCGAGGCTGTTATTCGCGACACAAATCCTATTTATGTATGGGAATTTGTTGCAGACTTTAGCAACATGAAAAAATTAAATCCAACAATGTATGTAAAATAATTAATTTTTTTTCTTACAAAGCGTTCTGAAATAGCTAACATGATTTTAATTAATAATTTTAGAGAAGATTTTAATATTATTGCGGAAAGTGGCAATTATGATCACTGGAAGTATTCGGTTGAATATACGGAACATTTGAGTCATATACCAATTATTCGAAATGTAGCGCAGGGACATTACGCCATACGCCAGGATAATAATGGTTACTTGATCACTTCGAAACATCATACATGTTTCTTTCTCAAATTCGGATGTTGTAAGTGAATATCTTTTATGAAAGACAAAATTTCTTGGTACACGAAAGGCTGGTTTGATACACTGATGAGACTTGCAAATGATTTTGATCTTAAATTGTAATTCACGTTTCAGTGGAATCGATCTCGCAATTTAGATTTGATCGAGACGGATCTAACGATACAAAATGTATGGAAACCGTGCAATACGAATGCCCGATTGCATTTTCAACATTATGTTATAAAGAAGTTATGTATCAACGAGAAGAAATTATGAAAAGATTGGAAGAACAATTCTCGACAAATAAAATAAAAAATAATTAATAAAATTACAATAAATCTAACATATAAAGCACACATACTTTTGTATTGAACTATTTGTTAATCTTGATACGATTATTATAATAAACTTTACGATGATTATAAATATGTTCTATTTCCCGCCCAATTAACATTATTTCTTGTTAGCATGACCAACATTTAAATATTAAATCTCTGATTACAAAGTGATAAAAACGAAGGCGGAGGGGGAGATCAACAATTTATCAAAACATATGTATGAAGGAACGTGTGAAAAAGAAACAGAAAACAAGACTTCTTTATATTTTTATTTATGTGTTGAAATATATTATTTGTAATATTTAATCAGTATTGTACATACATTTATATTACAGCCCAAAACATGTCCAATAAATTCGAAACGTAAGTGAAACTATCTTTCATATTTTATTCTGCCTTTTTTAATAAACAAGATAGGGGTTAGGATTATTTTGAGTAAAATATTATGTTGTTTTTGTAGTATTTTAAAAATTTTCTTAGTAAATTTAATAGTATTTGCAGGTTAAAGGCTAATGAAGAAAGTGGAGATGATGAAATACAATCAAAAGATAATCAAAAAGTTGAAAAAGATTCGCTAGTAAGTAAGAATATGCTGTTTCTCTTTTCTTTTATAATATGTTTGCATTGCATAATATATACTTATTATAGCCTCCCATAGAAATTAGTCCAAATGAGCACAAATTGCAGTATGCATATGCTTTATGGTACAGTCGACGTACTCCTGGTATACAACCAAGTATACAAAGTTATGACCAAAATTTAAAATTAGTCGGTAGGTTTGCAAGTGTGGAACAATTTTGGAGTCTCTACAGTCACTTAGTCCGACCATCAGAATTAACAACACATACAGATTTTCATCTTTTCAAAGTTGGCATAAAACCAATGTGGGAAGTATGTATATTTTAATGTGTCTCTTTAAGTTTAAAATAACTACCTTGTTTTTAGTAATAACATGGGTTTTATTTTAGGATGAAGCAAACCAGAAAGGCGGAAAATGGATAGTAAGACTACGAAAAGGTTTAGTGTCTAGGTGTTGGGAGAACCTTATTTTAGCTATGTTAGGTGAACAATTCATGGTTGGAGAAGAAATATGTGGAGCTGTTGTATCTATAAGGTTTCAAGTAAGAATACTTTTATCATTCTGAAATCATAATTGTATTATATATCATTGTTAATAGCATTAAATAATATAACAGGAAGATATAATATGTGTATGGAATAAGACTGCATCTGATTATGCAACAACAGCACGTATTAGGGATACACTAAGGAGAGTACTGCATCTTCCAGCAAGTGCCTCAATGGAATATAAAACTCACAATGAAAGTTTGAAGAACGTTCATCGGCTCTAATTTGTCATGACGCAAACTTAGAAGTTTGAGTTTTTCATGGACGAATTTCTAGGTAATCTTTCTTTTTCATGATTATTTTAAAATGATCCTTTTCAGAAGGTTTTTCTTTATAAGATAATACCGTTCATGTATTTTCATATTTAGCCAATTGATACTTATGAGAAGATGATACTTATTAGGAAAAAAATATTTTACAACTAAAAAACTTGAATGGACATCTTATTCGGTAAAACATTTTATTCACAAATGTCTCATTGTAACTTATGTAAATAATCAATTCACGTTAATAATAAAAGAATTCTTGTTTCCAAAATATGTTTCATTTTTATGATTATTCTTTTTTTTAAATAAAATCATGAACCTAATTATCTCAACTTTTTATATATTATATTCCATTTACGAATGTAGACAGCATTTAATTATAAAAATGAAAAATCCTTTTCTATTTTAAGTATTTTTATTCAAAGGTACTTAAAATTCGAAGCCCATTTTGGATAAGATATTTATACATTTTTACACGAGATCATCATGTTTCTTTAGAATGTGTACATAATTATAAGGTATTTTGTACATAATGCGTTTAAACATCAAACATTTTAACTAAAACGAAGTACTAGTTTGGATGTAAACATTTTTTATCATTATATTTTAATTTGTAAGATCTAAAAAAAGTGATTTTTCTTCAATTGTAATATACGTAGAAATTTATTTAACGCGTACATAAGGCTATAAAGCGCGAACTTGAAGAAAAATGTATAACTCCGTATATATTAAAAGAATAAAAAATTTTATATCTGTCAATAAATATTAGCATTATCCATAATATAATGTGACAATTAATTCTTTATAGACTAGATTCAGGTATATTTAGTAACAAAAAAATGGTTTCATGCCAAGGAAACCTACCATGAATTGTGCTTTTGTCCCATGATTGTATAAAGTCTCTTTTCATAAACAAAGCCAACAATTACAGCCTTAAAATAATAATCGTGACCATACCTGGAATATATAAATAGACTGTATTCATATGTTTACCAAATAATAAAAACAAAATATGCTTACCTAATACAAATGAAAATATTAATTTAAAATTTATAGAGAGATGGAGATAATCAGGCACTCTATTATTCTGCTCTCCCTCTGTAGGTAAAAGTAATCCAACTATACAAATGATTCCAGCAATCAATGCTACATAATTTGTTCCTCCTAAAATTGTTTTCTTTATTTAATTTCTATTGTTTAAACAAGTGTATAAAATACTTCAAATTCTATTTTTTAATATTCAAGATGAAAATGTTATCTAATTGAAGATAGAGTTTACTTTTTAAACTAAACTTTGATGGCATTAAGTGTATTAAATAAATACTATAAGGTAATTTTAAACTAATTAACTATGTACTACACACATGTTTGAATGTAAAGACTAATTTCAAATACTAACTTATTAACCTTTATCCATAACAACATAATTGGCACTTTTTATATTTGTGGATAGACTATTATCTTGAATACTTCTATGAAACAAATCAGACTTTAATGACTTTTTGTGTGTCTTGAATGTAGATTCTGTAATTGTAAATGATTGTGCATTTCAAATAGATCTAAACTTATTTATATATAAACTATAATTTCAATAAGAATATGATATAAATAATCAATTTCAAACTTACTATCAATTGTTTTATTTTGAGCTATAAGTGCATAAGATTGTTGTTGTCTACTTTCATTTATAGGAAGTTGTTGAAACATTTCTGGATCTGGGGTAGATCTCCCAGCAGAATCTGTTGTCCCAGGAAGTAATTTAGCTTCAACATCTCTTTTTCCTATAGCCTGTTAATTTATTTGGAACAGTGTTATTTTTATGTTATGTTATCAAATATAATTACAAACACATTTAATTACCTGTTTAGTTGGATGTTCTTGCATTTGTATTCTAAATTTGTCAGTGACATTGCAATTACTTAATAGGAGTGACGTGTGTCTTACAACAATATCAACACAACATCTTGCTTTTATGGTTCCTTCTGGATCAACAACTTTATATTTATTTGGTGCAGTACAAAGTACTATAATAAATATAAATTATATTAAACTGTTTTTACTAGTTGAGTATTATATAATGATAAATTACATACCTTTAAATTTTATTGGAAAATCATATGGGTTATACAAAGTTAAAACTTGTTTGTGAGTAGATTGATCGTCTAAAAAAAAAGTGATACTTTGGGGAAATACAAATACTGGTAATTTTCTAGGAGTTGCTGGTAACTGTGACTGCATTGTATTTGTTTAATGTTTTGTGGTCCATGCACCTGTAAAAGTATAACATTCATTTACATGTACCAGATGTTTAATTATTTTACATTTATACTTTATATTTCTATATCAGTTTGAAGTCTTTTAAGATATTTTGAATACTCTTGTTTTAATAATTAAACTAGCAAAGAAATTTTGAACGTATATTTACTTTTTTTGTATTTTCATATTGTGACATCTGTATGTAGTTTATAAATACTGAGTCATGATTGTATATTTAATGAGATAACTTACCTAGAAAATTATGTACTTTATAAATTACAGAAACTGAAACAAAATTGTGTGCAACCAGATTTTGAATGTAAAAATGATCACTTAAAACAATTACAAGCATAAATAAATGCTATTGTTTCTTTGAATGAAATTTTAGAAATTCATAACCGTTTTAATATTATTTATGTTCATTTATGAGAATGTCCACACTCCTTCATGATTCTCTTGCCTTGATCAATTCCAATGAAAATTTAATTATCTATGTAGCAAATTTGCAAAGTTTAAAATTTATAATCTTGTTAGCGTCATAGAACTGTTTCATTGAATACTGCACTGTTGATGTTCCTAGTGAGACAATTCTTTCATGGCATTCGTCATACATCGCCTCACAGTTTACCTACCAATCTTACTATTGTGCCTGTGAACAAGTATATATACAGAATACAGACTAAATATATATATACCGCAGTTCACCAGAGTCCATAACTGCGACGCGCAGGTTGGAAAATGGTGGGGGAACGCAGCGAGCTCTCTGCTAATCGCTTTCCACTTCGTTTGGGAGTATCGCCAATCAGGGCGAAGATGCGTACTGGAGATGCGCGAAGAACGAAAACTGGTCTTTTCGCACTTATGGACTCTGGTGAACTGCGGTATACATACATATGCTTTCCCTAGCTTATCACGAATCACCTGTTCATTTTGTCTTACAGAAGAGTGTTATAAATGGTATCAAAAATCATATTGCAATTCTTATGATATTATTTATACGTCCTACAATTGATTTAGTGAGATAAAAATGATTTAACTTCTAGTGTCAATATAAAAAGTATGTGAATTGAAAAATGAAAATAATCTGCTATGATTCAGCATGTACTTTGTTTTTTAACAAGTTCAATTTATGTCTGTAAACAATGTACTTCAATCAATTAAAATTTATATAAAACACACGTAATTTAGGGATATATAAATCAACTGTGAATTAGTATAGGGAAAGAGATATGTTTGCGATTTTGTTGGCAACTATACTCAACACAATAACCAGTGACTGTAGTCACTGGCATAGATTTAACAATATGGCATCGTATCGAAAGGTATAAGACTAGTTGTAGAAGTACCTTGATTAAATATTATTGATATTATCGTATTGATATAGTAATCGTATGCTCACCTAAGGGAAAATGATAGAAGTACTGTGTAAACTTTAATCAATAGATAGCGCAATAAGTAAACGAAACAATTACGTTGAGTAATTGTAACCTCATTCTGAAAGTTGCGATTTGTGGATTTCTTTGATAGTTCTATTTTTTGGTATAACGGTAAGAACTTAATTTTGTGTAATTTCATTCATCATAGCAATTTTAATTGTTAATAAACATATATAAAAATGTTTCTAGTTCTTATATATTGATAACAACTTTTATTAAGTTCTCTATGCAGTAATAAGTTATTTTGTATATCATTTCAGGAATTTACAGAACAAAACACCATGGTTAACGTCAATCCCCGAGTATTTTTTGATATAGAGGTTGGGGGGCTCCCAATGGGACGTATAATATTTGAACTTTTTGCGGACATTTGTCCAATTACATGTGAAAATTTTCGTGCTCTATGTACTGGAGAAAATGGACTTGGCAAAACCACTGGAAAACCTTTACATTATAAAGGAATTGTTTTTCATAGAGTAGTTAAAGACTTTATGATTCAGGGTGGTGATTTTTCAGTAGGTAATGGAACAGGAGGAGAATCAATTTATGGAGGGACATTTGCAGGTAACATTTATAAATATATTTCATTTATTGAAATGGGATTAAAAACATTAATTATGTATAACATTTTAGATGAAAATTTTATAATAAAACATAATAAACCATTTTTATTATCAATGGCAAATCGTGGTAGAGATACAAATGGTTCACAGTTTTTTATGTAAGTATTAATCAACAGGCAATTAGCTAAATTTTTAATGAAATGAACTTTAAATATTTAAAAGTAATTTGTTAGCTCCACAAAAGATAAAAAGAAGTGCAGTATGGTGTGATAAGTTTATAATACATACAATTATTAAAATGTTAAATCATTAATGCATTATACTATTTTCCTGAGAATTTAGTTTGCATGTGATTATTAACAAAAGTGATTAGCTTACTAAAGGTTAATATTCATCGTTGCAAAGAGAATATTTTGTGTATAGATTTTATTTTTTAATATTTCTACTGGCTCAAAATTATTTTTCTCTGCTGACAGATGTATTCTTTGTCAACCTCAAAGGTAAAGGTAATAGGAATTTAATATATATTTATTTTAACATCCTTTTAAGCTAATATGTTTTTTAAATGTGTTTCAAATAAAGAACAGGTGATATATATTAGATAAATGGAAAAATTGGGTTTGTTTATTCTTTTTCAATTGCTACAGTAAAGTCATTGAGTATGTAGCAATTTGTATGAGTTGTATGAATTTTCTGGTGAAAAGTATAGAAGTAAGGATATCTTTGGAGGAATGAATAACTTAGCTATATTTCTGTGTAGTCGTGAGGGAAGGGTCTGCACACCACTACTACAACACAATGACCAATGAAAGCTGGCTCTTTCTGTTCATCTCTCATCCCCTTAATCATATTTTGTTGTTGTAGTACAACACAACCAGCGCCTCACCTCGACAAGTAAGTAGTAGTTGATGATCAATTCATTATTATAGTGACTTTATACAAGGCGCTTTTTTATATTTAAATTTCAACATCTTAGTGTCCATGTGGTTTTTGGAGAAGTAGTGTCTGGCCAGGAAATTGTTACACATATTGAGGGACTCCCAGTAGATCGTATGTCTCGCCCGTTACAAGATGCTAAGGTTGTAAATTGTGGAGAACTTGTGCTGAAAGTCAAAAATAAAGGTATATTTTAGTTTTTTTTTTTATTGTTACACTCAGGAAGATTTGTATTAACATTTTGAAATGTAATTTATTTCTATTTACAGCAAAAAAACATGAAGCAAAGGAAAGCAGTTCGTCCGAGTCAGATTCCGATTCATTCACAGAAAAGCCTAAAAAGAAAAAGAAAGTCAAGAAAAAGTACGGTATCGACCAAAATTCATATTTCAAAATCATTCTATTGATAAAAACATAATATTAATCATTATTTGTTACAGTAAAAAAAGAGCAAAATCAGAAGATGGCGAAATTCATGATTCGAACGAGGATGATCTCGGGAAACCTCATCCACTTGTTTCAGTGACAAAAATTGATCCCGATGAAATTCCTGAGGTGCCAGCGAATAAATTTCTATATAGAGCGGGGCCTACTAATAATGCAAATCAAAAAGAATTTAGGCAACATTATGGAAGAGATCGGGTACGGTCGCATAGAAAAACTGGTCGCGTATTTAAAGGAAGAGGAATATTCGTAAGTATTTGTGTACAATATATGAAACATGGTATGTATAAAGTTTACATATATCGTAACATATCATTATACAAGTTTTTATGTTTAAATATGGCGATTTTTGTATGTAATAACGATTTAATGTAAATAAATTTACAGCGATATCATACACCCTCTCGTAGCCGTTCAAGAAGTGTTACACCACCTCACTGGAAACAAGCTCAAAATCGCACTATTAAATTACACGAGTTTCAGGTATCATATAATAACATTGAATTGTATACATTTTATACGCTTTAAGTATATTTTGCGTGCTTCAATTTTATGTTATAGAAATTGGAAAAAGAACGTATGAAGAAGGAGGAAGAACTGAAGAAACGGGAAGCTGATAGAATTAAAAAGTTCAGTGAAAATCCTGATGAAGAAAACCAGATGATGGATAAATTCGACGCCGAAGCACCTATATGCGAAGATTTAGAAAATAAAGAAAATGATCAGTCAGATGATAAAAAGGATGGCAATAAAAGCGTGGAACAGGACCAAGAACATTTGAATACTAATTTAAATGTTATTGATACTATGATGAAAGAGAAAATAGATGGAAAGAACAAGAACGAAAAATTAATGAAACGTGATTCACACCGGTCGTATGGTGACAGATCTTCACGTCGCGATTCACGGGATAGGAGCAGAAGGCGAGGTAGTGCTCGTTCAAGATCCCGAGATCGACGAAGGTCTCGAGACAGAGATTATGATCGTAGGAACAGTCGTGACAGAAGAAACAGAAGAAATTATTATCCGCGAAGACGAGATTCCTACAGAATGAACAGACCTGGTAGAGATAATTACAGATATTATGATAGGCGTAATGATTATAGAAGAACGAATAATTCCAACTTCAATTATGACACAGATATGAATACGTCACGTTATGATAAAAACCGAAGGAAAAGTGATAACACCTCGGACTCTAACAATCAACCAAAATTCAAACGTCGCTCACGTTCAACTAGTTCTAGTAGTCAACACTCCAAAGATTAAGATGCATTGTTCTCTTGTTTCTTTCTTTTGCATAATACAGGAAAAATATAATTTATGTAGTAAGCTATATATTTTATTTTTTCAAATTTTTTATTTGAATTTGTTTTTAAATACTATATGACTCTATATAAAAGTGACTATTTAAGTAATATTGGTTGCAATGTTTGAATTAAAATTTCAATTTTTTAGAAGTTGAAATTATTTAATAATACAATTTTTTGAACTTTCAGTTATGCACTGCTTTCAAGCAAACATAAGCTATATAACGAATGTAATGAATTTATCTGTATATCATAATACTGTAAATTAAAAATACTTTTATAGTAAGTTATAATATATACTTATAAGTTATGTTTGAATTGTTCTTTATAAGCATTCTGTGCTTTTTCAATATTTGTATACAAAAGTACTGAGGAAATTCAAACATAAGTTCTAAATAAGATTTCAGTTTTAGGTATTTACAAAAGTTCATCAGTATCATAAACCATGAATAATATTTTCCTTTCTTATAATTTAAGAAAGTATTTGTATTCATATGTTGTATAATCATCATTTAAAATAAAAATCTACTACACGGTTCATAAAATTAATGTTATATTTTTTTACAAATTTCCTCATCATTCATAACTTTTCATACGACAGTCTGAAAGTTCTTGTAGCAATTTCAGACTGGACTTTTGTATTGGTACCATCAATGGCATGAAATTGGCCACGTATAAACTTCGTTTTGATTGGTTTTTAAAACTTGTTTACGTTAGAAATTGTGATTTTAAATGTAATGCAAATTGACAGCATACATTTAGAGTTACCAGTGAAGTTTACCTAAATTTGTTAAAATGGTACGATATGCTGCACTTAAGGGTTTATACGATTTGGAGAAAACTATCGGGAGCGGAGGTTTTGCAAAAGTTAAGCTTGCTACCCACATAGCAACCGGCGAAAAAGTTGCTATTAAAATCATGGATAAAACTGCATTAGGCGTAAGTGATTTTTAATACTTAATAAATTTGCATAATTCTGATTTATAAATAAATTTTCGAATCCTTAGGATGACTTACCAAGAGTTAAATTGGAAGTTGAAGCATTAAAAACTCTATTGCATCAACACATATGTAGATTATATCAAGTAATAGAAACAGAAAGCCACTACTTTATGGTAATAGAATATTGTTCAGGTGGAGAACTGTTTGATCATATAGGTAATTTGATTTATATTTTACATTCTTTGTGGTGTTAAACAGAAGATTATTCTATTATTTTCATTTGTAGTTGAAAAAAATAGGCTTACTGAAACAGAGTCACGAAAATTTTTTCGTCAAATTGTCTCTGCAGTAGCTTATTTACATAGTTTAGGGTATGCTCATCGTGATTTAAAACCAGTAAGTTACATTTCTCTTCCCTGATTAAATCTTTGTATAAATGGTAAGAGATGTTATTTTGTATCTAGGAAAATGTTCTGCTTGATAGGGAAGAAAATTTAAAGCTTATAGATTTTGGATTATGTGCTAAACCAAAAAATGGAATTGAATCACATTTACAAACTTCTTGTGGCTCTCCAACATATGCTGCACCAGAACTTATATTAGGAAGAAAATATTTAGGTATATAGTATGTTTTTCATTTTATTAAATGCTATAGTAAAAATAATTTAATTATATTTGTTTTATAGGTTCAGAAGTAGATATTTGGAGTATGGGAGTCCTTCTTTATGCATTGCTTTGTGGTTTCTTGCCTTTTGATGATAATAGCATAGAGAGCTTGTACAGAAAAATTCTTGTAAGGTTGATGTGTTTAATCAGTTACATTGAGAAAGGTATTAATGATAGTTTAATTTTAGAGTGGCAAATATGATGAACCAAATTGGTTATCAAGCAGTAGTAAAAGGCTGATACGAGCAATGTTACAAACAGATCCAAAAAAGAGAATTACTATTCAAGAATTGTGCAATCATCCATGGATTACAGCTGGATTCCTTAATCCTGTTTCTTTTATTCATAAGACTAATGTAAAAAATCTTGTTACTGTTTTTGAATATATACATGTTTTTATGTTCTAATAAAACGAATGCGTTTACAGTTTGAAAAAGATGATGATGTGTTAAGTACTATGTCTGCAATATGTAATGAACATGCTTCAGAAATATGGAAGAAACTAGTAAAAAGCGGTCGAACTGATTACAGAACTGCCACATATCTTTTACTTTTAGACAGAAAACTCCGTGGACTTTCACTTAGAATATCATCTTCTGCAAAGTCTCATTTCAGAGCTGAGGTAGTATATTGTGTATTAAATATATCTTCAGCAATATTTTAATTTTACTTTTCGTTTTTGTTTTATTTATAGCGTGGAGGAGGAATAAATAATATTATAACTAAACTTGATTATTCTCCAAGAAGTAGATTTGGTAAGAAGTCACCAGTAGTGGATACCACTTACAATGTCCTACCAAAAACACCTGAAAATGGTAAGCCATAATTGTTTCTCCAAATATATATAATGCAAAGTTGTTAATATCTCATTTTCATGTAGCTGACAATTTCATGGAACCACATGTACCTGGTAGAAAACGACTTCGCAGTAAAGATGTAGATGATGCATATTCTCCTGGTATGTTTTGTAAAATGGTATTAATTATTGATGCCCTGAAACATTTCTCCTCAACATTTTTAAGAATTATTCTATGTTACATTAAATTTTATTTATAGTAGACATCCCATTTCATTAAAGAACTTTTAGATCTACTTGTGTTCTATTATAGCTATGGTACTTAGTTTTATAATATATTTTCTAAAGTTTACTTCTAATTAGGTGATGCTAGCCACCTAATTAGAAACTTTAATGAAAGTTTCCAAGTGCCATAAATTGCAGTAGTTCTGTGAAAAGCAGATAATTAGTCAGATGAGAGCAACGACTTGTGAACAAACACAATTTGGAGTTACAAATAGCTATGTGTAAGAATTCTTTATTCCATCCCCTTGTAAAAGGTATAATACCTTTCTACCATTCCTTATCTCCGTTCTTTTTGACTTTTATTTATCCATGTTTTTACCTTAATTCAAATGTTATGAAATTTACATAATTACAAATAAAGTATTAATTACAGTTCCTGCAAAAAGAGTTGCAGAAAAAGATAGGCTTGTTTCTACCCCAACTAATACACCGGTATCCGATACAAGGTATGTTCATAATAATGACGGTATAAGTATCGATTAAATAATGCAACTGAATGTAAGTATTTTTTAGAGGATCTCAATCATCCACACCAGGAAGTGCAAGAAAAGTAATGATGGGTTTAGAGCGAGGTCTAAATCGTGTACGCTGTGTTCTTACGCCTAAAAGGCGCGTTAAGAATGAAAATATTGATCCTGATCAACCAAACATACTTTCTGGAAAAGTTTGCATCTAGTTATTTATACGATGTTCATAATTTTAAACTAAACTCTAACAATTTCTTAATTATTTTTCAAGGGTCTTTGTAATGTGTCTTCAACATCCAGCGACGATCCGAAATATGTTCTATCGCAATTACGTCGAGCACTTCGCCGTAAAGGAATAATGTGTCATCAAAAAGGGTAATGTTAAGGTATTATCAAACATTTTAAATAAGTATAAATAACTGTATTATATTTGCAGGTTTATCCTTCAAGGAGAAACAGAAGATTGTACCGAGGATGATAAAGATACGGTACGGCCATTTTCTTCGAGAAACGCCTGCTCCTTCGAGTTGGAAGTTTGTTTATTGGAAGGCGTTTCGAGCGATAAATTAGTCGGTATTCGAAGGAAAAGATTAAAGGGTAACGCGTGGGTGTATAAACGAGTATGCGAAGAAGTTCTTGCTCTGGCAGCCGAGGATCTTCCCACGGAATCGGAAGGTTCGACAGAATCAAAATGTCCAATTTGAAGTATTGAACAGCTGTAGTATTCAGCTGCTCTGATCTCCATTAATTATGTTAAATAGAATTTATATTTGTAACACAAAAGAAATGATCAGTTCCGATGCGAACTTCCAGCAGATACGTTTACAACAGCATTATATCAGTAACATATCTGTACCGCTATGCATTTGTAAACTATATTTTCTTCGTAGAAGAAATAATTATAGGAGAAATATACACATAAAACAGTAAATATTTCTCTATATATATCTATAAATTTGATAAAAATTAGGATTAATCAATTGTGTAATATTGTTCATACACTTAGGGATTAATATAGGGCTAGCAATGAGATGGTAACTAAAATATATATTTTATAGATCTCTGAAACTAATGAAAATAAAAATGAAAAATTGTATATTTTCACAAATGAAAGTAATAATTCACATAATTTTTTTAAACCTATATTTCTTAGATAAAGTAATTTGAAGCAAATGGATCGTCGAACATGGAAACACAAAGAAACTTCTTACAAAAGAATACTCTGTTACGAGTCTCAGCCTTTTCTACTGGAATATGTAAAGCTCCATTTCGCGTTTACACCATGGATATAAAATATCGCGGCTCGTTTGAACCGTGGCATCTGTTCGAGGCTGAGCATGGACAAGAGAAGTTATAAAATCACCACAAATCGATCAGCATAAAGTGGAGCCGCGCGTGCACTGCACTTTATGGCAACCGAACCGACCTTTTATCTTTGCCCGCTCACATAATCGTCGGCCCTTGCTCGTAGATATTCTTGGTCAGTCTATTCTGCCAAGGATCGATTTGTACGCTCTTTTTCTTCCTGAACATCGATCGAAACAAAGCCAGATCCGCAGACAATTGAGTTGTTCTGTTGAAAAGACGTAAAACCAAGAATGAAGATAATCAACATTTAGAACCAAATTTCAAGAATCTGAATCGTTTACCTATACATAAACTTTCCAATGATTTGTTTTCGAACTAGAAATTTGAATTTATTGTTAATAACCGAGTGGTTTGTAATAAATAATAACGCGGATAGGGTACGTGTTGTAAGCGTTAGTTATCGATTAATTAAACACATAATTTCGTGAAATTAATCAAACAGCGCGAAGACAAAAAGCAAGGACAACCGTATAAATGAAGCAACCGTGCAAGATGTACACCTAAGTCGTTCGTACATAAATTACAATTAACCGTAGCATAGGTGCACTTGCGTGAGCGCATGCACGTGCAACTTACGGTATTAAATTCATCCTGCATTTTATCAAGAACGATGAATAACGTTTGCTAGCATAGGATGAGGTGTTCGTATTCGAACCCCTTTTGAACGACTTTTATATATCTTTTACAATCGGAGATATTTGCAGGCTAATAATTAAGCCTGTCTAACGATTATTACGATGCGATTTGCATAACGAAAGGCTCGCGGTAACGTGTAATTTCTGGAGGAAGGAATTTTTAAAAAGTTCAATTTACGATATCTTATTAAATATAAGGGAAAATCGAACCTGCCTTGAAAAAATGTTCGCCAGGGGCCGATTGGGACTTAAATTTTTACCGAGAGATTAACAATATGATTAAATCTCTTATATCAATTTAATTAAATTAATTGGGCTTCAAATTCCTAACGGACCACCGGGAATTAAAGAGTTCGTTCTTGGATATTTGTGAACTTAAAAAATATAGGAGGTTTCATATTTCTTCCGTTAGAAAAATTAACAAATCTTTCGAATTTTTATAAATATTCTACGCCTCTGGCATGAATATGAAATCGGAACCATACGGTAATGGAATAAATTAAAATATGAATTCGATGCACGCGAACAGGTACCCAGGGATACCTTATCGAACCATCGAATTACATGCTTAACGTTTCATCGTTACGCTTGTTCAGGATGCGAGTCCTGGCGCGGATGTACGTGTACGTTATCCACCACGTGCCCTTAGTTCTCGCCAATGGATCGAGTGTCGTACACCGGCTCGTACCAATTACCGTCTGGCCGCCGGTTAATTAAGGATTGGGGCAATGAGGCCCAGCGATGCAGTTTCCGCGATAATGATTATCTGCGACGGTAATTGAGCGAGCTGCTACGCCGCCGAGCAAACAGAAACACTTGGGGATAAAGAGGAACAAAAATGTTATTTTTGTGAAAAAACAAAAAAGTAATGAATTTTTATATTTTTGTTTTTTTAGTTTAGTGTTTAAAACAGTTACTGTTTCTACTTTCTCCTTAATGTTATTCATTTCGTAGCTACATTTGACCCTAAACAGGTGGAGAACATCCGGCAGAAGACTAAAGGAAACGAGACCATTAACGTCTTTATAAGGGACGAAGAAAGAGGGAGAGAACCGCTCGATTAAAATAAATTTTGAGAATTTATATCATTGAAAGTTCAACAATATATATAATTGAATTTGATTGTTCTAATTATAAATCCAGGTTAAATTAACAAGTATCGTGCCTCGTGAAATTTCACGTTTGAAAGCAGGTCCAATTACAGTACAATTACATTAACCACTTTCACCTATGAAAATTAAACTAATCAAATTTTCCATGCTTGTACTACCGATGACCCTCGTTAATTATTCATATTGTACTGAAATAATCAATTCACGGCAGACCTTAATTACTTGTCCAAATAAGGAAGAATACGAAGAAGTTTTCTGAAAACTAGAACCGTGTCCCAAGCAAAGCGTGACGAAAAGTCCAGCGATCGCCATAAATCTCGTATATTCTGTTTCTTATGGCGTACACGGCGGCGGTCAGTTTCCCTCGGCGTCTAAGAAAAGCAATCCGCTCGCTCGCTCGCTCGCTCGTTCGTTCGCTCACTCGCTTGCATTAAAGAGCAATTAGCCGCGGCTCGCGAGCACGCTGATGCCCGGAAGCGATAGAAGCGGGCCGCGCGTGCCACCCTTACCTTTTCTTCGTCTACGAGCACGTACCTGTTCGACTTCGCACACACATCTGGCTCTTGACTACAGGTATTCGCCTCGAGGCTACCAGAACTTACCCTGACTCTTTCAGAATTATTTAACGTTATTGGAATCCTTCCGATAATGTAAAATAAAAATTTATACACCTAAAATAATCGTTTCTGTTTTTAGAAACATTGAAAAATTGAAACTTTTAAAATAACAATTTCTATCTATTAAAATTCTAAAAATTCAAACGTTTTCTCTGAAGCTTTATTCAGAGTATCATAACAAGTCTACGTCATTAATAAAAATTCACTGTTTCCAAGTAGAACGGAACGCCAGCTAGACGACATGAAATATCACACACAAGATACACGAGATTTTCTTTTTCTACTCGGTACGATGTAATCCAAAAGTCGTGGATGGTTGTGCATCTTGCACACGGAAGGAAGGAAGGAAGGAAGGATGGAAGGAAGGAACGGCGAGGAGTGCTAATCATCCGGTTTACCCACCCTCTCTTTTCGGGTCAGAGACGCTTGTTTATTTGGCCTGGTTGCGAAAGGGGATAACGTTGGCAGCAAAAATAAAGGGCAGAAAGCTCGATTCGCCGAGGCATGACCAGTTGAGTCCAGCAGAAGCTCATACATATGTAGTAGAACCGGCCCGGACACAGAGAGGCCATGGGGGAGGACCCTCCGGAAAAATGAATATGCAACCCCGTACAGGGTATTATTTTAGAAAATTTACTATCCTACCCAGGTATTATGTACTTTTCCGTCGTCCGTTCTCCACAAGAACCGAGGAGGTCATGTTTAACGAGACGAATGTGTCTTATGCACCGACATGATTTTTTCATTAACTGCATTACATTATTGGTGTAATAATTTTATAACTCATAAGGGAGAGCTTCTTATTAGAAATTAAACTTAGAAATTAACAATTCAGTGTTATCCTTCGTTCGTCTTTCATGGAGTTGGTGCGGCTCGGGGCTGCTATAAAATTGTAGCCCCTTATCGTCGCAGAGGAAACGAAACATTAAATCGACTCCGACAGAGGGGGCGGGCTGTTTCGGTGGGTGCGTCTGAGATTTCCTGTGTGGACTCTGGATGCTAGGAAGGATGACTTCCTACCTAGTGTACAGGGCGCGTCCATCGTCCACGGTGGCGTCATTCAGCTAGATTTATTCGATTTAACAAGGGAACGAGTAACAAGAATTTTAAGATATATTTTTCAAATTTGATATTACTTGGCAATTTCTCATTTTCATTTAGCTATAGCGTGTCTGACCAGTGCACGGTAATACCACTGTGTAATGGCCAATTAATTCGATCATTCACGTTAATTAAGACGGGTGTTACAAGTCATCCAGTAACGAAGACAAGTTAGTTTCTGATGTATCACAATCCGGTCGGAGGTTTTTCCTGTTTTTCGTGGAGCGAAACGCAACGGTTTTGCCAGTAATATCAGACAATATCTAAACAACTTTATCATTAATGCAGCAGTGGCACCGCATTACTAGGAATTTGTATATAATGGTGCTATGTACATATGTAATGCGGCAGCCCACACATAATGGCGATATCATAAGATACGAGCCAATAGCGGCAATTGTATGGAAATATGTATCTATGAATGAAGACACTTTCATTTATGAAACCAGATACTTATGTACCGGACACGGGCGTTGTAACATCCTGCTATTATGTGTCCTTACCTACTCGACCCATCCTCCTCTCTTTCTATCCTTTTCTCTCTCACTTTATACATCCACCTTTAGCTACCGTAATACATTTTTGCAAGTATTTTAAATATTTTATTAAATCAAAGGGGATTGCTTAAAAATTTCCACGGAAGAAAATTACATTTTAAGAAATTAAGGAACAGGGGTTTAGAAGGGTGGAAATTTCAGATTGGGCACCTTTGTTAAATCTTCAAATTTAAAAAAATCCAAATTGCTTATTAGATAATTGGAATTCACCCCCTGTTGTTTGCTTCAGTAGCGAAAGATTCAGTAGAATGCTCAATGAACAATCATGCTCATTGTAATCTTTTCCTTTTGCGCTGTTCATTCAAGGGACGACGGTGGACACGTGAATCGAACGATCACGTTGTCGTCTGGACATGCAAGGTTCCTTCGGTTGACGAAACCGACAAGCGAGAAAGGGACGAGCAACAACCCTTCATCGGAGGAGGAAGAAGGTTGGCGAAAGAGGCGAAGTTGGAGGAGAAGGGAAAGGAAAGAACGAGGCTGAATGCGGTGACTGTGACGCTTTCCGGTCAGGTGCCGCCCTGACGATCCTTCTCCTTCCAACTTCCATTTTGATCCGCTCATTCACTTATTTTTACCCTCTTCGCTTCGCTCGAGACAAGAAAGAAGCGGGCATGGAAGAAACTGAAAATTAAGAACTTTCGAAATCGTTGTCCTGGCAAGAAATATGAAGAAAATTAATTTGAACGGTCAGTGAGGAAATTATTTCGATGGTTGGTGTCAGGAAGAAGATAGCTAACGTTCTTTTTTTCTTTTCTATTCGCGGCGTTATTACCGGTGTAATTATCGCGTTGCCTCGGGAGGCCATTGTCACAATGGGTGTCCGGAGTTTCCCTACGATTATCATACCGAAAATCTCTTCGTGGCCAACCAACTCCTCGCCAGCTTCCTGCCGGCGACGGACGATGATTATTTATCGCAACAGCACCGTAAATTCTGTTAGAAACAGGAAAAATTAGTGTTAGTTTTTCGATTTGAAATAATCCTAGCTGTATCGTATAAAACATTAACCGTGATACGAAATTAAGGTAAAATTCTCGAGAATCCAGGAGGTATTCTTAAATCATGATTCGGATCGCATCGTCGTGGCGAACAGCGCGATAATCTTCACCTCGTCGTAGTTTCTACGCGATTATCCTACCGAAAAATCTCTTTCTCTTTGCTTTCTGTTCCCTCGCCGGTCGCCATCGACTTCCTGTGCCCGCCGGGTGGACAATGACCAGCACTTGCCGCAATGGCAACGGGGCAGACGCGTTCCTAATATCTGCTTGGCCGATCTAGTTCGCGGAAGCCGGCAATACCTGTGCATAAACGTACGTGCACGCGCTCGAACGTTCGCCGACGAATACACGCGAAACCTCCGTATCCGTGTGCATGCAATCCGCGCCGTTCTTCTTTCTTTCCTCTCCTTCCTGTTCCCTTCGATTCGCCCGGAGAACAACACACGGCTTTCCTTACTTCAATTCCATTTTTTTTTTTTTTTTTTTTTTTGTCATATTATTGTTTCTAAGCCATCGAAATGGTACTCGATGCATTCAAGTTTGATTATCGTTAAATTATTCAAAGCTTAAAAAAAAAAATTATTATCCTTTATTTCCTAGAGCGTGTACCCCCACACGAGCACGGACACGCGTGACGCGTACACTCTTGAAGACGACTCGTGCTGTCTCGCGACGAGGGGGAGCTCCATATAGAACAGGGGAGTGGAGGAGAAGAACTCCAGAGAGGGTTTCTGGAAGGAGGATATGATGGCTCGTGGCGTTATGCTCCGCGAGCTGTTATGCTCCTCGAGCACCATCGGACCATAAGCGAGGCTACTTCGCTCCCGTACGCTCCGCGCAACAGCCGCCACGTTTCTTGTTATATTAGCGCATCGGCGTCGCTCGAATAAAGTCAAGAAATTAAATTCTGCGTCTGTGATCCTCACAATTTTTATTCTTCTATTTTCTCTGTTTTCTTTTGGAATTTTCCTTTGATTCGACATCACGGATTTTTGGACCGCCCTTCAACCCTGTCTGCCATTCAACGGCACAAAGTGTACCGTACTCATAGTCTTTGGAAAATTGATTCAACATTCAATAACCTAATTAAGAGAAAGATGCCACTCACCTCTTTAAATATTTTCTAATTATCTCCACATCGTAGAATTCACCCCTTCTTTAACATAACCATGTTCCTAGGAAAAGGATATTTCAAGCAGTAGAATTCATGAAAGTAGACGCCAATGGATCTAGGCACGAGCCACGAGTGTGCGTCGAATATGCCTGGCAGTCTCTGACCCGCAGTTCCTCTCGGGGTACAGTGTTCCGGGGAGGTGGAGGTGGAGGAACAACAACGGCAATAGGAGAAGGAAGAAGATGGTAGCGAGAGGCGAAGAAGAGGAAAGGGGGTGTGTTTGGCGCTCAGCATGCGTAAGGAACGTTGAGGCATTATGCACGGGCCCGTAAGGCCGGACTGAAACGAGCGAATAAGAAAGTAGTTAAGGCCTCGACTGGCGGAGGTGGTTGTACGGATCGAGGAGGCATTAGTTGAAGGAAGAGGAGAGGGTCGACAGGGGAGAGGCTTGCCACGCGCTACCTGTCTCTCCTCTCTCTTCTGAATCACCTCCTGCCTCTCCTACACCGTCACTTCCTCCTCCCTCTTCGAACCATCTTCGTTCCACTCTTTTTAATATTTTTTTTTCTTCTTTTCTGGCGATCCTCTTTCTCTTTGCCATGTTACTAATCAATTTTACAATTATTGATTACTAATTTTCTTTCGTACCTTTTTGTTTCTTTACATCCCTTAACTTCTGCGTTCGCATCAGTTGATTTTTCAATTATTGAAAATCTCTTATTTCGTTAGCGATACACGAACAGCTTTCGTCCAATCTCATTTTTCTCGAATTTTCCTTACGTTCCAGATCCCCTACCTCTCTCCTACATTTCACCCCTCTACGTTCACCCATGCCGCTTCTTCATTTAGCTCGATCATCCTCCGTGCCGCAATGTGTAACAGCGACTCGTCACACTCTGCTTGCCGGCGCACACGATAATTGCCCTCATTATAGTTATTTAAAAAGCGCTGCTGCCTCCTCCGCGGCGATCGAGCCGCGATATAAGGAGGTTCGCGCTCGCGCCAGCGCGAATTAATCGCGGCTAAGAATAAGGTGATGGCAGAGGAGGAGAAAAAGAGAAAGAAAAAAGAAAATTGCACGCGTACGGTCGTACGCCTGTTTCGTTGTACGATCGTAACTTTGTCGTATTACCATAGGTAGTTTCATTTATTTTCTTCTATTCCTCTCGTTTCCTCCACTGCTCTTCGCTCTTTCCCTCCCTCTTTTTCATTATCCACCAGCGAGGCCATTGTTCCGGTTTGAAGGTTTTTAAACGAATACAGCCGTGGTCGGCACTTCTTGTCCACTGGAGAGAGAGGGGCAACAGATAAGGACGTGATTCTTTTATTAATCTGATTTTATGTATCGCGAAACGGGGATGATTCAACGGCAACTCCGTGATGCAAAAGATTGATGGGGTTTAATTAGCGCGCGTGATCGTAATTATCATGTACGAGGATAGTTTTCCGTAATTGGGCAACTAAATGCGCCGAGACAGATTAATTGCGAGAGTTTAGACACGAAGCTTTAGGGATTTTTGATTTAAAAAAACAATTTTATTTCATCCGTGTAATTCTTCACATTTTTCAACGTTCGTCGTTGTCTTCTTCGTCGATTCCAAAGAACTTAGGGATCCTTCTGAATGCCCAGGACGCTTCTGATTTTATGGTCCGCTTGGAATAATGGCGGCGCATTTTAGACACTTTGCGGGTTATTAACGGTATGCCGCGAATCACGAGCCGTGCCATATTTGTGTACACATCGAGCACCGCCTCTAACGGTATACACCCGGGTAAATTCTAGATAATTAAACACTATATCGCTGGGTCAACCATGTTCTCCTTCTTTAAGATTAACGAGTCGGATTCATCCTGTATCGAGTCGCCTCCGGCGTTCCATGTGTCTCGTTTATTATTCACATTTCGATTAATTGGATTAGCCTTTCAGTCGATACCTTCGTTAATTATCTAACAAACGTTTGATCGATCGCTTCAAATTTTCAGTGAAACTGTGTCTGACTACTTATGTCTATTTTCATTGCGGCGATTATGATCACCACAAAAATCACCGTATTTCGAAAACTAATATTGCAAGAATTTATTTTTTTAAATTTTTCTAATTTGTTACTTTCAAGAGAACATAAACTCGTGTCGTGTTCTAAACGATCCATCTTTGAAATCTGATTTCCTTCCTGGACACTCGCATCAACCTTGCCACGTAAATCAGACACAGGTTGCACTAAGTAGAAGGTGTTAACAAGTCGAAAGGATCCATAGGAATTCTAGTAATTGATATTTCGTGCGATATTTGATACGCCATTGAATCCTTCATGTTTCAGTGCGAGAGGCTCGCGCGGTTTTCGTGTCTGCACATAAATTATTCACGTAGTTTGTGAAGCGAATCTTCTATTCGACTCTAATTTATAATATAACGGGCGACTGTTGTACCGTTGCCTTGAATATTAGCTAACTTTTCCTCGCCTTCGGCACACGATTCCTCGGGAAGTCCTTCTTAGAAGTTCGAGATTAATGGTCGGTATTAAAGAAATCCATAGCGCATCGATTATTAATCAATTATACATAATAAATTTGAATTAATGGCAACGCTTACTTTGCGATTCGGAGCCACTGTAAAACGGGGGTTGAATTTCATCCTTCGGTCCTTTTTCACAGAGTGAAGGAATTCTCACGAAGATAAGGAACAGAGTAAAAAAACGGATTCAGACCATCAAGGAACGGGATCAGTCCAGCTTCCGCATTTTTGCCATTCGTTCGAAGCTTATCCGGTCAACATCGTCCTCACGATTTCGACGGACGCGACGCGTGCCCCGCATTTTTACCGATTCTTCCCGCAGAAGAATAAACATACCCATGGGAAAATTGTCAGGATAAAATTCCACAAAATCGAGCAGCCTAAGTTTGGGAAGGAACACGCGTTTCCGTCATTCGAATTGACATGTCGTGTACGGTATGAAATATCTAAAACGAGTATTCGAAATGGCACGGTGATAGAAAAAGGAGGTGGAAGTAAACAGAGCACGGTGAAACTGCGTTTAGCCACGACACCGAAAGAAGCAGGAGCAGCAACATTCCGTAGGGCATAACTTAAGCGAGCCCTGCGCTCACGAAGAGAAGAGACGGGTCACGACGCCATGTGTGCGGCCTTACCAACCACACCCACCACCTATTTATTTATGTCTACCTCACGGCTTTTTGTTCCTACTATCGAGCTTTCATTGCACTGTTCCAACCGCGAACAATCGAGCCAGCCGCCTTTCCTACCGGAAAAATCTATTCCCGAAGGAATCGTCCTTTGACTCTCTTCGTTTCGAATTATTTGTAAAGCGGTACGGCTACTCCGTTCTCCATAAGACACTGTACGATTTAAGGAGGATTTATAAAATAATTTTCAGCGCGAAGTAGATTTCAATATTCCTAAAATTAAGGAAATTATAAAAATAGAAAATAGTTCGTAGGGTCACTGACAGTCCTAACTATTTTCTTGTTTTTGAGATTCATAGTTAAGGATTTACTATTTGAAGAAACGATCGCAGATATAGAAAAGGGATTTTTCCAATGGTAGCACACTTTGGAGGGTCAAGTCTCGGTTAGCCAGCTTCTAAGACCGCGTGCAATGCCGTTCATGACTTAGCACGGTGCTTGGGTTCGGCTGTGCTTTGGCGGTTCGGCTTGCCGGGACAATGCCGCATTGTTTCATCGTTGTAGCTATCTAGTCGGCACGGTAGCAGGCCCGAACGATGTTTATTATCCTGTTGCGCAACAAAACAAAATGCCCCGGTGTTATATTATCCTCCATGGCTTCGTGGCCGAATCAGTTTCCCATATAAAATCCACGGACGACGCGAGTCTCCGTCGTAACTCTGAGCCAGGCACGACGAGCTTCCTCCACGACGTCCTTCGTACCCTCCTGTTCCTGTGGTTTCTTAGAACCCTGGAAAATCCTGTGGAGAAACTCTACTGGAGAACAGGTTCAGAATTATCGGCAGGGTTTTAGGTATTTTCATTTTGAACGAGATATCCTTTGGTATTTAACGTTTTTCTAATTTCAAATCGAAGGATTTGTGATAAAAATATGATCCTTGAGGATATCCTTAAGATCTTGATTAGGTAATTCTAATTTTCATAATTTTTCAAGATATCCTTGTCTCTCCTGAATCTCGCAGGTCCTTGGAAAATTGTACAACGTTAGATAGAAATCCACTGGAAGGTTTTCCGTCTAATCCTCTGCAATATCGATTTCCTAATATTCTGTTATTGATGTAAAATTTTGCAATGTCCTTTGACGATATCCTTCGTAATTTTCGAACTACACATCAGATAATTAATTAATTATATTCTGTGCCCAAGCTCCATGTTAACGATGTTCCAAAAAATTAGCAGACACGGAGAAGAAAAGAATTAGAAAAGCTTCAGAATCCATTGTCCGAGCGGGTGAAAGCGAATCGTTTCCAGATTTGATCTTCGATTAGCCTTGGCACGATTCGATGGAAATCAACGCGGTATTCCCTGTTCCCTCTGTTCTCTGTAAGTTTTATCTTACACGCGAAAACCGCGTGTCCCACTGCGCGAGGGACATGGAAGTTGAGGCACCGTGTACCACCGGCGGGTTTTCTTATTTCCATGAAAATCGGATTTCGACCACAATGCCATTCCGGTGTTTTAAATGCAAATCCGCGAAAGGAAAAACCGTAAGGGCATTATAATTTATATTACTACATGTGGCAGCGGCACTTCCGGCGAGAGAGCATAGGCGCAGTTCCGGTCAGCTCGGCCTGGAGATCCTACATCGCCAGATTATGAGCCCATGCCGCTTTTACAATGGATCGTCTGCCCTGACTCATACGTCAGCGGGAATAATTTTGTTGCCACACACTGGCCATCAGGAAAGGAAGAAAAAAAAAAAAAAGATATCCTCACGATCTCGACGGGGAAATTGTTGCCGGCACGTGTACGATGTTCTCCATAGATTCGTCGGTCGTTTGTTGATGATCGATAACGTTTCTTACCGTACTCGATGGGAAACGGTAAAATTGGATCGTTTACCCCATATTCTGTCGTTTTCAGTCTTTTCTCTTTTATTACATTCGGTCTTACGAAAAATAAATCAGTCTTTATTAATAATCGGATTAATTGGAGTGATTAATCGTTCGTTGGATAGCTTTATTTGATATATTATTTTACACAACAAACTGCCCGCTCTTTATAAAATCAACGATCTGTTGCACAGAGTTTTGGAAACGCATGAAATTAAATCTGGCCTCCTCGGTGGATTTCGATTTGTAAATGGCGGTGGTATAAGCCGCAGTCAATTCGATGACTAATTTCTGAGCTCTTCTAGCGGCGGCTTCGATGGATCCTGATGGCATTTTGATGCTCTGAGCCGTTCGTACGATTTCTTCTTTGACGAGCTTCACCAGCTGCTCGTCATCCTTTTCATTCGACGGCCCGGTCGAGATAATTCGAAAAATTCTACTGATGGCCTCGTCGGCTATACCTGGAAACACCGGCTTTCCGAATTTACAAACCATTCGATTCTACTTTATCTTAAGTTCCCTTTTCAAAATTTGACAGGTGTGGATATCTCGTTTCAATTTAAGATCTTTCGTTATAAATTAAAATTATACTTTGAAATAAGACAAAAATAGACCACATCGCATGATATTGATATCAAAAATTAATCTCATTTTCCGCAGAAATTAAATTCCAATGATTTTCTAAAAAAGAAGTTTATTCACCTGCCGTTCGTGGCCTCCTCTCGATCGACTTCCCTCGATCGTTTCCATGGAAAATCCCATGGGATTTGGAAAAGTAGCAAGCTAGGAGGACGATCGCGATCGTCGCGACTTTCGTCACCCTCGGATGTCCCATTGGATTGAAACTAACGGTTGCGAGTCGTTCGATTTTCTCTTTTTATACGCCACTTGTCGCCCCTCTGTACACCGAGGAGAACATTATGCAAAATATAATTTGTCGTTTCGGGCCGATCATTACCGACGATCCCGATGAGTGTCATTAAAAAAAGGGAAAGACAGAAGGGAAAGTGGAGCAGCGTGACGCGTCGCTGGAAAGCATATTGTTTCAGCGGGTTACTTTGATTTTCACGTTGCGAATCGTGGAGTCGACGAGTTTCTGTTGGGAAAGATTCGGGTGAAAGTGCATAGAAACGTTTTTAAACGAGAAATTCTTTGATGATTACTTAAAATGAAATAAACATAGAAGTCTTGAAAGACCTTGGAATTTTGATAGCGACGATATTCTTTTCAAACTATTCGAAACGAATCGTGAACGATTCCTGTGGGCTCAACAGGTCGTCGGTTCCCCTCGAAAAACATAGAAGCAGTGGCTCGGCGGTAAAACTGCGTGAACATAGGGAGGGAGTGCATCCAGCCATGATTCCTCTTCACCGATTTTTACCCCCTTCCTGTCCCCTGTACACCATACTCCCCCATTGAAACGACGCGGCGCGGCGGCTCGATGACTCGCGATTAAAGCCAGCAGTGCTTTCCAGAATTCGTGTTTCGCAAAGGATGTCCACTTTCACCGGTTAAACAATTATACCAACACTTCTATGAAATCCAAGTTAAACGGTGCCAAGAAAACAGAATACCCGGTTGGTAGAAATATAAAATTCAACTCCCCGTGAACTTTCCATCGAATGCTTGAAATCGCAAACGGTTGAGAAAACGCGAAACATCGTCGCGATTAGCATGGCTGTCGCAATCGAACGATCGTCTGTGGCTAGGAAAAGCTGCACGCAAAAGGAGGATGTCTGGATAATACACATTATAGGCCGACTATTATTACGCAGAAGCTCTGCCGTTTCTACGTGCGCAACGCGAGCCGGAAGGCCGACTCCCGCGTGTCTGCTTTTCCTGCATGAATGAAATGTAATTTAAGCTTACTCAAGTACCCGTATTTTCATTCATCCCACATTCGCCAGACTTCTACGTCTGGCTGATCGTACACGCAAGACGGTTGAAATTTAACTTGAAAAATCACGCGGCGAGATCGAAGATCCAAAAGCGTACGCTTTGAATTTACAACGAAATCTCGTCCACGTAGTCCTAAAATTCGACGCTGAAATATTCCGCCGACGAATTCATCGACAGGGTACGGAGGAAACATCGATCTCGCGTACGATCGATCACGATCTTATCAGGGGCAACCCTGGTCCCTGGTTGCAAGTCGACGCGGAGACGCGCTTTCGATAGTCGGTGCGTGCCAGAACCGGCACGATCCTTGGACACGTTCCTCGAGGACACAATGAAGAGAGAAAAAGCGAGTCTCTTCTCGATCGAGAGTCTTTATTCTCGTATCAGCACCGAGCAACGATGGAAACGACGTGGCCTATTATGAGCCGATCTCTTCTGAGACACAATGATCAATGCCAACTGGTTGAGCAGCCGTTGAATGGAGGAGAACCGATGGTTCCTTTGCTCGGGATTATGGCACCACGAGAGGGCCACCGAAGATCGACAGGGCCGATTACGTCCCCGATGACTTTAAGCCCCTTTAAACGTTGCCATTCTTCCCTGCGGGCCAGCTTGACCCCGTGCCGTCCATGGTACCCGTGCGCTGATTTTCTCATTCTCTTTCATTCTTACTGTTTTCTCTTACTGTCTTCTTCTTATTCTTTTTTACTTCGTTGTACTTTTCGGCAGAGCTCGTTGGGTGAAACGTGACGTGGGTCCCGGAAGTGGTACCGGGAACCCGTTGCCTTTTGAGGCCACTTGCTATTACGGATTCGAAGGACCCACCCACCGTTTTATCGTAAAATAATTAACGATTTTAATGCGAAGCTAAAGACTAACCTAAGGATTTAATGAAATCTAACGACGCCTCGAATCGGCTGGCAAACATCGATCAAACGTGAATCCATTCGATTGATCGTTGGTTTTGCGACAGCACAAAGATTTCTACATCTAAGAAATCCCACCTGCTTTCGATTCACCGTGAAGCGAGCAAAAAGGCCGGTGACTCAGCTCTGCAAAGAGAAATCAGGCGACAAATTGATCTGCGGACTTAATTCTACGGTTTCCTACACCTGCCTTTGAAAATCATTTTCTCTATCATGATCTCCTCTGATATTAACCCACCGTCAAATTAGTTGGAAATCAATATTCAAATTTTCCTATCGTTTACGATGCGCGCTCACAATTTTCGTGCCTGTGCAATTAACAAACGGGTTTCGATTAATTAAATCGTTAACTATGAAATGTGAAAGGGGATTGCGATAACTTATAGCTTGTTTATGAAATCACGAAGCTATATACATTATCGTTCATGAATTTACTTATAAAATGTTTGAAATTAATTAGCGTTAGTTCATTTGGGGAAGTTTCGTGTCAGGTCCTAGCAAGTGTCTAAGTACTTACGGGTAGCAGTGTAGGTGGGCAACATCGAAATGATTTTATGAATTTCACGGTTTGTTCTTTTTAGTAACACAGGACTCCTGAGTTTTTTGTGTCCATTAAGCAGAACCGTCGAAACCCATGCCGAATCTCGTCTTCCTGTCCCACTAGTTCGAATTAACTCAGCAAAATCCTCTGTTTTCTGGTAGGGCCACGAGTTCGCTCTTGCTTCTAACATCTACCTTTCACTTCTGAATTCTCTCTTTCTCTATATGGCTATATTGTTGTGCAATATATATTGTATAACCGGTTATCCAACGTGCGGGAATTATGAATATTAAGCGGTGGACGGCTCATTTGCGAAATCAAATTACGTGCCGAAATACTCGTCCTGTAATTACACTTTGTTACACATTGCACTTTGTTAAATGAAAATTTTACTACAGTGAAATTTGCTAAGTTTCCACTGACGATATTCGAAACAACTGTGGCCTATAAATCAATTTTTCAAAATAAAACATTCTATTTCATTCTGAATCCTAAATCTAGAAAATTTCAAAATTTAATAATTATAGATTGGACGTAAATAATTGAAAATAAAAGTATCATTTGTCGGATCGTAGAGGCATAGGAACGCGAGTTTACCCTGAAAACACATTTGAAGCGGGACCAGGCGATAGCTTGCACGAGTGGCGTATTGTGGCGCACATCATAGACAAAGCCGGATTATTTTTCACGGTTGCAAAGGAAGCGTGCAATGGTATTGTGCTGGTAGCCTGTAACAGGAACTACTAACAATGGCCGTGCTTTTTGCCTTCGTTCTTCGTGTTACACTGGTTTGACTGGACTTCTGCGAGAGATGAAGAATGGCCACGGAAGGTGCAGCTATCGTATTAAGCAAATTTACGTAACTTTGTCATTTGTTATGGACACCTTCGATGAAGATGATACTTAAGAATCCTTTCATCGTTCTATCAATTTTTCAAGATATTTGAAAATTTTGAAACTTACTCAAAAACATCTAAATCATTCCAACGTTCGTATCATCAGAAAATTGAAAATAATCATAAGCTTGAATTTGCGTCGACTTCCTTGTCGTTGTAATAAAAGAAACCGCAACGATTGAGAAAAAACGGACGGAAAATCGCGGAGGAAAGAAAAATTAGAATCGTGAAACCAGTCGGTGCGAGGACGCGAATAAATCAATTTATGTCAGGGCTAATAACACGGAATCGTAGCGCAGATAAGACCAGAAGCCGTATCGGAAAGCTCTTATTTAATCCGCCCAGCCGGCCCGTTTACGAGCTAATTCAGGGGCGAATTATGGGCGTGTGTACGAGGATTAATCACTGACAGGTTACGTGTTAGTATGCGAGATTTACTAGGGGAAGAGGGACAAGATACGGGTGTGTACAATCGTGTAACGACACTGCAATTTTCGAGACTGGTGTACTCCACGCAACTTACGCAGCTCATACATTGATCGACCTGATTCTACGATTTGTCACGCCTCTTATTCCACACCTAGCTTTCACTGCTATAGATCAGAGAGGGCGGACGTCGAGTTATTATACCCTGCTGCGGATCAACGGAGAAATACCGGCTTGGACAGAAGGTGGGGAAAATTAAGGGTGGCTTTTTGGATTTCTTATTTCTGATCACATTTTTAGGATACTTTATAGATTCTTTAGTTTTTGATTTAGATGAAAGAAAAAACTTTTCACCCTTTATATCAACCGTGGAATAATTGATCAATTCACCCTCTCTCGTTTCCAATTTTCTCATAATTTCACCACCATTAAAAGTTCTAAAAAATAATAAAATATTTCAGCTGAGAAATCCACCATGGCGATGATTATAATCGAGTTACCGGTAATCGAACCGCGAGATCGGTTCGTAACCGGGGCACGAAAAGACATTCGTAAAGTCATCGAGATAATCTGGTGAACCACGAACGAAAGAGACGTCGACAAAGAACAAGGTTCGTTCGCGAAACCATTGAACCAACGGGTCGACCATAACCGCTATATTAATTCGAATTCAAACGCGGGAACGCCCCGCGTGTCTCGGCAATTTGTGTTCGGGCTCGTCGATCGGTATCGCTGTTACGTTTTTAACAATAGGTATTAATATCGATCAGTCGTAAAGACAGCTCGCGACCGTGTTCCGCCGCGCTTGATAAACCAGCTGAATTATCGCTTTTACGATACCTTAACGCTTGTCGCCGCTACTTTACTGCCGCCGTTTTCCATCTCGTTATGCAGACACGCTCGTGTCATTATCCTCCGGCGCAGGAACGTTCGATCCATTCCTAACGACTAAATCAAGCCGCTAAAACAAACGAAAAAAATATTTTTTAAATATAACAAGAATTATCCTCGTTTTAAACAATTTTGATTCCACTTTTCAAATTCTAAATTTCAATTTTTTTGAAATTTTCCCTACTTTTTGTTTTCTGAAGATTGCGAGCTGAATGGAATAGAAAATAGAAAAAATATTTCCAAGTGTAAATAGTACTCGAAGAAGTATTAGATAACCATTAAATTGGATTAGGCCGTGATTGCAAAATGCCTCCTATCAATGGTAATCAGACTTTTACTTTCGACGCGTTAAATGTGTCGCGGGTTTGAAACGTGGCATTCATAGCCACGGCACAGAGCCCTTATCACTGTTCTTTGTATCATAAATTAAGAGAAAGTATATCACAGCCTCCTGCTGGCCCGTTGCAACGAGAGTCAATGCGAATCAGAGCTGAACTATCGGCTTGTATCGATGCTGAGCTTCGACTTGACACAGATTTGCTTGTTGCGGGACGGGGTTCGTGTCACATCGAGCTCGTGCACCTTTAAGAATCTCTTTACTCGTAAAAATCTATTGAAACAGAGATAAAAGGGAGGCACGAAGCGAAAGGGAAGTATGAAAAGTAGAAAGCGGGAAGGTTGCTGATCGAACTGTTCGTGAGCTAACGAAACCGAGAAGAGAATGCAAACGAAAGTAACAGCGTTGTAAATGTCGTAATAGATGTTTCTGTTCGTTGAAAATTGAATTCGCGAAGCTTCGTACCGGGGAATAATTTCGTAAAATACCCTGTTTCCGTGGTACAGAACATTGAGCATCGAATTATCACGGAATTGGTTGAAAACAAGACAGGAAGCGGTGGTGGAAAAAGTATCGTAGTATTTGCTTACAACGCGACGTCTTCCGTAAGAAGGTACGCCGATGGATTTCTTTGGAATTCGGTGAATCTTTTTCACCGCTCGAGGAACATCGGTGTCGTCTCAACGTCCACGTAATCCCGTGGCCAGGCTTCTTCCTGTGGCCATCGGAATCGGGCGTCCTCGCCTTTCATCTCGCCACTTTCTTGCGTGCATTCCGCTCGACGCGACCATCTCCACGATCGGCAAAACCGATCCTAGGATGCTGGTGAACGCATACCAGTGAAACCTTGGAAAAAAAAATTGACGAACCACCGTGCGATGCATACAATTCCCAGGGATCGAGAGCGAATCAATTTCAATCGAACAGTTCATTTACAGAGGAAATTAAAACAATAATTAGCTTTCAAATTTAGTCGGTACCTAATTTAACCTCCTTCTAATTAATCACTCAAACGATTAGAAGAGCAAAGAAATCAATGTAGTTCGACGGTCTCGTTTTCTCTCTGAAGCGATCTACAATCGTTACAGAGAAGCAGCATCGTTTGAGAGGCAGGAAAAAGAGGGCTGCCGGCCCTTTACGATCCCGGCTTGCCTTTATACCATGTTTCCGGTCGCGCGGAGGCTGCACGTGACTTCGATACTCTTCGCTTCATCTCGCCTGCTACCTGTCCCAATTTAATCTAACCCGAGTCTGAGACCGGTGGCGATTATTGGTGTTACAGCCACGACCGCAGCCCTGTCTCGTCTATACGTGTAAATAATACACCCGGCGGGAATGCTAATACCCGAACTGTTCATAGTAGCCTGCCGGATAATATACCGGCCAGGGTTGTTCGATCAATGGCTCACACCTGAAATCGTTTTCGGCCTCTTCGTGATTCGATCAGCACCCTCTTTGCACTTTTATTATTCCTTTTCGAATCTGTTCGAGCTGATTTACCGATGCATTATGACTGCTTCCCGATGATTGAACGGGGTCGAATTTAAGCCAAAAATTTTTCATTCGGGTTCAATGCACCTTCGCGTAAATTTTAAAAATAAGAACTTCGATTCACAATCATTCTACCTATATCAGAGAATCATCGAAAGGGCAGAGAAAGAAAGAAAGAATCGAAGACGGTGTTTTCACGAGCAATTTTCGCGAGGATCCTTTTTTGCCAGACGATGTTACGTGTCTGGAAGGTACGTGGAACGTTTTCATACGATCGAACGTGACCCGTTAAAGATGATTATGCAATTTACAGCGGGTGCAATTTACATCGGGAAACGATTTAGCCGGTGGCAAGGCAACGAGGATAACGGTACGGGAGGACGCGCGATGTCGCCGTGGATCGTGACTATGCTAATGACAGATCGCCGAGCTCATTCATAAGAGAAGAAACGCGTTGAATGAACGCGCGAGCGCGACCGGGATGCTCAGCCTTCATCTCGTTGCGGTGATACGTGATCCAGACTCGTGGAAGGAAAAACGTTCATCGTGATAGTGTGAAACTTAACTACGCGAATGATTACTTCTTCTTTCATTTTCTTTTTTTTTTTTTTTTACATCTGATGGTTTTTTAATTATCCGAACTTCCTCCTCAGGCCAAGTTATATTCTTGTCGTTAAAGAGCTAACGACGTATACAGTAGTTCTTTCTTTAATTAACCTGTCATCGAATCGTATCCCAATAAAATTGAAAGAAAATTAAAAGGCTGTGTTACACGTCACAGTTTGTCGCAATTTCGCGGGGTAGAGAAAAATACGATTTTGTAAACTGTTTCTTTCGATCGTTTTCTGTGCTTGTAACAGTAGCGAATCTTTGTAGATCGTTTTAATGACAGTGGCGAGATCCGTGGCCGGTTTAACAGGTGTTTCAAGCCGGTAATCGATCGCGGTGTCGACTATGGATTTCGCTTCTGTTTTCCCCTTTAAACGCGGGGACAAAAACCGGTGTAGTGAATCGGTGGCGGATAATTAAAGCGACGATCAAAGGAATCGCGTTTTCGGCCGTGACAACAGTGATTGGCCAGCGTGATTGAACGGTCTGCTGGCAGAAACACGGCCTCTCTGTGCTCCCTTCGCGAACTTCATGGTTTCTTTTCTTATCGTCGCAACAAGTGGTCCACGTAAAAGATTGCCCGGTGTTACGCTTCACGGCTTACGTTTCCGCTCAATTTTTCGTGTATTTTTCGGTGAATGTGCGTGAAATGTATCTTTCTTGAAAATGATAATACTTCGGTTTAATGTACAAAGACGAGTGAAACTCGACGAGTTCTGACGAAAACAAAAATTATTCGTAACAGAGGGAGTACATTTAATTGTTGGCCAATTCAAAATTGTTTTACGCCTGAACAGACAGCCACACCGTGGGATTTTTAGACAATTTCACGCTGAAATAGAGAGGTTAATGAGTAATCGCTGAGAAAAGATAATCTACCTGGGCTTCTTATTTTCCTGGAACATTGGATGAAACTTAATGAAAGTTAATGAAACTTTCTGCATATGCACCTGTATCTTGAAGAATGTAAGCCTCCATTGTTCCTCGACTTTGGTGGAAGAAGAAAGATGAAATGCACGCGATCGATCGTTCTCCTCGGCAGGGTAGAGCACGATTACGTTTACCTAGAAGTACGCGGAGAGCTGGTTGTTCGTCATGGTCCAGCGATCACAACCCCCGGCGCTCGCGCCTATGCCCACGGAACTAAAGAGACTCCGCTGTTGAAGCGAACGAACCGCGGCGTGAGACAGGTGCGACCGGCTGCACCGCTCCGACACCCTCGTTTCAGCCTTTATCGTTTAGCTGACGCTACGTGCCACTGGAAACATCAATATTCTACCTCTTCACGCCACCTGCGGACCCTCCCTATCGTTTTCTCTCCCTTTTAAATGGATTACATAGGAGCTGATTTGGAAACGGGTAGATTTTTTCGGGGGTGGGCCTGATCAGTTGGACATTTTTTAATTTAGAAATTATGAAATTTTAGAATATTGGGAAAGCCAGTACACGCTTTGGGAGAAACAGGCAGGTTTACCCTGGCAAAGATTCCTATGAAGATTCAAGAGTCACCCCCGTATCATAGAACGTTTATCGTTAAAGTCATCGCGAAGAATGATAAAAGCAGAAACATTCGAAGATCGTAACCACATTGTTAGCGACGAAAGAAGGATCTTTCGCGATGCGTATCTGATCTGGATCTCCACACAATGGAACTTCATCGATTCGATCTCCTGCCCCGTGCATCGAAATCTTCGAATTCTGCTACGATATCGTCGATCTTGCTAAACAAATACATCTCCATCCGGTAATATTGCTTTCTCCGAGTAACATCGTTGATACGGCTCAACAACGATCGTATCGGCGGACAGGTGCGACCAGGTGCAAGTATTCTCAGAAGCGTGCCGACGACCCGTTCCTTCTAAACTTTATCAGTCCGTCCGAGACTGTTGAAACGACAGCACTTGATCGTACAGATTGCTATCTAAATTTGTTGCAATACTCTCATCCCCTTATCTCCAATTTGGATCCAAGTGTCTACTTAGATTAATTCAGTATTCAATTTTCATATTTCTTGTATTTTAAACAGAGTTAGAATTGATGGTGCGATTACAGTGTTAATATTCAATTTTTGTTTGTAAGTGGCATCGACGTTGCGATCCGGTGTAATAATCTTCAAATGAAGTTGTTCCTTTTTTCCACAAGCACAAATTGCTCTTAAGAAGGATCATTTCTCTAAGAAATTTCCCTGGCCAGCTTAGCATTGCACGACTGTTAAGTAGTTTTCTTTCGACTCGGTAATAACGTCGGTTTCTCGGTACAATAATAGCCGGTCGGTTTTGCATCATTGTTCACAGATTTGTCGCGGTCATCATCCGTTAGAAAGAATCCATAATTCGCAAAGTTCTCGTGGGAGAATTGTTCGGACTGGATCACCACGAGATGAATCGCTTCGGGTAAAACGGACCACCATCGCGTACCACCGTCTGTTGGATGAGCAAGGTGTGTCACGGTTACTTGATCAAGAGAACGCTCGATAATTGACATTGTCGAAACCGTTCGAATCATCGTGAAAGTCCTGAACACATCATAAGCAAATTCTCTCGTTTTCTTTAACAAAATGGCGCCTCGTTGAAGTTTCATTATTCTGTCGTTACGAAACGCCAAAAAGTTTGAAACGTTTTCCAGTCTTGTCA